GGTATTATAATGCGTTATAACTGATAACAACAGTTGCACTGCATTATCTTATTATTATTAACAGTTATAACACATTATAATACCTGACCTTGTAAGTCGTGAAAAAATGCTTTATAATGCGTTATAGCGAGAGGTGTCAAATTAAGTGATACCAAATAATGATTTTTATCTAACAGCTGACTGGCTGATGTCTGCTGCCTTAAAAGCCTGTAAAATAACATATAAAGGAGAAAAACAACACACATGCCAAAAGAATACTCTTGAAAAGTTAGACCCTTGACCGGTGGGTGCACAAACTGCTCAAACTGATCACTCAACTGTTTTTGGGTCTTCAATCCAATTATTCAATATCATCAATTTGATATTGTCAGTATTACCCACAGAGAGTAAACCTTGTACATTAGCCAGTCTCCTGCTACTCCTTTATACCCTTGAGGCCTTCTGACACCATCCAGGAGGCAGAGGATGAAGGAGAGTTACATCTTAACCTTATTCCCCTGAGGAGGCCTTTCAGCTCCAGCAGGGCCTTTGAAACAAGAGGCTCATCATTGAGGCTAATGTGACCTCCAATGGAAGCAGCCAGCGTGCGTGTGGCCTTTACAGATTTTGTTTGAAGGTGACATCGTAGCTCTTAATCCGGGCAACAGAAGAATAGGCGAAAAGGAGGAAGGTGCCATGTGTCTGTCTGTGCTGTCTGGAGCCACAGAAAAAAACAAAAAAACTTTTGAAATTCATGGTATTGATCATTCTTTGTGCAGTGCTTCCCATTTTTATGGCTAAAGGTGCCAGTATTGATGTATTGTGGTCAGTGATACAGCCACAGATACACACACACACATACAAGAGTGGAAAGAAGTCTGATTCATTTTTCATGTCAAGAAAACAGACACTTCCTGAAAAAGTCGATCCCATGAAACCCCCCACACAAACACTCTTGTGTCTCAGGACTATTTCTTGTTTTTCGAGTCTGTAATGAGTCCAGGCAGGATAGACTGTATTAACCTTTATTCCCCCTCTGCGGCCGGGCTGCTGTGTTTGAAACGTGTGTATGTGTTGAGGACTTCTGGGAAAAGCCCTTTTAGACACTTTTAGTTGATGTGCACTGTTAGTGCGACTGTCGGTCGGCTCTATTACAGAGACATTGATTTGCTGCTGGAACTCGAAGGGACCAGAGATGGATCCAATGAAAAGGCGTATTTTAGTGACATCAACCTGTTGTTCATTTTCTTTGATTTTCTAGTAATAAAAATGCTTAAAACATATAAAATCACATTTTGACTGTGTTCCAGGTATTTGTATTAGAACATTGTATAAGTTTTAATTATTCCTGCAGCTAAGGAACCAGCCAAGCCAGCGCTGAACAGGTTTATTCAGGATAATTTTTTGCGATAAAGCGGCTGCATCCTTAACGGCTTTTCTGATAAATGGTAAATGGCTTTTGTTTACATAGCTCCTCCTCTAGTCTTCTGACCACTCTGAGTGCTTTACTGTAACAGAGGACATTCAGCTCAGGCTTGTTACGCACTTTTTACAAATGCACTCCACTCTGGAAAACTTCCTTAAATTTGGGCTACATGTATTAAAGACATATAACAGTATCTATTGAAACTTTTCTATACTTACAAGGTAACTTTAGCTGCTTAAAAATGATGTGTTAAATTATGTCTTTGAAATTATGTAGCTTGAAACCTGTAGGGAATTATGAATTTAACGTGTTTATCTATTCATGAATTGAACTCTGTTTTAGCTAAATGGCCATATCAAACTAGAATGCTTTAGCCAATTATAATTGGCTTATAACATATTTCTTTTCACAATAAAACATCTGTCTCTGTGAGAAAAGTTGTTGAAAATAAACATGTCAGATTAAGATATGCCTACAAAGTCAGATCAACGATGTCAACATATCATATGGCACTCATTAGCCAATAGATAATGACTCTACAGCCTCTTGGAGTGGGAAAACTAAAGTTACCCTTTCAGTTCAGTTCAAACCTTGACTTGGACTTAAAGCTCCTATGAGAAACTTTGGTTTGTGTTGATTTTGGGACCCTCAGTGGACAAAGTAGTTTCTGTTTATTTTATCAACCCAATGCTTTGGTAGCATCTTCTAACAAAACAAATTGACCTGCTGACTTTTTAAAGTCAAACATACCATTCGTTGTGAATATCCTATCTGCTTTGCTGACATCTACCCCCTCACACTTGGTTTTTAGGCAGTATCAAAATAAGTATAAGTTTCATCAAAGAATTTGTTAGCTTTTGTGTAACATAAAAAGGCATTACTATGTGTTTCAGTCTATTTAACTGAAGTCAAACAACTCCTTACAGAAGCTTTAATATATATACGATTTTAAAAAAAAAACGCCATTATTTAAAAAACAAACATTACAGACATAACTAATTGTGTGCATGTCTGTTTTTTAACACTTTGAAATGAAAGAAAAGTTTGTTGACATGTAGAGGAAGCCATTGAGCAAATCCATTAAAAAACAGCAAAGGATACATTTATACCTAGATTCCTGGCACTCAGCAGGAACCAATAAATCCTGAAGTGTAGAAAATACTTGCTTGGCTCTGCAGTTTTTCTTTGATGAATGTACATTATCACAAGTATGGACTGACTCTTACCGTATCTTGAGTCTGAGCTATCCACTGTGACTTCTATTACCTCAGTCAATAAGGATGTTGTCAATAAAGCAGTCCGGGAAGTGTAGTTTGTAATAATTGAGGGTTTTTGTGGTATTCAAATATTGAAAATTAGTTCAAATAAAACAAACTGCTCTGTTTCAGTGGGCTGTATTTATGTGATTGCATTATTGAAGTTGAAAATGCCACAAGGTAACTTATAACGCCTCCATAATGGTTGACTGCAAAAATGCAGCAATGATTGCTGCCACTAATTAATTGCTGTGGTGTTACTAGTTGAATCAATGACCATCAGAGGACTGTCTGAGGCAGAGATGAATCTCACGTGTTGGAGATTGTTAAAAAAGCATAAACAGATCAATGAAGCTGCTCCACTTTATAGGTTTGGATATGGCTTAGATATCTGTTCTGCTCTATGTCAGAGTATAAGTGTGTGTGGCGCGTGTGACGGCCTGCCCGGTAACCAGAGCCGTAACACAAGCCCATTTAGCATATGGCATTTTTTACCACAGAGAGGTAAACAAAGTGGGGAGGCCAGAGGAATAGTGAAACACAGTGCTCAGGCTGGATCTCCCTGTGGACACACACAGGGTGGACACACACACAGAGGACACAGTGTCCAGTCCCAATGACAAGCTGGGGTCACTCTGCTTAAAAGAAGACACACTTAGTGTCTTTCTCATAGATGAAAGTCCTTTTTCTGACTTGAATCATGCATGAACTTCAAGTAAAGTATAGATTTAACCATTGTGTGGGGTTAGGGCCACTGTATCAATTCAACATGAGAAGTGAGAAGGGGTGTGCCACAGGGTTCTACTCTTGGTCCACCACTTTTCTCTAATTTTTACTCTGTTCTCTATTTTCTTACACTCCGCCTAATATTTCTCTTTCCTCCAATCAGACAAGCTTTTTCCCCACTTGCCCTTTGGGTCATTTGAACATGTCACAACACCAAAGGATGTTGATATCAACTGTCAAACCTTAAACCCTAATGGGGCTTTTTTAAAGTGACAATCTTAACAGATCAATGCACCCATCGGGACTCAGATTTCAAAGACTGTCAATGACCACACGTGAAAAAGAGGAGGAAAAAGAAGATCCTGACTGAGTCAACCTCGGCTGCCCTTAAAGACATGAAGCAGAGATATGCTCAACAATGCAAACACATACTTGCATGTCGTGGCATAATTGTGCGACAATGATCATTTGTCTCATGACTGGTACTGTGTTGAGTTGGTTTGAAGGACACCAGATCTTTTTATGGTTTCCATCAATTCTGATCAAGTTGATAAAACAGAACCTCCAGCATGAGAGCGGCAAAGCATTGATCACAGTTGCAGAAAAGCAAACCTGGCTGCAATGTGAAGCAGAACTTCAAATATAAAGCAAAACTACACAAGATAAGTGAGCCTATTTGCTGTAACTTGAAGCTGGTAGTGGGAAAATCTTCTTCAGCAGCAGTTCACTGAAATCAATGAATTGACAGGTTTGATGGATATCTTAACACAGCCGGGAATAGAATTAAAAACAAGAAGATGGTAGAAGATAAAGGTATATTTCAAACTGAAACATCCTGTCAGGAAAACTCACCGGGGCCTTTCCTCTCAACTCATCTACAAAGTGCTGAAAGAGCGTAGAAACGAGCGGCAATGGCAGGGTGTTAGGAAGTTAGATGCCGGGAAGCAGCACTAAGGTGGTGCTAGGCTAGAGAGAAGCCATAAAGAAAGGCCTGTTAGGGTACATTAGGTGGAGGAGAGGGTCATAAGGCTTCATGAATGTTTCAACAGTACTGGGGGCATTTGTCTTCCAGCTCTACTGTCAAAAACCCATCATGACTCAGTGTTGTTGGGGGGTGGGGAGTGGGAAGATTGCAGCTGCAGGGCCAAGACACTCTATTTTCCTGTGGTGAAGCATGCATGCACAATCACAGACAGGGATGGACAACACACCAAGGAACACTCTCAACAAACCAACAGAAGTACATATATACTCTTAGCTGTGGTAGTGCACTCAACGCCCGCCTCATCTGTCACTCTTTTCATCTCCATCACTGTCAACACACTTGACGTTGAGTCACTGCTCTCCGTCTCCAGGTTGAGCAGGTTTAAGACCTATCAGCTCCTACACTTGTTAATGTTTGCAAAGCATCAGGCACTTAAACAGTCATCCAGCCCTGAGGTATGGCTACAAAACATCCACACCCTAGGGTCTCTGAGCTTCTGCTCTCCTTTGACCCTGCAGGCCTCTGGGAGCTGCCTGGGGTCAGGGTCAATTGTCCCGTGAACAATGGTTTAGTAGCACTGATAGCAGCAGAGAGTAGATAACCTAGTTGGTAGTCTGAGTTATTTACAGAAGTGAGAGGAAGGCGCGGACTTTGAGAGGGAAATGATGATCTTTAGAAATTGATAGTTGGTATCAGGATCATCATTTCCCTCTCAAAGTCTGCGCCTTCCTTCCACTTCATGGTAATAACACAGACAACAAACTAGGTTGTCTACTCTCTGCTGCTATCAGTGCTACTAAACTATTGTTCACGGGACAATGAACACGGTCAAATGTCCCAGGAACAACGGTTTAGTAGCACTGATAGGAAGGAAGGTGCAGACTTTGAGAAGGAAATGATGATCCTGATACCAACTATCAACTTCTACATATATTGCAAGCCTGTTCTGATACATCAGAAGAACCACTTTTCACGGAGTCGACTGCCAAGTGGTATCTTGAGTTATTGGCTTTGAAAAACAAACGTAGCATCCCCAAGCCTTCGGCGAAAGGTTGCCCTCTAATAGAGTATTACTGCTTGTGGGTTGTAGTTGAGTTATGCCTCAAGTAAATAAGTTCAAATATCTTTAGATCTTGTTGAGAGTAGCTTTGCCATGAACCAAAATTTAGGATTCACCCTTTAATCGATGTGTCGAACCCCAGCAGTTGACTGTAACAGCTATTAAAGCAGCTCTTTAGCAGCCTTACACTCAGCCCGTCTTTTTCATATACTGTTACTTCTCAAAATCAGCCTGTAAGTTCACAGAGCGTTGGTAGCTCAGTGATTTGATTAGGGGACATGTGGAGGTGATAAGAGGAGGAGTAGGGAACTAACAAGCTGATAAAGCAGTTGTCCTCTCTTGTCACTGCGCTGTTAACATTGTTAAATGAGACTGACAGATATTGATGTGCATGTTTGTGTGTTTTTGTGGACATGCGTGTGAGCTTAATGCACACTTGTTGTATATACCCACAACATGGTTTACGTTTCTATGTGATGGCTCAGTTTATTGCCTATAATGGCTTACTTGTGCACTTTTATGATGACACGTGGAGAAATCAATCATCAGCTGTCTAATGTGGCCAGTGACCAAACATTATCCAGGTTGAGGAGATGATGGGAACAGTTTAAGGGAGAAAAATGACAAAAACCGCTCATTTGCTGATCCACTCCAAAGTGGTTGAAATCACCCATTTCCTTAAGTGTCTTTTGGTCTTTTTTCAGAGTGTGTCCCCCGCAGCTACAAACACCATATAAAATTCCCTACGAAATCCTCCATTGATTTGTAAAACTCATTCCTCATGCCCCCTTTTTGCCCATCTCTGACGGTAAGAGAGAAAACACAAAGATGAGACAGGATGGTGCAGAGTCGATGTTGGCCATACATCAGTGCTGTGCCGTCTAAATGGACAGCTTAGGTAGGATTAGTTGGACTAACAGCAAACATCTTTAGAGGCAAAGAGGTCACCATGACTGTGCATGGGTGCGCATGTGGCAGGAGTACAGTGTCCATATGTTGTAAATCCTTTCCCCTGGGGACAACACATACGGGCCCTCTTTGAGTGGCAGGAAGCACACATTTATTTGGCTCTTCACAAGTCTAGAAACCAAAACTGTGATTTAGGAAACATCAAAATGTCTGAGGAGCCTTAAATTTGACTAGAATGGCCTGGATTTAAAGGTTCATTGGAGCACTTTTCAGACTCTGACATCAGTAGATTTATTCTATGTTCCAGCGCATGTCTCTTTTTAACCAATAGAGTCCTACCAGCAAGTGGTCCCACTGTCCTAAAGTATCAGTTTAAAGCTTCTCAGGGTCTTTCAACACAGCTACCCCACCGAGAGGGACACTGGCTTGAGAAAAGACCTGGACACAACAGGGGGCAGGAAAAACCATGAGGAAAATGTCACATGGCTGTTACATGATCACAATTTATCGGAGCAAAAAAAATATGTACATAATCTGCATGTAGTTTGGTTGGTGAAGCAGCATCAGGCTGGTGACTTATTATTAACAATACAGAGAGAGTACATGCACACACACATATAGAGAAAGAAAAGTGGGGTGAGAGAGAAGTGTGTGTTAGAGGGAGGGAAGTATAGAGAGCACTGTAACAGTAGCCTCTCTCCTCACAGCCAGCTTCATCACCCAGAGGAATAACAGTTGGGTACATACAATAGGCTTGCGCATAAAGACACACAAATAGCGAACTGAGAACTATTGTAAAGTGCAAATGCATGGGGAGAAGAACCCTATAACACTTTCTAACATCCCGAATGACAATGCCAGATGTCAACCCACAGGCAGACTTGCTCCTTTCAGATGTGATGCACATGAATCAGCCTGAGAGGAGAGGAGAGTTCATCAGGGGGTACACAGTTCAAACAGGAGCAAGACAAAACCTGTTTTTTCTCTAGATAGAAAGATTTTGAAAGCTAGTTTGCTAGCTTAAAAAGTTAGTAGCTAGTTCGATGGGATAAAACTAAATGGGAAGAACAAAAACTAACTTTTCAGCAAGTGGTATTGAAATTAAGCTAGCTACTTTTTTTTTATCCAGCTAGCTGTCTTTCTATTTAGCTAGCTAACAGCTTTTAAAATCTTCTTATCCGGAGAGAAACAAAAGAGTTATTTCCTTGCTCCTGTTTGAACTGTGCACTCCTTGATGGACTAGCAGCTGTGTCCCAGTTCAGAAGCTGCATCCGGCAAAGGAAATGTTTCAAGACCAGTGGTGACACAGCAGCTATCAAAGAAGACTCTGGCAAATGCGGAGGACAAATGTGTCCTTCTTTTCCTGGACCTACAAGTGTGTTTCTGGTGCACCCTTCAGATTGACTGATTGATGAACAAGTCCCACAAAACTCTGAGCACAAACAGACAGGGGAAATTACTATGGGTGGTGTGTGTGTGTTTGAGTGTGTGAGGTGGTGGGGCAAAATTTGTTGCCCCATGGGACACAGTGGATCCTTACACCAGCCCCCACAGAGAAGGATAAGGCCATCTGCCTTCTTCATGCATCAATCCCATCTAAAACACACACACACACACACACACACACACACACACACACACACACACACACACACACACACACACACACACACACACACAGGGTACCAGGCAATATGGAGAGGCTTTGCCGACTGTTTGATCTGCCTTTCATCCATCCAGCAGCAAGAAGGCCGCTGAGCCTCTGTGTGTGTCTCTGGTTGTACTGTCCACTGTCCCTGTGGAAATCAGCAGCTGATAACAACAGCTTCAACCTGAGGCCTGAATGGCAGCACACAAGCTGATCCGCCTCATCTCTGAACACAGGGAATCAGGAGGGGGCAGCTCTGCGGAGCCATTCAAACTCAAATGACTTAATTCGGATGATTCTTTAAAGTAACACAGATGACACACAGGAGAGACGTCAGTCTTAGATAAAGGGTGAAGGCAGGTTTTTGGGGAGAAGGAAAAAAACGACTTGGTAAATTACACTATACAGCTATTTAAAGCATCTGCAAATTTATTTAACAAATCAATAAGTGATGTTAATTTTCAGAGGCAAAGCCTAACAAGACTGATATAAAAGCAAAACTTGTGCAAGTAAAGAAAGGAGTAATTTTAGTTACAATAAAACCATCACTTTAAGAACTGATTTGCCATGAGTTTGGAAAAAGGGCCATGGAGACCAAGAGTCCAAGAAGCTCTCGGCAAACATGAGTAGGAATCAAAAACTTGTATACATGACTCTAAAGAAAGCTGAGTTGATCCAAACAATGCTTCCAAATATTGTTTATATCAATGGTTCTCAACTGGTGGGTCCCGACGAAGTGGGTCGCAGACATGTTCTGGATGGGTCGCGAATAGCTGGTCAAAAAAGTAAATATTTAATGCATATCTGATGTTTGACATGTCTTTTATTTTAAAAAATAGCATATTTTAAAGGCATGGATTATGTCATGGTCCTCCTTTGTTTCTTATTGATGTGGCCTGAATGCAGTAAAAATACATGTTTTTTTTTTTTTTTTTGGTCTTTATTTTGTGCAATTTGATTTGATATTTATTCACTTTTGTCCATGCTGTTGCATGGTCCTCCTCAGGTTCTTGTGAATGTGCTCTGAATGCAGAAATGCATTTAAGTCAAATTTTTCATATTGCTGTTTTCCGTTTTGTGCAATTTGATATTTTCTGTATATGCAATTTTAGTAGTTGTCATCCTCAGTTCATGTGCTCTAAAATGCAACTTTATTTAAATGAAAAATGAGTTTGCTTGGTTTGAATTTTGTAAAAGTGGGTTGTGACTTAAGGACAATGGGAAAGTGTGGGTCCCAGAGTGACAAAGGTGAGAACCACTGGTTTATATCATGTTTTTAACTTACATATTCAACAGCCTGAGAGGGTGCTTGTGTCACACTGACCGTGAGATCTGACCGTAATATATTCAAAGTGTCCTGATGTGTGGCAAGGAGAGAAACACCAAGTTTTAAAAAAGCCCTCTCTCCCTCTTCATTGCTGACTTGTTCATGTGGTCTGAGGCAGACTGAGGCACAGATGGTCAGAGAGCTGCTGTGGTTTGAGTTTATGAGTCCACTCAGCTGAGAGTCTGAGGCCTGTCTGAGAAAAGAGGCTAGCCTCAACATCAGCCAGACTACAGTACACACACACACACACACACACACACACACACACACACACACACACACACACACACACTGCACTGACAGCTATTAGGCAATCAATAGAAGCTAATACATCAGAGTATTTGACCACTCAGCTCCACTCGCTTAACAGACAGAGATGAAGAGAAGAGAAGAGAAGAGAAGAAAAGAGAAGAGAAGAGAAGAGAAGAAGAATAGAGGAGAGCGGGAGGATAAGAGAAGAAGATACCTGAGAGGAAAAGGAGAGCGTGTCAGATAAAATAGTGGTAAGAGTATAAGAAGCTGAAAGAGAGGAAAAGAGAATGAGAAAAGGGACTACAAGAAAAGAGGATGAGAGCTAAAAAAAAAAAGACAGGTGAAAAGATTAAAAAAAGACAAGAGGAAGGAAGAGAACTGTAACACAAAAGCAGAAAAAGGTGAATCAGAAAAGAGCAAAGAAAAGAAAAATGAAGAGCAGACAAATTAAAATTTGTAAGAGTTTAACAGAAGAAAGGGTAACGATGGTAAGACAAGAAAAGGTTAAACAAAAGCAACGAAAGAGAAAAGGGAAAACAAAAAAAAACAAAACAAGAAGACAAAATCTGGAGGAAGCCAAGAAAAGACAAGACAGGAAAAGAGGAAAAGAAAGAGAACACAGTGAAAGCATGACTTGTATGAGGCGGTCTGGATGCCTGTGTGATGATATTCCTGTATCCTCTTTTTATACCAATGAGCATTATTATTGATCAAAGATATAATCAAGTTGAGGCTGCATTTATTATGTATGTGTTATAAAACATTGTACATTGTTTAGTAGAGAGTAATGGTTCATGTGCTTCAACCTCAGAGGGGATTAACCTCAACACATCCATAAAACCCTTCCACTCTTATCATGAATATCACATTAATAAAGGAATTAATCTGACAGACCGCCCTCCAGAGGCTCTGTAAACTCACCATGAGGATAAGTGTGAAATCAATCCCTATAAACGTCTGAGATAAAAGTTCTCCCCCAGTGGAGAGTTTGAGTCCTAAATCAGCCAATCACAGAGGTGCTAGTAAAACCAGTCTTTTAGCACAGCTCGCTAACAATCTCAGTATTTCAGCTTTGGCAGCTCATTCTCTTTTTTCTCCTTCTGTCTTTCTTTTTTGTCCTTTTGTTTTTGTCCCATCCTTCTCCTCCACCTCCTCCACCCCTCTGCTCCTGCAAGACCACATAGGGGAGTTTCCTCTCTTTTCACATTGAGACACTCATAGAAGCTTGGGGGTTGTATAAATGGGAGGTAAGGGTGATCTACACTTGTTCAAGCATCCATGTTTTGGCTATTTGGAGAGAGAGGGAGGTTGTTAAGCAGTCAGTGAGGAGGTGACCCCTGACCCTGAAGGCTGCTGTCCATCCGTTACACAAATAAAAACAGAAAGGCTGGACAAAATGGAGCAGACTTTACTGCTTATCTCCTTCAGGAATCTCTGAAAAAAAGTGATCTGAAGCCCTCAATGTTAGAGCTAAATTTCACCTCATTCATCAGGTCTGTTCAATACATATCAGACTGGCTTGATACTGGGATGCAACTGGCTGGAACAAGATTACATAACCCCTTTGTATCTGCCAAATCCAGGCTAGGTCTCATTTTTAAATCTGCACTGTCTGCAGAAGTTATGGGGACTGGACTGGTTGTAGCAGGGGCTAATGTCCATATACTCATCAAAATAAATACATAGAGAAGGATGACTACAACCACACACTGCAACAATAAACTCAAAATCAACACCAAAGTCTCTGTGAATTTACATATTTTTAGATAAGTGCAACGATGAAATAGTAAAGCAGATACACCTTACATTACTGCAAAAACAGGGTTGCACAACGACTGCTAACTAGCAGCTGCCTGTCAGTTGTAACTTGTAGGTAGCATAAGCTCAAGGTACAACGCACATAATAAAAGTAGCTTACTTTTAGACAATAAAGGTGACTTATAAAGGTGACTTATAACATTAGTGCACATGATTCAGACTGTCCTCTTTATTAGCATCCTCAGTATCTCTACCCAAATGGAAATTCATGTTGAATTAGCCTTCATTGAAATGTTGCTACCAACATAATCATTTTTTCTCACTCTTTTTCTTTCTTCCTCTTCCTCCAGCACTCGAATTTGTTCAGTCACCCACTTAACACTGTCGAGGTGTTGCTCTCTGACTGCATACCCATAGAGCGGTGACCCAAAGGTTAAAGGTCGCATGACGGAGCAGTGAACAAAGACTAGAGACTGTGTCATCTGTCAGACCCCATGCTGCAGCCACCATCGGTACCAATTGATGCTCACTTTAAATTAGCATGAAATCAGGCACAGACACACACACTCACACACATACAAAGATGAAGAAATCTATCTATCTATCTATCTATCTATCTATCTATCTATCTATCTATCTATCTATCTATCATCTGAGGACAACATGTGGCACAGTTGGAGACAGTGTGAGGGCAGATGTCAGTCTTTGTGTTGGGAGCAATAGACCACCTTACTGCTGCACTCTATTGTCATTCATTTGGTCCACTGGGGTTTGTTCACTTTTTACTGTGATCAGGACTGCAGACTCCAATTCATCACTCAGCTACAAATGAACACACAGGACAGTGGATGCACACAAAGAGACACAGGCACTGTAAAATGGCTGGGATCAATACAGAAAACACATAATTATGCATGGAAGTGTTTACAAAATGTTAACTGTGATTACACCCATGTAGTATCGTGAGTTTTCTGATAACTTTGTGCTAGCATGGACACTAATTCACTTTCAGAGAGACTAAAGTATGAGCAAGACTTTTTTGACGTTTTTATTTTTATCCTCAGTACATATAACTGAAGAAAAGGACGTGTCTTGCTGTTTTATATACTTTTCAAATAACACAGTAAATAATTTATCCTGTTGGAGATTTCACTGTATTACCAGATCAATAAAAGAAGGTAAAAAATCTTGTTTTCATGCGCTGATTTTTTTATTTGTTCATCATGAAAAAAGCAGACGCACAAAAAAAAAATGTATGCAGAGTCTTTGGATTATTTAGCAGCCTCACATTACAGTAGAAAATATTTACTTACATTATAAATAAAGGAAGGGTATTACATATATTTCGTACACAAATATGCTCCAATCAACAATGACAGAAATACTTTTGCTTTTCAAGCACTAGTGGTTGCAAGAAAACCCAATGTAGTAATAATAAAGATAAATTACAAATAAAAATGAAATTATTATTATTGTCATCATTACTTTTATTATTAATTATTATTATTATTAAATTACACTGGGTTAGAATCACTGCAGAGTGAAAGCTTTGAGCCACAAAACAACAGATCACACATTTTAATGTATTATAAATAGAGTTACGCACATTTTCTAACAATTTAATTTATGATGAGCTTTTATTAAATAGGTCTGTTATAGAATAACCCTTTTAAAGCAGCATTTATGCAATGAAAAAACACAAGATCCCACCTTGAAGGCTTCTCTTTTTTATCTTTTATGGCTTTATGGTCATTTTTTTTATCCCCTTGTATTTTTGTAGTATCTTGTACAGTATAAAATCCTGTAAAACAGACTATTATACATGACTCGAGTTGTTGGATTTGTTTGATTTTACTGAGTGCAGTCTAGTTCAGATTCTCGGGCTTAGTTCCAGGGACGATATTCTGGGTTCAAAACTGTTAGCCCAGAGTAAGTCAAGTTTTTCTGGGATTTTGGATTGTCCTTTACTGCAAACGTGGTATCTTCCTGCAGTCCGCTGCTTGGAGAGGTCTGAAGACTTGTACTGTCCAAGATTTCTGCAAATGAATAAATATAATAATGAGTTACCAGACTTCAAGCAGGCTCAGTAATGCAACATTTTCTTGGCTTTGCACAAAAAATAACAGGCTGTACAGAAATCCAAAATGTGAAAAATACAGGCCCATCTCTGTACAATATGGTACAAAGTCATTGTGAAAAGCACAAAGCTGATTTAGGAGAGATTGCTGCTAATAGGCCACAGGATAAAAATGTAGGCTAGTGCAGGGTTTAAATTTTCTTTAATTACGTTCACATATTTCTAATTGTAATTATTTTAAGGCATAATACAGCATTAAGAGTGTCTATGGCCTGTATTAGCTACACTAGCTGTAGTAAATAAAGTCTAATTTCTTACTTGTGTGGGTTTTCATGTGGTAGTGAAGCTCCTGCTCCTCCTGAAAAGCAGCCCCGCACAGCTCGCAGGGATACGGCTTGTCCTTCGCGTGAGTCCGCCGGACGTGGCTGTCGTGGGCGGCGTGTGAGGCGAAGGCCTTCCCGCAGTGCTTACACTTGAAGGGCCGCTCTCCGGAATGCTGACGGATGTGTGTGCGGAGGATGCTGGAGGCAGTGAAGGCCTGAAGGAAAACACGAGGCTTTTAATAAATTCAGACTTCAAAATACTTATATTTGAGAGGCAAAATATTTCCTGTTCCATTTGAAGGTCGCTAAATTTATCTAGTATTTCTAAACTTGCCACATGTCCATACCGTTGACGACTTTATTTTGAAATTAGCTTATTGCTAACAAAATTTAAACGTCGACTAACGTTTTTCGTCTCGTGCATTAGTGTTTTTTTTTTAAACCTATCGAAAGACTGTCAGCCCCTGGTCACGTGCCGTAATGCCCAAAGTGTTCGGGTAAGTAGAAAGGGGGATTAGTTTAAACAAAACCCTCTCTGGGTGCGTAAAAAAGGGGAGGATATCAGAGAAAAAAAGAACAAAAAAACTTCTGCTCATTCAAGGGCCGTAAATTTGAAGTATAATCCCGTTAGACAAAAGGGTGGGTGTGCATCTGGCGATAATTAGCATGTAAGTGTCCTCGCGGAGCGTGCCCAGCCACAAGACAATGATGGGGGCTCGCGCTAAATGCACCATGAAACAAGGGACACAAAATGGATGAGGGACAGTGTTAGTACAAAATAAACGGAGAAGAAGAGAGAAGGGGAAACGGAGGCCTGTGTGTCAGGATTTATTAAAAAAGAAACAGGATGAGAAGTTAATGTATTAATCTGATTTTAAAGCTTTGAATAAACTACTCACGTCCAAGGAAAATATATATTTTTTCTTATTTATATATATATATATAAAAAAAAAATTAACTCCGTATTTACATTTCCCTCTTCTCTACTTTGAGCCCAACGTGAAATATTGAGTAAAGGCCATTATCAAACATATTTACGAGTTAACATAAATAAATATTCTTACCTTATTACAGTAGACACACTTGTATGGTCTCTCTCCAGAGTGCACACGCATGTGTTTGTTGAGACTAGACGACTGGGAGAAACTCTTTCCACAGACTGAGCACTAAAAATGGAAGAAATAAAAAAACACCATCATGAGTCAGAGCATTTTTTGGATGTTAAAGAAAAAAATAAACAATTAATATTTTCCCGGAGTATTTACTGACATTAAAAATAATAATTTGGATATTTCAAAGGCCAATTTTAGAAGCCTTTATTTTTTTCTGTGGTAAAAGAATGGAAATTATTTCTTAATTTTCATTTTTTTGTGGGCATTAATCCTTAAAAAATATCACTGACTGGAGGTTTTACGGTAATTTTACGGTAATTTATAAGCACTGTAAAAGTCTGACGTTTGTTAGTGACACAGTAGGGAGCTGTTCTTTCAGCACCACAAAAACTTCTGCACACACCTAACGACCTGTAGCCATCGGTTCAGCAGGTATAAAGGCTTGTTTTCTCGTACCTTGTGAGGCCGGTGTTTCTCGTGCACGTGCAAAATGTGTATCCTTAATCTGTCTCTCTTCTCGAAGGATCTGTTGCAGAGGTGACAGGGGAATTTCCTGTCTCCCTGGTCCACGCAACGCGTGTATTTGAGGTGTTTGTCTCTGTAGTACTTGTAGGCAAACACTTTCCCGCATCTGTCACACTTGAAGCCCTCACCAGAATCTGGAGGATTATAAAAAAAAACATGTTCAGCATTGTGGAGGTAGGAGACAGGGATTAAAGAAAATGTTGAATTTAAGGAACTAGATTCTGACCTTCAGCTTGAGACACCACGTTGTTTTCCTCTCTGGGGTCTTTCAAAGTTAGGGGGATTCCAAGGAATTGCATATAGCAGTCTCCATACCACACCAGCAGCTCCTGGCCAGGCCGGATCTCTTTGCAGGCCTCGTAAAAGATCTGACCCTGGACCTGAACAGCGATCAGGTTTTGCTCGTCCGGGAAGCGAGCACACTTCACCAAAGACATCCAGTTTCCTGAACCTCCTCTGCCGTCCACGAAGTGGCTCAAGCGGCCGTTTTCAAACACCTGGAGGAAAATATTTACCTGCTTGTTAAATCCAAACTCCCACGACAACACAAAGACTGTTTTTTTTAAAGCATTTTAGCTCATTACCTCCCACATTAACGTGTTATCGTCATAGGTTTTAATCTCGCTGGTGTTGACCAGTTTTCCCTGGAATGGTCCGAAGCGAGTGCCTTTGGGGATGCTGGTTTTGTCAGTGAAAACCCCACGGTGTGACACGTTTCCCCACGTTGTCTGAAGGATTGTCAACCCTGCAACACGAAGAAAACACTAGTGTCACATATGAACCCCATAAACAGAATTAAATTGGATGTTTTCGTAACCCTTTAATACCTGACACCACAAATTATGGGCAGAAAATTCACAATTTTTTTGGAGCTTAAATGTTTATTTCACTTAAATCAAAATGTCCTTAAAGTATATTTATTTATCTCATTTGATACGAGAGGAAGAGGACATTTTTATCATTTATCGGACTGTATTCAGGTGTTTTTGTTTTAGAAATTTGTTGATCATATTAATTTGATAGAAGTATAAAAAGTAAGTAACAAAAATATGATACAAAAGGCATTAAAGGGTTAAATAAAAAGTGTGTTTACCATCTGGAACTTCGAGCGCTTCTTTGTCCAGTGGAAGAATATGAGAGTCAGAGACTGAAAAAGAAAATATTGAATTAAGAACATTGTAGATAAAACACTAGAAGCTCATTTATGTTGAGTTTACAGTTATTTTGAGATAGTTTATTCCAATTTTAGGGAAGTAGATCTCCATTTAGACAGATATTTTCGAGACTTTACCTCTTAATACAAAACAAACATTTAATAACTGATTATAAAGTCTCACCTGACTTTTCTGGCAGCGTCAGTCCTGATATTGCGTGACCCACGTTCCGCTCCTGGTTGCCAGAGTAACCGTACAGTACCATGAACAAGTCATCTTCGCTGAAATTATAACACGTGCGCGTTTTCTCCGGCGAAGTCTCTGCGCTCCGGAGCCGAAACAAACTCTCTTTGGCCGGCGTGGAAGTGGACACGGAGGAGGACCTCTCACTGGATGGGCTGCTGAAGTCTGAGGACAGCGGACCGGCCGCGTGCTCCGTCACCACCGCAGCCAGCTCCTCGGGTTTGGCGTGCTGATGTTGCCCTGGCAACATCTGGCTCAGGTAAGGGATCCCAGAGGCGCTAAACATGTGCTCGTGAAGGACTGAGGGGTGGTGCGGGAACTGAGGGGCCCCGCCGTGCAAGTTGAGCGGCAGAGACCCCTGAGCGTCAGACACGAGACGCCCGAGGGACTTGAGCGGGTGGAGGAGGCTGTGAGTCCGCGGGAAGAAGTCCATGTATGGGTGGTGGGGGCCAGGGAAGAAGCCCCGCGCCGGACTTCCCTTCAGCATGCCGGCGTGGTAGCTCGTGTCCTTCAGCACGACAGGGATGCTGGACAAGGATACCGACATGGCGGTATAGGAGGGAGGAACAAGGGGTCAAGAGGAGATGGTGGTGTTTCCTTTAGGAGAGGAGAGAAGGGAAGGGGAGGAGGAGGAGAAGAGGCGAGTTATAAAAGTTTAATGCAGGTAAACTAAAAGGGGAAACATGACATCAGGAGAGGTTTACCACACCTAAATGAAGGATTTTGACTGAGCTATGTCTAATAAACAACGTTTAACCAAATGATCCACATGCGCAAACTTGTAATTTTCGCCTTTATACCTATAATAACACCACAATCTAACCTTTAAACCACCCTGGATACGGACAACTGAACGGATATTGAGCAAAGCTATTGCGTTGTAAGTAAAAAGCGAAATTGAACAGCTGATTTTGCAATATTTCCAGCTGAGGGCACACGCACCATAAGATGCACATTAAATGTTCATCAGCTGCGAGAACATTGGTATGTTCTTTTCAGGAATTGTCCACCCATCAGCCAGTAAAAAGAGAGACAAATCAGGGTCGTGACACCCATTACGGAATAGCCGGTCGGAGCAGAGGTCAACATTAATGAAGCTACTTTATGGACCTTACAATGACCGTACAATCATGCATGGAGAGAGAGACATCAGCTGGGGGGAAATAGGAAACAAACATTGTCTTGCAGTAGGCCTCTTAGTTCAAAATGTGAAAATAAGCTTTGATATGATAGAAGAACTAAGATTGGTTTTGGAAAAATTGGGAACTTACCTTGTTAAATAAATTGAAGATATGTCAGAGTTCAGTTGTCTCTCTCATGTCCATAGGCTCCAGTTTAAAGCACCTCCAAAGCTCCACAAACGCGCACGGATAGAGCCAAGCAGGTCTAAACTTCAGAGAGAGCTGTAGCTGTGTGTTGGTCTGTGGTCATCTGAGGGCACCTTTACTACTACTGTATTACAGTGGGGTCTGCAAGAGATGCTTCCCTGCACCTTCATCCTATTGGTCAGGAATCAGCTCAGCCTCATGCATCTCAATGCCCCCCCACGGGAATACATCTTCTCAGGGACTACCCACTCCTTTAACTTCTCCACAGCAGTCTGCTTTCTCTTCTACAACGAGGCCGGCGGGGAGATGACACCCCCTCCTCTGATAACATTAACACGTAGAGCCACAAACACACAATTCAAGCCTTAATGGAGAGGAGCCTCGGAGTTGGAGGAATCGGACCAAACCTCACTGAGAAAATGAGTAAATCTAAAAAAGCTTTTGTTTTCGATGCTGTTTGCAGAGGCCGACATCCACTGTGAAGCTACAGACAAACTGCTGGGATATTCATTTCTTTTCCACAAATCATAAAGGTTGAATATCATAGACTGTATAATAGTAAATACAGTCTATGTTGAATATATTGACCGATATATCGAGACCATTTTCACGTCATGCATTCATCACGCACTGTAAATCTTATTTGTGGTTTTTCATGTTAAATTTGCATTAATTTAAAAAAGAAAAATCGTCTTTCGTTTTTATTGAGATATGGTAAAATGAAAAAAAAAAGTTTAAAGTGACGTCTATCTAACCTAAAACTAAATGCAAAAAATAAATAAATAAAAATGGAGAATTTTTTTTTCCCTATTTTTCTGCTGAAAAATAAACAGTACAAATCACTACAAGCCTACTTAAAAAAATCATTCAGTCTTCTTTTTATGATGAAATAAGTGTCTACCAATGAACTACTGCAATAACAGAATTCTTTATTTACAAGGCAAATAGCATCAGCGAAGCCATATTAGTTCACAACTTGCATAACTGTGGTTTTAACTTCTCTTGTATATCTAATTTTGCATAAAATGCTCACACACACTTGGGATACAAAGATGGATGCGGGTATACAGTGTGATTCCTGTGAACAATGCAGAAAAAAAATATTTCAGGGGGGGGAAAAACACAACAGTAAGCTTTCTTCAGAAAGTCCATATAGTATTTTACATATTGCTTCAATATCCCTATGTATTATCTTTTCCATACAAACAGTGAGAAGGGGGAGGGAGGGAGTGAAATAACAGAGTCTTCAACCCAACACAGAACAGAGCAATGATGAGGGACAGAGCCTCCAGCAACTGCGATAAAGTTGAACAATGATGCACCCATTCAATATTGTACACAAGTCATTATACAAATTTATACATACAGCGGTGTAATGTACAAGAACGAGAACGGACGAAATCTAAGGCATTATGCTAGGGATTTTAGCATTTCAAGGTTGCATCTTAGCTCTAAGAAATTGGCAGACAATACAAAAGGGCATTTAAAGTTCTTCAAAAACCATAAATTAAAGAGACGAAAAAAAATATTTTTGTTTAGTGGGTCCAAAAGCCTGGATACTTGTCCGGGGCAAAATCATTTATTTGCTCCTGTCCTCATTATAAATGCTAAAAAATGCATTGCTACCACATGGCTTTAAATCTTTTCAAAATGTTGACAATCTTTGGAAATTTTGCAAAGGGCTGTGAATCATTCTTTAAAATGGCTCAAAAAGGCTTATTCTGCACGACTGTATGATACAATCAAAACAGCATTTATCAAAAAATGTGATCTCCTGGAGGCCTGCAGTCAAAAACCGCGAGGCATCTGCAATGATGTTAACTAATACATGGATGCAGACTTCCTTTTGTCGTAAAGTTCACTTGCTACAGCTTCTAATTCCATGTCGAACTTAAAGTAATATAAAGACAAAAACAGGTAAGCAGCAGTGGGCAACATCCTAACTAAATGCTGAGAAGAGCATGGTGTAACTGCACAACACCACGTTGTCAACATGTTGACAATGAACACCATCAGTCACATCCTTAGGCCTTAAATGACAATACATTCAGAATGATTCTCTTCCTCTTATGCTGCAACATCTACATCGGACCCTGTGAAGTGACATCATATTTTTAGAGGGCCTCAAAACATGCTTACTAACAGGTCTTCTCTCACTATGAAAATAAAAGCTGGTAGAATTCAAAAAATCCAATTGAAAGGTGAGGATTATTTGGCTTGCTCCGAGTTTGTCCTGGGTTAAAATAGTTGGTATAAAAAGTTTTTGTAGATTGAGGAAAAATGTATTTCTGAGGTTAGAGAAGATGACTTGCTTTCGATCTTGCGAAGGGTCAAACCCAACCCCTACAGGGGCACAAGAGCAGCATGTCATTACCGAACACTTTATACTGCCTGAGGTCATAAAGTATGGCTAAGTGTCTGTCAGAGCAGGTCTGGTGAACCGTGCAGTCTTAACTCTGACCTCTGCGATAAAAGAGTGGCTGCATAATCTGAACAGGAACGCTGTGTGTGGATGTAGACTTTCTTGGTACAAACTGCAATAAAAAACTGTGTTTAATACTGCATCCAAACGTGGAGCATAAATGTGTCCTTATTTTATTCAGGAAACTGTACAAAAATTACAAAAACAAAAAGACAAAAAAACCCCAAAGTGATTCTCAAGTAATCGTTATTGCTTGTTTACATCACACCAGAACAGTTTGCACCTAGCAGCTTGTATGAAGCAGTTTTCACTCCAGACAACATAGAAAGCACACTTGTTATTTTTTCGAGTTATTGTATGGCTGTGTTGAAGATTTTTTTTTTTTTTTTACTTTTTCATGGTGTTCTATGCTAAAGGCAGAGAAGCAAGCGATAATCTGTACACTGTATACACAGCACACCCCCTTACAACCCATTCCTACCTCCCACCCCCCACCCATGTGTCTGCATCGTACCAGAACGTGACGGCTCCCACTCCACCTCCTAATAAACAGAAAAAAAATAAAAACTGCTCTATTTCAAGAGACAGTTGTGACCAGACAGGGGAAACCAAACCCTAAGGAATAAAATAAATAGGAAAGAAAAAGTTTCTCTTATCGGTATGTACAATCTCTGTATTTCATTTTAAACCATATATGATTTTGACATCTTCTTCTGAAACTCCAGGACCAAAGTAGAATCCATTTTTCAGGTTAATAGAAGAATCTTCTCAGAAAGAATACAACCATTATTGTTAAAATGATAAAAAAAGTGCCTCTTTCACACTTTGAGAAATATTTTTCTTGTTGCTACCAGGATAAAGAATCATCTACAATAATTAAAATGAATCTATACAGAAAAATAAAACTTAATTTAATACACTATATAAATCTCTTGACTAAATTAGTCTAATACAAATCACCATTCCACTCAAACCATTCTTCTGCAGTGTTTTTCAAGATCAGTTTTTTCAACCATATCTTCATTCTACATCTTAATTCTCACAACAAGAAAAAAAAAAAAATAAACAACTAAAATAATAAAATAAAAGAACAGCAAAAAGGCAAAACCGGCTAAGTGTTTGAGCTCCGTCCTTAGATTTGAACAATACTTGGAGTCTTTGCTGCCATGTTGGAACTATGTGGAAATGTCACAAATGAGTGAGAAAAAAAAAAAAAAAAAAATCAGTGTACGTCATTTTTTTGAGATGAGATTGTAAATGGCCGCTGTCCACTGAGAGGAATACATTCATCAGAACAAAGGGATCCACCCACTGCTGCCCTCTTTAGGTCAGTGTCCCCCCCAATCGAGGAGGCCTACAGTAAGTCACACTACGGTGAATGCAGCTGGACAGGCAGACAGACTGGCTCATCACAAGGCTCTCCTCCAGGAGGGTTAGGCATGTTGGACAGAGATCCACAATCCCGCCCCCCACAGCCCCCCTCACACACTCTGGTGTCTGTTCCGGGGGGCCGGACTCCTCCAGGGGCTGCTGAAGGCGCCCGGCCGGGGAACAGACGGCAAACTTGGAGCTGGGGGTGACTTTTAGGGTCTGGGCATGGCCTGGCCAGTTCAAGAGGCAGTCAGTTAAATACAACTTTTAAAGGGCCGACGTGCTCCTTGGACCAGCTGATCACTGAGGTTCAGGTGAAGGGCTCCGTGAGGGTCAACAGTACTTCTGTAGGGAAAACAAGAGATTTCAGAGTGAAGGAACACAATCTGAAAGTACACGTATTTGGTTAACTTGCAGAACTTCTCAGGAGTAAATCAGCTGCATGTGCAAAGGACTTTAAACCATCTCAGACCACACCACAGAGGCTCAAATGAGTCAGTAAATCACAAAAAGCCTGCACTAATGGCCAAACGGTAAATAATTGAAATAATCTAAGTGCCAATATATTTCTATAATCCTGGAAGGAGGATAAATCAAATGACAGATATACTGGTGTGTTACAACAGTCTGAAGTGCAGACAATCAAACAGCAGCTCCTTGGTTAAATATTCATGGGCCTTTATTGGGCTTAAAAGCATCATGAGCAACAACAGTGCATTTTACATACCAAGCTAACAATACCAGGGAGACAGAGGAAGAAAGATTAACTGAGTTATCACTAAATTATTACCAACTGTAGAGTGCTGAATGTCTGACTTGTTATCTCACCAAATCAAATGTTAATGTGCCTGTTTATGCGTGTAGTGTGTGTAAGTTTGACAGAAGAGACAAGCTTTACTGTTCAGGCTCAGGTCCAGACGGTCCAGCCTTTACATATCATGCAGCAACGTCTATACACTCTAATTGGTCTGGCTCTAAAGTGCCCGCTGCCAATTACATCATTGTCCTTTAAGTTCAAGTGAAGCATCAGAACTCCAGCTGCAAAGACTCGTGTAAACTAAATAGTAAATTATTCACTAGCACGCCCGTCCAATAAGTGTACCCAAACACTTAGGATCTTTCGATAACACAAACACAAAAGAGAAGCGGCCCGGCGTGCTGAGAAAGAAGGATGAACCTTTTAGTTTTCTTGGTCCCCTGACTGCAGTGTGTAACTGTGAGGAATCAGACCTCAAAGGTTTAAACCCTCAGAGTGTCCGACTTCCTAAAGAGAGCTACTTTAAAGGCACACCATGAGGATATTAGTAGGAAACTAGAGCAGCGACTCTGAACTCCTTGCTCCCACTGGTTTTTAAACAGTATTACTCGAAGAATTCATGCGTCACTTTTAGCCTTGTATTGACCTGTTCTTGTCCCATGGAGGGCAAGCCGGGCGACGGACCTGAGGCCATGGACGTGACACTCATCTGCCCGCCCATCTGGCCCATGCTGCTGGTAGCCATGTTGGTGGCCATGGAGACATTGTTGAGGTTCACGCCATTTCCGTTGTACATGTTGCTGTTGTTCTGCTGGGTGAACTGCGGTGATGCCTGCTGCTGTGAGAACATGCTGGAAGAGGAGCGAAAAAAAACAAACAATATTATTTGTAACAAGAAAATCAAGGGGAGTACAAATTTATGCCTAAAGCTCATTTCACACCAGGACCGTTTTTGTCATGCGATTATTTTGGATGTCAATTTTTTTTTTAACCGGTATCCTGTCAATACAAGCGTTCACATGAGTGATGTTTTCCCGTCCTGCAATATTGTGGCATTTATTTTTTCAGATCATGGTCTTGTTTTGCATACTGTCAAGTTTTGCATACTGTGTGACCAATTCTGACCAATCAGACAGTTGCGACGTCTGATTCACCAGTATATCCAACATGGCCGACCGGCTGATTGTTTACGTGTCGGAGAACAGAGTGCTTTTTGATAAAATTAGACACAAACATTACAAAGATAACGACCTGAAGGACAACATAGCGTCGGATCTCTCATCTGACGATGTTTGTATGCTTTAACAGTTTGCTAAACGACTTTGTTTTAACTTTCGTCTGTGCTATCATAAGCTTGTAATGGTTGTTACCATAGTTTCATGTGCTTATCTTACCGCCTCTGATTGGCTATAAGTGCTGACAGTTTGGCTTGAGCGTGTGATGACGTTTCCAGCTTTTCTAGCCAATCAGAGGCGAAGGAGACGGGACATTGCCCGGGATACCTCCCCTTGATGTGTATAGCCAGGCCCGTCAAAATTCACCTCTAAATATTTCGTAATTTCGCGTTCTATCTTTGTGTCGGTCCCGGTGTTTAAGGACCTTAATGCTGTTTATTCCACTGTAGTTCTTTAACTTAATTTGAAATCTGATATTTCCAAAAACTATACAAGTTTTTCTCTTTCTTGTCTGAATCAGGCACTTCAAATATACTCAAGCTCTTTCCATCTATACCTGTTCCCTCCCATGTTGCTTTGCGGCCAGCCGTTCATGTCAGGCGAACCCTGGAAAGCAGCGTTTCCTTGGCCCTGCTGCATCATGGGGGATTGTGTATGAGTCATGCGGGGAGAAAGCATGGGGCTTTGTGGTGTGCCTGGACCTCCGAACCCTCCGTCTGCTTGTTGGCTCATACCTGTAATAGACGTGTCAAGACAGATTAGCCATAATTGATCATCAGAGACTCAGCGATGAGAATAAACTGAGGAGGGGGACTAGATTACATTTCTGAACAAGCATGCCACATGACGACAAAAGCTTCAACAGAGAACTAACTTCTGAACAAGCGTGGTGGAAAGCATGACAATCCTTGTTTGCATTCACGACAACTGAGAGGCAGTTAGGAGTTTCTTACATGCAGTGAAGGAAGCAGGCAAGGAAGTAGGAAAAAGGAATTAGGAGAGCAGTTGAGGAATTCAGGGGGAAAAGAAGAACAAAAAAAGCTAATAAGAGTTATAATACTGTACACATCCCTGGGCCAGACTCTAACTGAGGAGTGACACATCATAATAAACACAATAACATCAATTATATGCTAGATTATGAGATTATGTCCAGATTACAAACTGAGCCTGAAAAGCTGACAGGTGGAGCGCTGATTATTGCTCTGCTCTGCACACATTCTTAGAGACAGGTGTCAGTGCCTCTCCTGGGCTAAGCTTTCATTGTTGTGTCATGGTGCCCTCTAGTAGAGACAGAGTGCATAGCCAGGACACTATTTGGCTAACGCACAGAATGCAGATTATATGATCACACTCCTGATAACAGCTTGTTTGTTACGTAACTGAAGGTAAATTAAGCAGCAGGATTTGGATCATTCAATAGCGGCTGATTAACGCAGTCATCAGATGATTGCAGCTACTGGAAGCATGTGATGCTGTGCAACTCATGTCACATCAACACACAGACACAATGGCGCGCGCGCACACACACACAGGTTGTCGGGTGGAGTGTGTGTGAGGCTGGGGGGTGTGGGAGCGGTACCTGAGTTGGGAAACTGAAAGGCACTGTGCTGCAATTGGGGGCTGAGTACGGCCCCGTACTGTCCGCCCATCATGTTTGTGTTTCCCATCATCATCTGTGAGGAGGAGGAGGAGGTGGAGGAAGAGGAGGAGGTGCCATGCAGGTGGAGCTGAGGGTTGGGAGGGAGAGAGGGCAGGCTGGGGGAGAGAGGGGAGGAGAAGGGGCTGGTGGGGGGAGGTGGCGAGGCCAGGCCTGTACTGGTACCGTAGCTGGGCGGGTAGGGGAACTGCTGGGGGTTGGCCTGGGGGATCCGGGGGTTACTCATGCCTCCGGCCGCCATGTTGGGAGGCAGGTTGAGTCCCTGGGCCCGCATGGCCATGCTGCGCTGCTGCTGGACCTGCTGCGCCTGTTGCTGCTGCTGCCGCTGTCTCAGGTGATTACTCAGCAGCTCCCGCTGACGCTGCGCCAACATCTGAGCATTGATGGACCCCTGGAAACAAGGAAAGAGATTAGTTCCTTTTTTATTGCGCTCTTTGTTTTTTTTATTTTTCACTTTTTTTAAGTCTCTGTTGTTTTATTTGCTTGTTGGATCAGAGTCCATCTTATTTTTTAAAGGTTTCCTATTCATCACTTTTTTACATTTTTCTGTTTGGAATGTCCTAAACAAATAAAGTTTGATTGACTGTGTTATCATAGAAAAACACAAAAAGAAAAGGCGTCACAGATATTCATTATGTGGGTCTGCTTGTGCGTCAGCGCCCTGACAAACGTTAAAATTAAAGCCTTAAAGTTCAGACATCAGCAAATTAAATACTACCTACGGCCGTTAACGACATGTCTGTGCAGACAGATCATGTGATGGCAGCAGTCACCTACCTGGTTTGGAGCACTGGCTCGTAGAGGTAGGTTCACATTCGACACACTACTCATCTGAGTCATCATTGGCTGACGGTTCTGGTGGGACGAGAGACAGAGTACAGGTTTGGACTCTTTTCAACCATGCTGCCTTAAAAGGAAGATTTATGTAAAAACAGACATTTCAACATGTTTTTCTCTAGAGCAACACAGAACAAAAATACACCTCACTGAATCAAAATAAAGTTTTATTCACTATTCATTTTTGTTATGGTGCTGAGTAACAAATGTTGAACTTTTTCTCATAATTTTAGCAACTTGTTTAAAGCTACGCATTTTTGCAACAACATAAATCCCCCCCCTACGAGTACAACACTTGGTTCAGTCCTCTGTCGGTGACGCAACACCGCTGAGAACACTGAGAACAGAAAAGGCGTAAAACTCCAGTGACGTGTTTGTTTACAACAAAACGAAACAAATGGTTTCTAATTTTTTGAATGCAACCAACCATTTGTGTTGGAGTTAAAAAATGTGATTGTCTGTGTATAACTTAAAATAAAAAAAAGCTGATTTGGCAAAGCTATGGCTGTAAAGCTCTCAGAGTAAACAGGCAGGTTTATCTATGAGCCAGTTAAATGTACAGTCAGTTCTAGATCCTGCAAAATCTGTGTGAGCATGTTGTTTGTGTTCTGTGTTTCTCCATCAGGAAGTGGACCAGCTCTGATATGATAACGTATAAAAAGAAAAATTCAACTTAGAGAGCAGTGTGCTTTCTGTAATATAACACATTTTATAATACATAGGAACACATACTCAAGTTAAGGGCCACATGAGATCTGCCTCCAGGATCAAGTTCTCATTTTTAAACTCTACCTGCATAAAGATTAGTTCACTTTCTGTTCCTGTAAATATTCTGCAATGTTTGATGAGATTGTGTAATCTGATCACTCTTTTCCCCGTTAAAATTTCAAAGTAAGTTGCAGAATCTTATTGAAGTAAATGCCAGAGAAGACCAGCAGGTGGCAGGTATCCTTGAATGCCCAGACTTGTCCCAATTTACACAGAAGACCTGCCAAAATGTCAAAGTCAAGGACCATCATAAACCCCTCTGTGTGTGTGTGTGTGTTACAGCAAAGTTACGTAATAAATAATCAAGAATCAATGACCAGGTCCACAGTCAGTCTGGATCACTATGTACCTGCTGTGACTGGAGCCGGTGCTGCAGCTGCAGCCGTAATGTGTTGGGCTGGTTGGGGACAACCCCAGTGGCCCTGAGTCCAGCCCGGGTCTGCATCCTCATCATGGGGTAACCGGGTCGCGGACCCATCTGGCCTGACATGGGGTGGAAGCCTTGCTCCTGCATGGGGGCACCAGGGTAACCTCTCTGGGCCATGTGGGAGGGTGGGGGACCAAACTGCTGAGTATACATGGGGGGCTTTTGGTCTAACATCATGGCGGGATCCTGGGGGAACTGGTCTGGCTCAAGTGTTTGGTTCTGAAACAGCCAGCCGCGCAAATGTATTAAAAACATATTGCATCATAAAAACAATCATAAAAAAAAAAACAAGAATTCAGTGTGAGGGTGTAATTTGGGACAGATGGATCTCACTTGTTCTACCAGAGCAGGGATCCCCAGGGCTCGATCAATCTCCTCAAGGCCATCAAAATCTTTTAGTGCCGTGTACAGCTGGGACATCAGGACTCCCTCATCTACAGCGCTGCCATCACCTGAGCTGAGCTCTGTACTGCACAGCAAATCATCCTGTGGTGCTGAGTGCACTGGCCTGAGCAGAGAGGAGAGAGATTATTTTCTCACTAAGAACATTTTGTCCAGTACAAACCTCAGCTAACATAAACAACCTGAAGGCCTGTTTTTTTCTTCATTTTTAAGTACTTGTGGGTTAAAGGTATTACCTGGTCTGGTTTACAAAAGCCGTCTGATCAATGGGCATCATGCTGTCAGGCCAGGGGGCTGTCTGGTTGGGTGGAGCCTGCTGCTGAGAGAAATGGTGGCCGGCCATCCCTATGTCCATGTCAGGTTGAGCTGAATGTGAAAAATCACCAAATTAGGATAAGCTAGGCTGTAATGGTGGTAATAATGTGAAGAAAAACTCTTGTTATCTGGAACACAATAGTTTCCTCTCTGGTAAACGCAACTGGGACACAGAGTACTGGGTCTGATATTACACTCTGGAAAGCTATACCTCTTTCAACCACTGGGTGGCAACCTTTAACACTTAATATGAAACAAGTGTGTGGTGGTCTTTCCTATTAGGCTCTTCCTCTCCTCCAGCACCACCAGTTTTTGAAGGACAGGGACTGAGAGTTCAATTATGGTACCCTTTTAAAATGTGGTGAGATTTCTGTGTATGAGCTCTAGCACCTGATGGCTTCTCCTGGAAACAGAGGCTTTATTGTCAATGCAAACCTGGAAGCTACTTCACAGTATCATCCTGCTATTACAGGACTTGACACTAACCTTTTTTTCCAAAAGGAGCACATGTGCTCCTAAGTTGAAGAAGTAAGGAGCACACAAAGAACTTTAGGGGCACAATGAAAATTGATGAAATTACATGTGTCTTATTGGTTGACATAAGTACTATTATTTGAAATCAATTTTAGGTCTTTTGGTCGTATGACATGGAAGCTATTGAAGAAAATGTTCAAAATTTGCCTTTAAATTTAACACAATTTTTTTTAAGTCAATTGGTCAAATGACATGGAAGCTATTGAAGGAAAACAGCCTTTTTTTGAGAACATCAACGGGTAATTTATTGATGGTCCCTTATTCAATACTGGACATTGACAGCGAGGATGCCGAGTAGATTTAACTGCACTGCTGTTAGTATTCCTATTTTTGGAGAGTGAGAAGACACCGGTAGATCTGCAGTGAATGTCTGTTGAATATCCAACCTGAAACTAACTTCACTGCAGTATTTACATAAAAAAACATTTGTTGCCTTGACTGATTTTTGTTATGTGCACATGTGCCCCTAAATACATTTTACAATTCGAGTGAAACGGTCGCACAGTCGAGCCCTGTGGTCTTGGGGACTGAGCCCTCACCATTGGCCATCATAGGGGACTGGAGCATCTGCCGAGGCCCTGGCTGGCTGTTAGGCCTCAAGGGTGCTCCGTTCGGCCCCATCCTGCCCTGCATGGCACCTTGCTGCCCAGGTCCGGATGCTCCCAGAGGAGGGGCAGAAGCAGGGCCCACCCAGCCCTCCTGTTGCTGCTGCTGCTGCTGCATGCCAGGCCGTGGACCCCCTGGAGCCATCAGGCCTGGAATAAATTCAAGTAGGAGGACAAGGAAAGTGAGAGAAATACCCCTGTTGATCACCTCTGTACCCATGATGCAATGGCGTGTTCTGGGGTAAAAGCCTATCTTTGTGGTGCAGGGGGGGATGTTGGAGGATTTCTTATATGTGGGAGTGATAGTGAGAGAAACTTTGTGCCCGAGTGTTTGACTAAATATTTCCTGTGACAGGAAGTGAGTCACTGTGCCATGCCATGATATGTCACAGGCTGAGAGCAACACAGAGAGAGAGAGAAAGTGTAAAAACACAAACAAAAAATAACTTTTCTCAGAATCTTTGCAACAAGTGTTCAAGGGTAAAAAAAAGGATGCTGTTGTGTTTCTTTCACTGGGTTAGCCACGGGGAAATTGCTGAGTAGAAGTCAGACACTATTTAAAGCTTTTTTATTCGTCCCTGAGTCTGCGCTCAGGACTTCAAGTTCCTTCCTTGTTAGAGCTGCTCAACTGTGAACGGGCAATCAAATAACAACAAGCTTTAATGTAATTTACCTTTTAATATCCTTCACTCAGATATTTTTAAACATTAACCACTGACTGCTTTTTAATATCCTGCATTTCGTTTAATTTTGTTTTGTTTATTTGTTGTTTCAGACAGGAAGTGTGGGGAGAAGTGTGGGGTAGACATGCCTCTAAGGGTTGTGGCAGGTCGTCAAACCAGCGACAGATGCATTGACGATTGTGGTGACTGTATATTGGGCACCTGCTCTACTGACTGACTTACACCACTGCCTCATACAAACAATGGGGGAAATATAAATCATACAATAACATTAAAAAATTATAAAACTCACCTGTGTTAACCATACCAGCCTGGTTAGCCATCATGCCATGATTTCCCACCATGCCTTGCTGCTGTTGTTGCTGCTGCATAAGAGTGTATGGGCTGGTGGCCCTCATGGGGTACTGTAACTGGGGCTGCTGAGGGGACACATTCATGTCAAGAGAGACGCTCCTCGCAGGCAGACCCCGGCCTGACTGACCCGGTCGGACACCTCCAAAGTCTAAAGACGGGAATGAATCGGTTTCAGTCCAGCAGAAATGTTTAATGAGTAGTGACAAATGGAGGGACTCTGGTGTGGGACTCACTTGTTGGGGCCATGCCAGTCCCCATGGCTCTGTGTTGTTGCTGCGCCGCCATGGCAGGGTTGTTTTCAGACATTTGCAGGATGTCGTTGATGATGTTCTGCTTGTCCATTGGACTGGGCAAAGAAACGGGCCGGGGTTCACAGAAGAGCTGCGGCTGGGCATTCTGCAGGTCGTTGAGGATGTCATCCAGCTCTGACGACTGGTAAGAGGAAAAGGAGACAAGCAGTTTAGAAACAGATGTGTGTCTCGCGTGCTCACACGTTTACAGAGAGCAAACTTAACACTGTGAACATAACAACACTTGCGTGAGTCTTTGTCTGGGAGATGGTAACAGCAGGCTTGGCCTTCTTTAAAATACAGCAGTAACCCCAAGATAAAATGGACCACTTTTCTTAAATCTAGGCCACACTTCACATTGACTAAGCTCATCTGACACATACTTCTCTTTGCTTACTCTGGTGCTGTCTTCAAACCCACAACTGTGCCTGCTCTGCTTTAAAAGTCCACAACTTTTCAAGCACATATTTAAGAAATGTTATTACATCTTTTATGACTGTTTTTGTTCCCATTGACAGAAAACATGCGGCTACAGAGGCAGCTTTTGCTGAGTAACACGGGAGAGTGGCGGCGGGATTTTGGTTGGTGCCAAAGCTTGAAGTGCTCCATACCCCCCCCCACATACACACACACACACACACTGCACACAGCTGGGACTGAGCAGGCTCATTACAGCCCAAGGCTGCATTCGTGCGCAGCTGGACTGTGGACTATCTGAACCGTTTTGGTACAGTTTTTCACACAATGCTCTTAAACAGAGACAAGGCCAGGCTGGGATCAGGCTTCAAATGCTGCATCGAGGAGTTACTCCTTTAAAGATGAACCTCTTTGCATCTGTTTTATCTAGTTCAGAGCAGACACCGTTTGCTCCGTCTAGTCTTTGACTGAACTTTATGTATCTTGTGAAATTGTAAACAAGTCCAGTTTTCTTTTTCATATTCCTCACCTCTCTGTTTTAGTTTGACATTGTTTGCATTCTTTTATCTCTTTTGCTTTTCATTTTACATATTTTTGTCATTTCCATGTTTGAAAGTGTCAGCCTCACATTATCGTTACGTTGCTGTTCGACCTTCATTCTTTCGCACTTTCTTGGCCCACACAGAGTACAAAGCTGTCAGAGATTCTGGTTCTGCTCGAGGTTTCTACCTGTCAAAATTTTTAAAAAGTTCTTCTTTACCCTCTTTAGTAATTGCTTATGATAAATTAATCTAAGGTCACGAAGAGCACGATGGAAGCTTTAGAGTGTGTTTATTTGGGTCAAAAATTTTCACTCTGGTGATTTTATTTGAAGTTACAGAAACTATTTCAAGTAGTTTTATTCAAAACTTTGTCTTTTTATTTGTTGTTTTTTTAACAAACGTGGCATGCTAAATTGACAATTCACTTGTTGTTTGTGTTTTCTAGGGAGGGGTTACTTGGCGAGATGAACTCTGAGATAGCATGAAAGTTGTTACACACTGATGAAATCTGATGATTCAATTACAAATTCAGTCCAATACAAAATAAGAAATGACACAATGTCCCAACAGTATCATCCTGTAGTGTTGTTTCACTTAACTGACACAAACTTACGCGATCGAATGTAAAGAGAAACATAAACACGGTGACTGTGGAGTTTCCCAGCGAGGCCTGTGGGATTTAAGGTAAATAAGTTGCACTGGCTCAAAGTGGCCAGGAGAGTGCAGCACACTTGGAAACACTGTAAACTCCTGATCGTGACACACTGTACTGTACAGCAGGAAAACAGATCCAGTGTTGTACCTCAATGTTCCACACAGTTACATGCATTACTTTTGCCTGAAAACACTGCGAAAGATCAGGAGAGAGCTGGTGTGGCTGATTAATGACAACCGCAAACACTCCAGACTGCATGTGGTTCACAGTCGGACCGTTTCCTCTTCCACCTCATGATATTTTGTTATTAAAAAAAAAAAAAAAACATCTCCACACACACAGCTGCAGACTCATAGCCACACAGTGCTGACTGCTCCGAGCATACAGGATATAGGAGAGCAGCAGTGAGTGGTGGGGTGGGAGTGGGGGTGGGGGTGGGGGTAGGGGGCGGTGGTGGGAGAGAGAAAAGCCCTAATGAGGTCAGGAATGATGTAATGCTCCTGTACGCTCTCAGTTTGCTCTTTTCCTCCTCCTCCCTTTCGTTTCTCTCTCTCCTCCCACTTTCTATCCTCTCGTCTTCTCCGGTTGCTTTTACCCTTAATGGGTCCTATTTCTATCAATCCCTGTTACTCTCTTCCCTCAATGCATGTCAGAGCATGTAACGCAATCCACATCTTTCCTCTCTGCATTTCAGGCTGGAATACTGTGTTTATCTGAAACTGGAGGGATACGTGGAGACAAAATTTCTCCTACTTAGAAATAATCTAGAAAAAGTCCATTTGCGGATCCATTTTTTTTGGCTTTTTGGTGGAAAAGTTTTAAATATGGAGAGATGGCTGAGACATATGATGCAGTACACCGTTTGAGGGCAAACATGTAAAGTTAAAAATCCTTTTTGTTTTTTAGTAAATCCTCACACTGTATAGTTACGTTTAAGATTCGGTTCACATGCTAATTCCAGCACGTTTGTGGCTGAAATACTGATTAATGTCAGTTTCTTTATGTGGTTACCAACTTCATTTTTCATATTCGGTGAAATCCCACAGAACAGGTTCTGGTAATAAGGCCAGAAGTGTCTTCTCACTATTCAACTTAGTAAAAATTTCTTTTTTTCTGGGAATCAGCTTAACCGCAGTAATAGTGAACATCACTTTATTTAGTTCTCGATCTTGATTTTACAATTTCAGCCTGGAGTTAAGGTCACCATTGTGACGCCCTGACCCGACTGGTGCCATTTAAATGAAAAAGGGAACCGAGAAACAGGCTGGGCAAAGCAGAACTGCTGCTGTCATGAAAAGCAAAAGGAAAAGTGATTTCCCTCTAAAGTGAGACTCCACTTTTGTCTGTAATTAACAGTACAACTAAAACGAAATATTAAAACAAAAAACCTTTCACACAAGTCTAAACCGCACCTATAAAAGTTCAAACTTAGTAGATAGTGTGACATTTAAAGTCATGATGGGAGTTTTACGAGTGGGAAGTACAATATTTACCAGCAGGATTTCATTACGTAATTCAAAAGATATCATCTGCCTCATGGTGGAAATCACAGAGAGATGACAGCAGTAAATGAAGAAGTTAATGAATTATGGGCCTCAGCAATGGAGGCAATTCCCGGTTTCAGTCACCTCTCATTTTTATCTTACGATTCCTTTTGGTTAAATTTTTATCTTTGCCTTTACCAGAAATTCAAACTAAATTGCAAAATGTATTTTTTGGTATTTCTAAAATAGTAAAGACGATAGGAATCATCTCTATATAGTTTAGAAAAACTTCTGGGGAATATTATTATTAAGAAAACGACATATTAACCCAGGCTACTTTTTGAGTTACTCTGAAGTATTTCTTCAAATTAATAAAATGTCTTTCCATGTCAGATATGATCCAGATGATTGAACACACATCAGTTATTGAGGACTTTTGCTGTTAACCTTACATAAGGACCTGTGCGATCTCTGGAAATGTAGCTCCAGTGGAAATGACATGTTTTGGCATGTAGTTTGACATTCAACAGACTCTTCCAAGTTAAGAGGAAAACGGCAGACTTCAGGCCGGCTGAAACTTATGGTGCACCTTTTCAAAATTAGACTGTATTGAATGAGACAAATTGATGTACTTTCTCCTACAGCTTTGATTATCCGGGTCATATAGTGTGTGTGGCTATTGGGATAAATATCCTAATTACTCCTGATGCAATAAAGACTGAACGCAAAGGCAAACTTGTGATTGAAAGTGACACTGCAATGAAGAACTTGAGCGAGGGCGGGGAACGAGTTGTGTTCGACTCCAGATGGACGTTTGCTTTATTTGACTCTTGCTCTAAAGCATATATGTTTTGTTGATGCGGCGGTAGTGCAGTGGGGAGAAGTCTTATGCAGCTTCATAGAGAGTATGTTGACATGAAAATGTTTGAAACAACCACAGGGACATTCACACATACACAACACCAAGATAATCCCTCCCATCGTAGGGACTAAATGACCATACCTATACTTCGTTTCGCCATCAGCATGGCCACTAATACTGTGCTCTGCTCTGATTTCTCATTTAGCTCTGCTCCAGCCATCAATAATTCAGCCCTCAAACAATCATGAGGAGGAGAGAGAGAGAGAGAGAGAGGAGGGAGGAAGGGAGATGGAGCGAGAATACAGTGGGTGAGGTTGGTACAGAGAGAAGGATGAGTGGACTTTTTAACTAGTACAGTCAGCTTTCACACACGGCTGAGCAGAAACCCACTCACACACATGTAATGGCTCCTAATGAAGTCATGGCTTTGGTACATGTCTAATAAATGCCCTTGTTCTGGCTTGGAAACCATAGTCACTGAAATGTGTAATCACCAGCACTGTTAAATGCTTTAAATGCTTTCACCACCACCTTTCTGATAAATCCAAGTTTTCATTTTGCTCTGTGCTCTAAGCAGGTCTCTTAAAATAAAACCTTGACGACATATGGATAAAGTATATTTCTCCCTCTTCTTCCTCTCTCTATTGTTTCCCGTTCCTTGTTCTACACTCACCACTCCCTCTCCCCTCTATCTCCATGGTAGCAGAGAGGACATGCAGGAGCATATGGCTCATCATTTTCACTCTGCCTGCCGAGGCTGGGCTCTCCTGGGGGTATCTACACCTCTCTCTCTCATCTCTCCTTCTTTGTTCAGTTCAACAGCAGCTCGTATTATCCATCCAATCACCCTTTTCCTTAGTCTTCTTCATATGTACCTGAGTGGCCGAGCACACGCTGTACATTATACACAGCGAGTGCGCACAGCTAGCACGCATTGTGTACCGCTGCACATCTGTATGCGCGCTCGGAAATGTGCAACAAAGAAGGTGGGAAACGATAAGAAAGCACAAATGGACATGCACACAAACAAAAATATTAGACAGACTTGTCTAAGAAGAGGGAGGTAATAAGAGAAAGTGTTACATTTATATTATGTGTATTTAATTGTGATTTTGTTAATTAAACATATTTCCATGGTCTCGCTGAAATCTGAAGTTTTAACAGCCACGCGCTCCCTCCGAGCTTCCTATTTCACTTTCTCCCTCCTCTGCTTTCAAGCGCCAGTCCTGACCCTCGCCGTCTGCCAAACCAGGAGACTAAGGCCAAACGCAACCAGGATCAAATAGCTGGAGAACCACAGGGGCTTCCTCCAAATGTCACAGTTGTTTGAAGCTAGGCGGACAGCTTCACCCGTGCTCGTGCTGCCAACACATATACACTGACAGGCACAGATGTGTTTAATACTTGGTTTTAAAGGACATGCGTGATGTCTTAAGTGTGTAGAAGAAGACGATCGACGTGTTTATGTTTCTGTATGAACGCCATGAATCCTCTCTGACCTCTCCTATGGCGGACGTGTTAAACTGAGGCACACTGTGTGGACATAGGACTTGGAGGAGGAAACATCTGCTACCTAACCTAGATTAAGGGTCGGACAGAGAGGAGGCAAGTGGAGCAGAAGAGGGTAGAAAAGTTTAGGTTTCTGAATGAAGTTTAAGAGGAGGAGTAAAGGGTTTTAGGGCTGCTTTTGGGGGTCTTGTGGACACACAGTGAGAACCTCCCTATCAACACTAACGCTTCACATCCATATCAACTTTCTCCAATTCTGCCTCTGTTGCTACCTCAAAGAGATGGTCCCCATTTGCCCCACCATTACGCCCCCCATGTTTTACACATCGCAGCAACAGGGACGTAAATATCCCGCCTCAAATGTCAGGAGCGAAATAAAGTGTGTGAAACTAACCTGTTCAGCTCGGTCGTATCCTGCGTCTTGTTTTTCTGCTTTGACGAGAGGGTGTTTCCCTCCTTCCACCTTCACCTCCCCGGGCTCCAGTTTAGGCACCTTGTCCTTCAGTACAGTGTCATCTTTATCCAGCAGGTAGCGTAGCAGGGCATTGTCTTTCTTCTTAGGGCTCAGGGGCTCCTGCTTGGGTGTAATTTCGGCCCCAGCAGCTGTCCCACCGGCCCCTGGGGTTTGGTCTTGGCCCAGCTCTTTGCCTGTGGCCTCTGCTGTGAGCTTGGCCAGGTCTACAGGAGACGTGCTGTTCTGGAGCAGTTGGTGGAGGATCTTGTGTTTTTCTTTAAGGGACGTGGCGTGTGTCGTCCCCGCTGTGTGGCCAGTCCGGACCCCTGTCCCGGCCTGGTCCTTGCTCTCGCCTCCAGCATTGGGGGAAAGAGACGTCTCCAGGGGCTCAGGCTTGGTGGTGAGCAGTTGCAGCAGCTTTGTCTGTCCCTTGTTGTCATGAAGACGGTTGTGAGCATCATGGCCCTCAGCAGGTCCATCTCTCTCTTCCTTAGGCTCAGATAGGTTGCTCTCAGTCTGGCCTTGCGTGTGCCCCTGACCCCCTTCTGAGTGAGGACCAAATGAGTCTCCTGCACCACCACCACTGCTTCCTCCTAGTTTTGACATCAGATGCGAGTTCACCCCTGACCCTGGTGTGACCCCAGCTGGGGAGCCAATCTTTCTATCTGGAGACCCCAGGGTGTGTGCATGAGGGGGTCCGTGTCCATGTCCCACACCGTGACACTCGCTCAGAGCCTGCAGAGCGGACAGAGAGCTGCTAGTGTAGCTGTTAGCATGAGTGCTGGCCGTGCTGCTACTACCTGCACTTCCAGGCCCTCCACCACACATCCCCACAGGGGAAGGGGAGTGCAGGCCTCCTGCTACACGAGGGCTGCCAGCCCCCCCAGGACTCCCTCGGTGCCTGGGCGACAGCATAGAGTTCTGTTGAGGTGGGTGTGGTCCACCTGCAGGGCTGGGGCTGGCACGAGATGGGCTGTTCATCCTCCAGTTGGGGCCTTGCTGTGGAGGCTGCATGCCCCCAGTGTGGTTGTGTGGTGGGGGGCAGCCAAAACGGTAGCCCTGCATATGGCCCCCCATGGCTGCTGGCTCTCTTGGGCCAGCGGGGCCAGGAGGGGAGAAAGGGGTGCTGTTGCTGCTGATGGTAGTGTCTTGGCCCTGAGGCCCTGAACCTGGCAAAGAGCCTGGGGTTGGAGGAGTCATGGAGGGAGTGGAGGGGTTCATTGGTTTGGGAGCCATCCCTGTGGCCTGACTGCCAGGACCCATGTCCTGGCCCATCCCACAAACTGTCTGCTCCCTGGAGGTGTGAAACACACAGACAGACAGCACAGCAGGTTCATTTGACAGCTTTATGACCAGATACGTTTAAAATAGCCGAGAACATTAGCCACTGTATTGTCTTTGTGCTGCTCGAAACCATGAGCAAGCATGAAAATACACACCAGAGCACATGAAGCTATCATATAGCCCTGCAGGGCAATAACAGGCTAAAACATGCAACCAAGTTCATGCGGCAGCTTTCTCTGCCTCCCTGACTGGTGTAGGTAGGGAGACATACCTCTGGAGAATGTGCAGGGACATGTAGAGCTGGGGTTCGTTGGTGGCAGGCGAGCGCACCAGTTTGCTCTTAGTGTGAGCCGACACAATGGTTCCATCAGAGAGCGAGAATCGGTAGATGGGGCTGAAGGCCTGACCATGGCGGAGCACTGCAAACATAGAAACACTTATTTTAGTTAAAACTTGTCCATTTCACGATAAGATCTCTGCGCACACAAGTGAATGACTCATTTTCTGTTACTCATTCTGTGTTGTGAGGTTTCTGTTTGCAGCTTGGATTTGATTGAGGGACAAACAGCAGCAGCTTATGATTCACCTTTAGCTTTGTTTAAAGGGGGCAGGTGGTCAATCTTTAGGGAGGAAAAAAGAAAAATATCAAAGTAGCACTTCAGAATTTTGGCTGTGGGTAGCTTTACCTTCTTGCTGATGTCTTTTCGCGAATGACATTTCTCCGTCGTTCTGCAGGTGGAACCTCTGGATGCAGCGCCTCACCAGATCCTCCCAGCCGGGCTTCATGGACGCCCGCAGGAGGCTGGTATCCAGGGACGTTATCTTACCTAAACACAGAGGAGTGGATTAAAGGGAGCCTTAGTCAGACATAGAAGTCAGGTTTTCTGAACACATGCACTGTGCTGAGCTGTCGGGGATTTGTTGTCTCGCTCGAAAATAAACATGTAGAGCAGCTTGTTGACGAGAAGATGCTCTTTACTTTGCCTCTCTGCTGCGAGACGGCTCTGTGGTTTGATATCGAGTGAGGAAATAATGAACTGAAGATTCTCTGCGTTTACATTTTAATTACAGCTTGTCAAAAACTTGAGCTAGAAATAAATTATAAGATTGTGAAGAAACGTTTTCAGGAGAAAGTCCTCAAGTTTCTTAAGAGCTCTACAAATGCATTCATTCTACCTGTACTTACATACACAGACACACACACACACTCACACACTCACTGAGTAACAGTTGTCTCTCATCGGCTGTGATTTAAATGGAGGCAGTGATGCATTTAACGGGCTGACAAGCAGACTGCTGCTTGAATGACAGCCAGAGGGACTGACTAAAGACTTGTCACAAACATTCATAACAGTCGCTTTTTACAGCATAACACCATATTCATCTTATCAGCAGGCAGACATCTCAGATGCATTGAGATTTTCAACATAACAAGGATATCATCAAACAACAAGGACACATGGTTTCTCCAGGATCTTACAGAGCTAACTAACACGTGCTTAAGGAGCAGGCTTAGTTCTCACATACCTACAGAAGTCTGGGTGGGGAGCTACAGTAAATTACTACATACTGGTGAGTAACTATTAGTGTGTGTGTGTGTCTGTCTGTTAGGTCTACATCAAGGATCAGGTGAAATGCAGATGCACTGATATTCACAATTTCTTTTTACCTCCCAAAGTGAGGCTGCAGGTTGAACTAACACATTCAGTCCTGAGGGCCTTCACCGGGGATATAATCATCTTTTAACACCCAACCTGGTGTGAAGTGATTTATGAGCTGGTGACACTGGATAAGGAAGTGATGAGCATGTGCCCGTACCAGCACTTTGATTTTTTTTTTTTTTTTTGTAATACGTTGGTCTCATCCAAACAGCTGCTTGGAGAAATAATTCGACACTCAGGGTAACCTAATATCCTTTTACCGGACAGTGTTTCCCTCAGGCATGGAAACTTATGTCTGCAGTAGAAAGAGCAATTTTGTAGATGTGCTTCGCTATGAAAGTTTGGAGGTCCCGGCTGTGAGAGTGGTTCGAGTACCTTGCAGGTCCTGGCGTGTGGTGAAGCTCTCATGCGTGGGAAGCATGGGTCTTTCCTTCATGGGCACCCTACGCGCCACGCAGATCAGGCACGACTGGAAGTCTAGAAAAGAGAGAGAGAGGAAGAAAGAGGTACAGAGGGGAGAGGGTGTAGGATGTAACAAAGAGGACAGGGCAGAAGCAAGAGGGATGAAGGGGGAGGGGAAGAAGAGGGCGTAAATGATAGAGACGGAGGGAGGGAAAGAAAATGAAATGCATGTTATTCCCAGGCAGCATAATTAATACAGTTATTAATGAGCGTGGGGATCAGGGCTGCGCTGCTTTCATGAGGAGGAGCAGCGATTGCCGGCAGGGGAAATGATGAAGTGTGACCTTTGAAGGTGCATGTGTGTGCATGCTGTATGTGTGTGCTTTCTGCTGTGTGTCTCCGGCTAGTCTCACCTACAGTGCCATCTCACACCGCTGACACCTCCCCTGGCCCGACTTTAAAGATTGCCATCGTTCAATAATGATAGCAACACACACACACACACACACACACACACACACACACACACACACACACACACACACACACACACACACACACACACACACACACACACACACACACACACACACACACGCAGATGATATTGCCAGGTCCAGGACTGGGGTGACCCAAAAAGTCTGCCATCTGACTTCTATGTGCCAGCAATACCCACAACCCCACACATGTTTCTAGCTGAGGAATTCATGCCAGAGCTAACACACACATACGCGCGCACACACACACACATACACACTTGGACACACACACACAGGCATTCCTCGTTTTAAGTCGTAAACAGAGCCTCTTGGGTGGTCCCGCTCCCAAAATCAGTGAATCCCTCCAAACTCTCTTGCTTTCTCTTCGCCTTCTCTCCTACCTTCTTTCTTCTGTCTCTGGACAAACTCCTGCAACTGTAACCACTGATCCTGGTTTGCTGCCTACACACACACACACACACACACAGACACATACACACATGCACACACACACACACCTCTGGCTTGGATTCCAGTCGGTGTATTTGCCAAAGTATGGCTGGCAAGCAGCTGGTGCACAAAGGAAGCCGGAGATGAAAGACAGGTTGGAGTGAAAAATTTGCATATCCACTTATTGTTTTAATGAATCACTTATTTAGACTTACTACGAAGTTCCGTTTTAAAGACTCCTCTTCTATAAAGTTTATGTTATTATGGTATAGAATTTGTTTTGAACACAGTATGCGTCTGTTTTTTTTTATTTCCTATGATAGAGGGAAAGCCGCTTGTGATGGAAATTTACTCAAACTACAGGATCTCGAGTTCCTTTCCAAAGCCCTAAAAAACCACTTGAACGGAGCGTTGACCTCTCTGCAACTGAACACTGTAAGAAGAGCAGGAGCAACACACAATTTAAATCATTCCCCAGGAACAGGAGCCGATGTTTATATGAGCGGCCACCACAAATGCAGCTCCTCTCTTTCTCTGCCCAAATGAGCTCCCAAATATGCTCTAAGTGTAGAGTCCAGACTAATCTGAAAGTTTTCAGAGGTTGAACGGCGGCACATGTGTTTCAAACTGCGACAGTCTGCGCTCGCAGTCATCAGCTCAGGTTTGTGAGGGGTGTGCATGAATTATAGATGTGCTTTAATGACAGCTGCCCAGCCTCACGTCTCCCTCGTGTCACTTAACTTTTCATGGATGCACGTTGAGTGGCAGCAGCTTTGCTTTTCCTCAGCTGCTTAAAGGACTCTCACCATGTCAGTAATAAGACTCAAACGTGCTCTGCTCTCATACATATAGATGTAAACTGCTGTATTCACCATTCAACCGCAGACTAATTCTTTCAAAAAGCAATCTTATTAAACTCTCTAAGTCCTTTTCAAGGTTTTTGAGCTGCATCTTCTTTTCAGTGTTTAAGAAATCTGACTATAAACTTAAATTAATTTCTTATAACAGCACTCAGTCTGAAATCCTGTTGATAAGGAATTGTAGATTTGCTGCATTATATTGTGCCATCTTATTGCTATTTCAAATTCTATTTTACATGATATTTCCTTTTTTAATCTTATTAGTCTTTCAGGTCATATTATTTCCTGAATTTCTTCTTTTTTAATTATCTTTGCTTCTTTTTTAGAATAATTTCTCATTGCTTTCGTTTCCTTAAAATTCTTGCACTTTTTCCATTGTTTTTTCTTTTACAGTAATGATTTCACTTGTTTTTTTTTCTCTGATTTTTTTTTAGTTGTGATGTTTTGCTATTTTTCATTGCCTCTTTCTCTTTTTTGAGTCTTTTTCTTTAATTTCTTGTATTTTTTCTGTTTCTTGTATTTTTTTCATCACAATTCCTTCTTATTTCATTTTTGATGTTTTTTTCCGTCACTCATTTCATTGCTTCATTTACGTCACTCTTTACAGCTTCATCCCATTTCCTCCATATCCTATTCTATTTTTACATTTTAACCTCTTTTGACCTCCTAATTATCACTACATTACTTTACTGACTTCTTAAACCTGATCATGTTTTTTTTTTTCTTTTGAGTTTCATGTTCATGAAAACACTTTGCGATCTCTTATCTGTAAAGTCATCGGGTAAATAAAATTGTCACTATTATTGTTTTTGAATCAACAAGTTGGTTCATCCAGGTCTGACAGACCGCTCAGAGTTTTTTCCCACTTCACTGTTTGTTTTTCTTTTTTTATTGTGTATCCCAGTGTCAAAGATAATCTCAGGCTGATTTCTCTCTGAGGCAGTCTTTTATTCCTCACTCATAAAAAGTTTGCCTTTGGTCTGTCATGAGCCGACTCTCATAAAGAGGGCAGTGTTTTGGAATTGCTTCGCTGCTGACATGTTTTTCCAGGACATCTTCATTCATAAGCTCAGAGATACTTATCCTGTAATGTTGCTTACATTTCCTCTAATCTTGCAGCATATCTTAATCAGAAGCTGTCTAATCAGATGTGTTTCATAAATCTGTTAAGATTTACAGATAAATGAAATTCAAACTAATTTTGTACAAAGCTGTTTTGTAGGATTATTGCTTTCACATCAAATTCCTCTTTTTTTCCCCCCCACAACTTTGTCCCTTTGCCCTCCGTACCGTCTCCTTCCTCCTTGATTGACTTGGGCTCGGACACTGCGAAACACTGCATGGTCTCGTATTTCTGCGGCTGAGGCTCGTGCTCGTGCTGCTCGTCCTGGTTCTCGCTGTGTGGGTTGACCAGCATTCGGCAGTTGAACGTGTGGCTGTTCCTCCTCGGACCCTCGCTGGACCACGGGACGCCGTTTACTGCGGGAGAGAGCGAAAAAGGACTCTTTAGAGATTTACAATGTGGCTTCATGTGAGGAATTTTTCTGGATACATATATAAAATGTTTTTTTTTTTACCACAACCAAAAGTGAACAACAATGGAAAAGGAGAGGTGGGACTGGGAGCCAAGAGAGGCTACCACGCTGCGAGTGAAAGACATAATGAGAGCAAGAAAGAGAGAATGAAGCAGGAAAAGTGTAAAAAAGGAGAGAGCAGTTGCTGGGTAGAGATCAGTCATAATGAGCAGTTGGAACTCAGAGCCCTGTGCCATCTATCCACAGCCATGCATCACAGCCAGGCCTCCATATGCATGTCCTCTAAAACACCACTGCCAATCTTTCTTCTGCTCTCCAACACTTACACAAGCGTGAGCAAACACACACACACACACACACACAGACAGACACACTTCGACACGCTAAAAAAGAACAGGAGAGATGTACAGTCACACACACACACACACACACTCACAACTCATTTAACTCTAGCAAACTCCCATCACACTCCATCTGGTTTGTGATCTCATTCGGTGCATTGATAATCTCCCAGTATCTGGGACACAGCCCACTGATCATTTCCAGGGTACTCGGCTCTTTGCTGCTCCCCCACCCAGATGGCCGGACACTCAGACCTCAATCCGAAGCACCAGGAGAGAAGGAGAAGAAGAGGAGGAGGAGTGGGGACTTGGAGAAAGGAGTGAGATGACATACATTACAATCACCTTTAGCGCAGGGAAGATGGAGAGGGAGGATGCAGAGGAGGGAAGAAGAAGAAGAAGAAGGAGAAAGAGAAACTCAAATGTGTGTCTTGTGCGGATAAACGACCTGCTGTCAAGATATGAGCAATGCTCGAGTAAAACAATGCTTTTCAGGGAGACTTCAGAAATTGAAAAGCGAGAGAGCCACGAAACTGGAACTTGGTGGGAGTGAGAATAACACACAAACTGAAGAGAAGGGGAAGGAAGGGCATGAGATGAGAATATAGGGAGAGAGCGATGCTGCTGCTGCTGACAGGGGAGGGATGCCGAAAAAGGAAGTTAATTAGCCGAGAAGAGAGGGAGGGAGGGGGGAGGAAGAAGAGAAGAGCAGGAGAAAATGTCTGGGCAGAGCATCAGCAGAAGAGAAAATGAAGAACCTATAGGTCCCACACACTCTCCCACCAGCGTGTATGAAGCTGGGATGTTTCTTTCCCTCCCACTTTCAGGAGCAGTTTAACTGTCAACATTTTAATTCCACTTACATCCACACCAAAACAGACATCCGACAATCTCAGTGCAGTAAACATGAAGAGGAAGAGTAGAGAGGGGGGGAGCAGAGTGTGCGTAAAACACAAGAGACGAGTGTGTCAATGAGAGTTATGAGCAGAGGTGAGAATGATGCAACACAGAGGACATACACGCAGAGTTAGGAAAACAGAAAGAGACGTGGAGCGCCAGTGACACGGCGAGACGGAAACTGACAGGTGGAAAAAAAAACAAAAAACGCTGGAGTGCAAAGTGAGGGGAAATTTAGAGCTGGATGCTAACCGAGGGATTTGGGCAGCAGGTTCTTGATGAACTCTGCGTGATCCCCGACGTGCAGCACGCTGTAGACGCTGGTGTTCATCAGCTCCTCCTGGTTGTAGCGGAGGTACTGGGTCACATTCTCCGACACAAAGACGATGTTGCCCTCCATGTTCACCACGAAGAAGAAGCCATCCAAGGCCTGGGGGGGAGAGAAGAATAACAGAGTCAAAGAATTAGCTTTTGAATAGAACAGATCAGTCACTGTGAAATAAAAGCAACAGTATAAGAGACAGAATCAGTGTAACCATCTTTATTTCCCTTTTTAGGAGCATGAGAATGTGTTGTGTCTAAAGCGAAGTGATTAGGACACTGAGTGCTGGGTACACCCATCATTGCAGCAGATGATCAACATCAGCGCTCCTGATAGAAAACAGGATAAAAGCGTGTGCCTGAAGAGACAGGAGGATGTAGAAGAGGAGGAGCACTTAATTGAAAGAATACAGCCCCAGGTCCGCCATTACGCACAAGATGGTGTCAATTAGGCCATCAAATCACACAGCACTTTTAAAAAGGGATTTCTGCTGGTTGTTAAGATGTGAAATCTAGCGCCAAGATAAGAGAATACCGCCATGGTAATAATCTTCCTCAGAGTTTACACGACTATGTATAAAAAAAAGCGTCTGCACCAGTCTATAAAGCAAATTTCTACATCCTAAAATATTCACACGCATATTCACGTGATGAACCAGCGGGCTAAGCTTTTGGGGTGTACCACCCCAGATCACGCCCGGACAGAAGTTTCCACCTCGCCTGCATTAACGCAGCAGAAGCCGAAAATAGACTTTAAGGGGATCTCATCTATCACAGCATGAAACTGAGCGGTTTCCAAAATGCAACATGGGTTGTGCAAGTCGGCCCCCGAGTGAAGAAAGGGCTGTGTACTGGACAAGTAGGGCAAACAGAAAGAGAGCAAACACTCCTTTGGTGCCAACTATTGCCTTCTTCCAGACAATCTTGCGTAATGCAGTTAACCAACAGCGTAATCTACGACTGTAGACATGAATAAAGCTGATACAAATGAACATACTCCAGATTAAAATGCCCTGATTACCACACTCTTTGGTTTTGTTTCCTGTTTTACACTTAGCCTGCCGTCTATTAGCAGAAGGCAGTGAGCAGTTACAGTGTGGAGAGTGGGCTCTCGTGAGGGTTTCTGTTATTTATGACAAGATAGTGGTGTTTTAGATCTGCGTCCCTTATGTCCCTGGGACATTCATTCTTGCTAAACATGTGCTTTTACAGAATGACCAAGCAGCACTGTTGACAAAAACACTTCAAACATGCCTCTAGTAGAGCTTTGGACTGAAGTAGTTTCAGACTTTGGTGATAAATGTTATAATTTTAACAAAAACAGCAACATTTGAGGCATTTTCCCAATTTTAGATAATAAAACAGGTTAAAATAATAACAAAACCGATTAAAAACTGATTTTAAAATAGTCAAGCTTTTGTTTTGATACTAATTTTGTTGATTTAACAGTTTTTCCACTTTTAATGTGAAGTATTTATTTAAGCTTCACACACAAAAAAAAATTATAACGCGATAAATACACAAAAACACATTACACCATAAAACAATATGTCAAATAAACGCACAAACAACCTCAAGAGTCAAACACAACGATGATCAAGGTGAGTGCAAAGAGACTGAGCAGGTTCAAATGGGTTCACCATGTCAATCAAGTATGGGGGGGGTGCACTATCAATCTACTATTTTGTGTATTTCCAGCAGCGCCCATAAACTACTCTGCCAATAAAGAGAGGCTGTCACTGGAGTTATGAGCCCCTCCTCACGTGATGTGATCAGAATATGAGCCGCTGCGCTCTGAACCGACTGACAAACTCTTCTGAGGCAAACCCGGCTTGAGGGACATGACAGTAATCTGATCTCCATGAATCAAAGGCTTTAGAGCCGCAGCAACAGCGACCGACGGGATGGACAGATTTAATCTGGGTGATAATTCAGAGACGGAAAAATTAATCTTTTGTCACCTCCTTTGAATGCGAGACAAATTAACCGTTACGATCAGTTTTAGCAGATAACATCTTATTCTGTTCAATCAAGTTTGGGAATTTCTTCTACTGTGTGTAGTAGCAGTAGTGTGGTGACACTTTTACTTGATTTTATTGCATTGTATCTAATTCTTTTTTATTTTTAATTAAATTTTTTTTATTGTTTTTATTGCTTTTATTTGTTCATTTTTATTTACTATGTTTTGTAAAGCACTTTGGTTAACTGAAAGGGTTGTTATAAAGCGCTGTATAAATAAAGAATATTTACATTTACATTTAGAAATAAAACAAAAATAGATATTCACATTAGCTAGAAGGAGCTTTTAAAAAAAACAGGTTTCGCTCTGGTCCTGCTTTCCAAAGCCTTACTCCGCTTCAGCATTGAGCATCTGAATGACTCATTGATGGTGTATTCATAATACAAAGCAGGGGCCACACGGTGTAGTTGCACAGGAATGCAAACTGTGCCACAGTCATGTGACGGAACAAGATTTGTCCCCGGGGGTTAAAACAACAGCATGCTAATGTTTTTTCATGACCCTGCGCTGTCTTCCTGTGCTCTCATGGCAGTGGGCAGCAGAAAGTGTAGGAGCAGGGGGTCACGGGGCACGTGGGAGCATTTCCTGCCGCTGACCAGTCCCCCTTTAGAGCATCCTGTAATAAGCCTGGGGGCTGGTCGGATGGGGACGTGGCCAGAGCAGAGCGGGGTGTGAATGGCCGATCGCTGTGTTTTGGGGCCGCTGACAGATGGGAAAGCATGCGGGCTGCGCTGGGCTATATTTAGCCGCGAGTTAGTATGTCGATTCGGTGACGCTGGACCAGAAGAGCTATAAATATTCCATGACAGGACAGATCTAGAGGCAAATGAAGAGAGGATAGGGAGGGAGAGAGAGAGAGAGAGAGAGAGAGAGTGAGAGAACTGAACAAGAGAGAGAGAAAGAGAGAAAGGGAGGGAGGAAGTGAGTGAGTGAGAGGACGGGCTCAATGGAGTGATTCATTCGCCGGGCTGTTGCTTTCTTTCCCATTATACGTAAGCACTTCAGTGGCCCTCCGCAGGACAACGAGGCCATTGCTGCACACCGTGATTTACAGCCAATCCGAGGCAGATACAAGACGCTGGCAGCTTCAACTCCACATAGCAACACTCTCACACACACAGACACTACCGGCCCATTTGTGATTGTTCTCTGCGGATGGCACTCTTCATTTGATAGTGATCGGGAGTTTAAGAGAAGAGCTTATGGTAGGTGAGTGCTGGTATGAGTGTTCAGCGTGGGTACTTCAGTGTGTGGTTTCGAATGACACTGTGAATGAGCAAGGAAACCTACCTCCAGCATCATTGGTCCCAAGGCATCTTTATCAATCACACTTTGGCCTGTTGATGAGACATCAGCTTTCTGCACCTCCTCCTCATTCGCTGCTGCTGCTTTTTCTGTTAACAAAAAAAGGTAAGAAGCACAAAATCAAGTAAGAGTCGAAGAGAATTTCGTTATGAACAGGAGAAAGGATTCGAACAGCCCTTACTCATTAGATGTTTTGTTGATATAGGGAACAAAACAGGACAACAAAACACGCCCGTCATTGAGGGTTAACTGGCAAAGAAAATGATTTTCCCTCTCTCCCCTCTAAAACTGACCCATATTCTTCAAAAGAGGTCACCTGTTCACAAGACTCCTAACAAGTAATCTTTCTGGCTACAAAGCAAACACATTTTTTTTTCTCCTTTTGTCAAAACATGTTACCGTGGCTCGAGCCCAAGCAGTGAGCGGTGATGGGAAAGAAAGGTTGTTGGAAATGAGAGTGTCAGAGCATGCAGCTGCCATGCTGGTGGCAGCCACTGGATGGACTGCATTGTGATGTGCAAAAAAAAAAAAAAGAAAAAGAGAGGGCCTTTATAAAAACAGTTACGTGTGTAAACAACTGAAGCTCATAATAGAAAGGCAAGTTGTTTCTGTGTGGGTCGGTTGCAACAAGTTGCCAACATTTCTCACTTTTTAATCACTTTATATGTATGATTTTGGTGACTGACATCTAGAGATAGAACAGGGTTCGACTGTGCGACCGTTTCACCCGCATTTGGGAGGCAATAAATGTTTTTTTATGTAAATACTGCGGTGAAGTTAGTTTTAGGTTGGATATTCGATGGACATTCACTGCGGATCTACTGGTGTCTTCTCACTCTCCATAACCGGGAATAGCCACAGCAGCACGGTTCAATCTACTCGGCACCCTCGCTGTCAATGTCGGGTGTTGAATAAGGGACCATCAATAAATTACCGGTTGATGTTCTCAGAAAAGGTGTTTTCCTTCAATAGCTTCCATGTCATTTGACCAATGGACCTAAAATTGATTTCAATAATAGTACTTGTATCAATAAATAAGGCACACCTCTTTATTTCCCAAATTTGTCCTCTAAAACATTTTTGTGTTAAATTTAAAGGCAAATTTTTTACATTTTCTTCAATAGCTTCCATGCCACGTGACCAATTGACCTAAAATTGATTTCAAATAATAGTACTCATGTCGACCAATAAGACACACATTATTTGATCAATTTTCCATTTGCCCCTAGAGTTTTTTGTGTGCGCCTTACTTTTTCAACTTAGGAGCACATGTGGCCCTTGTGAAAAAAGTTAGTGTCAAGCCCTGAGGAAGTATGAGTTTAAAGGCTTTTAGCCGTGTTTTCACACAAAAACTTGGTTTGCCTTAAAGCTGGTACTATATTTGTCACGAAAGTACAAGTACGCTTTTTATAATCCATGATTGGGATTCACGTTTTATTTTTGAAAGCTCTCAACACTGATACCCTTTAGCAGCGGGGATGCCTCCTCATATGAATGCCTTCCCCATAACTTATCTGGCTGTGTCTCCTCCTCCTCCTGAGCTCATAGTCTTACTGGATTTCCATGGATGGATATAGAGAGCAGCTTGTTAAACTCAAAGCTACCTATGGTCAGTAATATAAAGCAGATTTCATGTGAAGAGCTTTAGGCAAACATATCGTCTTTGAATCCATAGCCTAATAAAGTGCTATAAATATAAATATCAGGTGACTGCTTTACTTAAGAGTGGAAATAAAGAGTATTTTGTACCCTCCTGTACCTGCTCTGCGGTGCTGTTCATTTGTCCATGTGAATGATTGGGTTAATAACCATGCAGAGAAGCCTTATGTTCGGCGCGTAGGCTGCCCTACTTTTGGAGATGATGATGAGAGGCGGAATATGAGTGGGCTGTTGGGGGGGACACATTTAACTGTCGCACCATGCCAAGAAGAGGGCTGACCATATGGTGAGAGAATGTTGTGGTAAAAAGCAAACAAAACTCTGTCCTTCCTTTATTAATTTTTTTTTAATGGAAAATTATTTGAGGTGGAGGCGTGTAAAAGCAGACACTAATACAGGTTTCCTCTCCCTGTACTGTGGGCTCCTGCAACACCTCACAGACGCACATTCATCTCTTTCAGCATTAATGATGTGCGCATCAGCAGGACCTCCACAGACCCAGCGGGGCCCACTATACTAGCACAGCTGCCCTGGGTGCAGACCCATCACTCAATGTCAGTGCAGCCCTCACCAGCTCTCAGTCCGTCTGCAGAGCGCTGTAACAGACTGAGGGAGGACCTGCTTATTTAGTCGGGTGGTGTCTTGTCATAACTGCTACATAATCTGTAACTCTATCTCGGGTAGTATCTTTAGGGGTCCTCCCATACAAAGAATGAAAACTTATCTACTTGCAGCTACTGTATATTACAGCCTCCACCGATCAGGCTGTTCTTTGCCGTGAGTGGTTAAGAGTGTAAGAAGAAAGCTGTAAAACTCTAGGCTATGCGATTATTTTATAGGAGCTATCATAAAAGACATCATTAGTCAATATATGACTTTTTAGAAGCAACAAGCTGGAGACAAAAAATAATAATAGAGAAAGCCAAGCTGTTCTGAGCACACAAATATTTCAATTAGCAAAATGTACGCAGACAGCATGAGAGGAACAAACAAGGATAATTAAAAGCCTTTCTGTAGGGGGGGCACTTTTTCACAGGCAATCATCACCAGGACTCCAATCAGCGAGAGTTATGAAGCCGCATTGGTTTAATTTAAAACATCAGAAAAGTCGCCATAAACAGAGAATCACTGACGGCAATAAACGGCGTATAGAAAGAGATTGTGCCCTTGAAACAATCTGATATAAACCCCTGAGATGACAGATGAGCTGCAATGAAAACAACAAATGATGGCAGTAAAATGATGCGGCCTGCACTTTCACCCTTGAGACGTTTACACGAGCTTTCAGTGCATCTACGGTTCAACAAGCGCAACAAGAAAAACCAAAAGAAGCTCAAGTTTTTCGGTGATGAGGCGCAGCAGCGGCAGCAGCTCTCGTCACTACGTCACAAAAAAAAAGAAGGTGTTGTCGATCAAGGTCTGAGGGAACAAAGCAGAGGAGCGAGGACTGTTTAGCCCTTCCCTCTGTGGCTGCTGTACAAACACAATGACGCCTTCAGAGGCAGACTGGAAACGTCACTGTCGACCGGCATAAAGACATGAGAGAGCGAGGAAAGGGAAGGGCTGGAGGGGAGGGAGACGGGGGGAGGAAGAGGGAGTCCGTAAAAAAGGAAAAGGGACGGACAAAATACAGCCAGTGTTTTTGTGAGGTTTTTGCATCACATTGTTCACTATTACATAACTCTGAGCTCAGTGAGTCATCACCTGTGACATCATGATCAGCCCGTCTGATTCATGTACACCTCGAGTGGGCCACTCTTTGTCTACGACTCGCTCTGCAGCTCCTCTAGTGTTTTTTTTTTTCCTTTTCTTCTTCTTCGAGTCCAAACTTATTCATGATTCTGCTTTTTACAACTTTGTCAGCTATTTCTGGACTTTGAAGATGAAAAATAATCCACTTGTATTGGTCTAGTAATTCCAATGTGAAAAAAAAAAAAAAAGTGGAAAAAAAGAATCTCCACTAGCTGCTATGAAGGAGAAGCTGGCGAGTGCAAGTGAGCACACTGATCCATTTTCCTGATGTTCTGGCTCAGGATAGAAGTGGGGAAGATCAGCAGCCAACAGGAAACTGCTCTGGTTCCTCCACATTATATGATGAAGTGATGGAGGGAACATTAAATCAATGATGCCGCCCTTTCAAACCAGCATCAATTACTGTGGATGGAGCAGATCCCACACCATAATATTTATGCAGTCCGATCTGACGCTCCTGCCAACAGAGTGCCACCTGTGGCACTTGTGGTTATATTGGAGCATTTAAATCACAACAGCGTCCTTAAAATATTCATGATACTGCAGAACCTTATTCACTTAAATAAAAGCAAACCAGAGAGTTGCATCTCTTTGTCCTTCTCTGAGGTTTTTTTATTCGCTTGAATGATCGGTGCAAAGAGAAAAGCTGTGTCCTTTCCACTGTTTCGGTCTTAATTTGGGAACCATTCCTTTGGCTTTTGCTTCGACAAACATAAAAAGTGTCAAAAAGATTTACAGGTCGTACCTTGCTCCTTTATTTGTCTGATCTGTTTCACAGTTTCCTTCAGGATTGCACATTTGTCAGGCTTGACATTGAAGTTGTCGATGTCGTTGAAGTTGGCGAAGATCAGCTCAGCAAGCTCCTCGATGTATTTGTTCTCGTGCTCGCGGTTGCGCTTCTCGTTGCTCCGCTTTGGACTAAAAGGGGAGGAAGAAGTCAGAGTTGAGAGCATGCAAAGAGGAAGACCACAAAAGCAGAGAGAGAGGAAAGCAGGGCAAACATTGGCGTGGAAAAATGTCAGGAGAGGGATGAAACCAGGGTCAATTACTCTCCATAGGGCTCGTTGTAACATAAACATATCTGTATGAGTCCTCATTGTGCCAACATGGAGCACAGATAAAGAGGAGCCTCGTTCTTAAGTGCTCATCTACTGATGAATTATGCAGATTTATTGTACCGACTTCTACTGTGCCCCGGGGTCGACTGTGACATACAGCAGCATACAGTCACTCTAAATACTACTGTGCATACAGGACTGAAGGATTGCAAAGGCAGAGCTTCATTTCTCCTTATGTGTCTTTAATACAAACATGGATTCACTGTACATGTTTTCCACGGAGAAGAAAGGTATGGAGACTGGTCATTTTGTAAATACCAGAGTGAATCAATGTTAGAAAGACTGACACTGAATACAGCCTGGTCGATGTCGTATTTTGAGAAACCTGACTTCAATAAAAAAAGGTTGAACAGATTAATCATATGGTGACAAACTAAGTAACTTTTTGGGTGTGAATTACAGCTGGACGATTGATCGAATTTTAATCATGATTTTGATTTCGATTCTCACGATCATAAAAGCATTATAATCGAAGAAAAACAATTAATGCGCCGTACGGCGTGTTTGTAAATTCCCGTGCTGGTAGTGCAGTGCAGTGCAGAGACACTTCAAATACTCCTGTTTCGTGCAGCTACAGCAAGCGTGTGACGTTTGTGGATCAATAATATGAGGAGCGAGCGATTGAAAACATGGTAGAAAGACAGCCTTTGGTTGAGAAGAGAGGCAGGATGACTTTAGTTATCTGGAAACATTTTGGCTTTAAGTTGACGGACATCGAGCAAAAGGAAATGGTTTGTGAAGTTTGTCACACTATCGTGTTCGCTCCCCAAGGCAACATGACCAACTTCAGGCTTTGGCTGTGTTATTAGTGTTTTTTTTGCATATTGCAAGTTTTGCAGAAGTGCATGTATATTGGGTAATTATTTTTATTTATTGTTTTTATTTCCATCATTATTTTAATTTACTATTTTTACTTGTTTACTTGTTAATAATTTATTTCTGGCTGTTCTTAAGTTAAAATTAATTTTTGTTGTTTCAATAAATACTCAAGTTTTGAAAACAACGAATAATCATGTTTATTAATCGTGTTTTCAATATCAGTCAAAATAATCGTGATAATTATTTTTGCCATAATCGTCCAGCCCTCATGTAAATGACAGCTGACATCCAGCGTGCTGAGCATGTCACAGTGGCTCGCACTTTTCCCTTTGTTTCCCCGTGTATCGATGTTTGACTCAGAGTACATGTCTCACCTTGGTCCTAGAAGTTCAGTCGAACATTCTTTGCGTTTTCGCGACTCTGCCCTCGCAGGGTCAGATGAGTTTTCACCGACTCCACTCATCCTCAATGCATATCAGCGTCTGGAAGATCAACACAGGGAGAAAAGCAGCATTTTATGGCATGTATATTCATGAATGTATGACACTCAATACATCAGCTATGAAAACCAACAGCAGAATTGTATGGAACCACTTAGACTCTGTGGGTGTTCAAGCATGCCAACACTAACATCTGCATACAACGCACACATTTGCACACACACACACGCACGCACACACATAATCCAGCGCTGGGGGCACAGGTTGATCCACTCCAGGAAAAATGAGTGAAAATGGAGCAGAGAAAGAGATTCAATCATTTCTCTCTGATGGTGCGGCTCTCCCCAGAGAGGCTGAAATGAGAACACGGCGCTTTGCCCACAGCACCAGACTGCGCGCTCAACCATGTACCAAGAAAAAGCCATTCGTTACACGATACTGAAGGAAGCCAGCTCAGTGAGAGAGCCGAGAGGGTTTATGATCACAACATGTGTCCGTGTTTACCGAGCGTCGCAGCAGATACTTTTACCTGGAGAGGCTTGGAAGTGTAACTCCAAAATTAAATACATTTAAGATTGAAGTGAGAAAGAATCCACTCTGTCGCTGTTGTTTTCTATCCAGGGGGGCTGTGTCTTTAACTAACACCACGCGCACAGCTATCTGCGGTTCCAGGCTAATAGGTTATGAATCTGTTGTGTACTTAATCCAGTGGTTCTCAAGTTCAGTCCTCGAGCCCCCCCCGTCCTGCACGTTTTGGATGTTTCCCTGCTCCAACACACCTGATTCAAATGATCAGCTCGTTATCAAGCTCTGAAATGGCTTATTAACGAGCTGATCATTTGAATCAGGTGTGTTGGAGCAGGGAAACATCCAAAACGTGCAGGACGGGGGGGCTCGAGGACTGAACTTGAGAACCACTGACTTAATCTAAATCAACACAGGGTCAAAAGGGTTTTGTGCAAACCAAAAATCTGGGGAGGCAGAGTTTGAAAGGGGGGCATCAGGATCAGAATTATACCTTTACTATACCAAAGCGCCATGAGACTGAACATGTGAATAATGACACTTTTACAGTGCTTGCATACTGTTCATGTCTTTGACTCCACACTGTCACACAAACTTCGAAACTTTCTTGCAAGTTCTTCTGCAAATGCCGAGCATCAACTCTGTCATAGATTATATTTCTCTCCTTCTCTCGTCCTACCCTGCGAGTCAGCACAAGATTAACTTCATGCCACTAAATGAACAACGCTCAATTATTGATCAAAGTAATGCCTTATTAATTAGCACCATCTTCTGCACCAAAATTTGATGGTGGCTAATGGACTTGGATTTTGACATAAGACAAAATTTGCTGCATAGAAGATGGGACGCTTGCAAAGGAGGTGGTGAAATTTAAAAATAAACGCATGGAAGTTATTTCTTCATGGCCCTCTGCTTTGAAGGGGTTATAGAGGAAAGGGGGGGAAGAAGGTTGACTGACAGACAGAAAGAGGAGGGGAAAAAAAGAAAGTTTTTACCCAGCACTGTGCACAAGATAGGGGCATGATTTGTTGTGAGACACTCTGAGCCACCCTTGCCATGGAAACGGCTGTGACACACAGCTCAGCCATTACATAAGGCTGGGAGCAGAGTACAGCACAGCACAATGTAGAGCAGAGAGCATAGCTTAGCAGAGGCATGCTAAACTAAAAAAAGGGAGCTGGTGACCATGCAAACTTGAGTCTGGCTCCCTCCTGGCCTGAAGTGACCTACTTTACGCTAATGGTAGGGTCTGCGCTTACATGGGACAAGTCGAAGCGCCGGTGATTGGCTGGAGAAACAGAGGAGAGTTTGAAGGGTAAAACCTGTTTCTAATGTTCTCCTGACACGTAATTTGAGTACTGTTGGCCTTTACAGTGTTCAGACAGGAAATTAACACAAATGTCACTCATGTGTCCTTGCATTACACTCATCTGAATGTGATCTTTATGCTGTGACACCACGCCGTCCACCTAAATCATAACAGTCCTCGTGGCAGAGGTTATGCGCTTTTATTAATGACAACAGAAACAGGCCATTAAATTCTCAAAGCAAGGGGGCTCTCTCTGTCCCAATTGGTTGTGCCTGTGCAAGTTACCATGGGGATTCCAGACCTGATTGGTCTTCACTTGTCCCACCGGGCCGGACGTGATTGGTTGCCTTCGTCTCCTTGACATGGCAGTAACGATGGGTCAGTTTGAGACAAATAAGAGAGGCTGGAAGCGGTGGGCACGTCTCAATGACACCAGCGCAGACGGCACAGACAGCTCGGCCGGCGGGAAGGTTTTGTTGCTGGGGGGTCCGACGTTAACATAGGCAGACTTGTGAGGGATTTGTAATCCTAGAGAACAGCCCTGGATCTGTGTGAGGCTATAAACAGCTGGGCACTGGTGTTAGCACTTCCTGTAAAGAGCTGTGTGAGTTACTATCAACATCAGCCGCTAGGGGAGAGTTTCTCTCTTTAGAGGGTCAGAGTAAGTTTGGATCCCAGAGGATGGAGGCATGTGGCTTCTGTTTTGGAGATCGGCCGGAGTGTGTCTGGGCTTTTAAACCGGGGTGGCAAAACTGGCACTGACAGGATGGCATTAAGTGTGTGATCACAGAGATACATAGGGATTATGTACTTAAAAATTAACATGTATCAGCCAGATTTTATACTCCTTAACTTAAAGTATGACTGCAGATGGACTGTAGCTTTATGTTGTATTGAATTCGATTGTTAAAATGTATTAGTTCATAAACTACCTGCTTTGAAGACCAAACCAAGACTTCATTACCAAGAATCACAACAAACCAAACCTTGGTACTCTGATTCATTTAACAAGAAAGCTGATAAAACCACAAGCCTCAACTGACACAACCATGAAGCTGTGGACGGGATATTAAAACTCAACCCTGAGTTAACCGGAATGTTCTCTACGGCTATTTAGCTTCAATAGAAATCATCCTCTTTCCAAACAAACAGATCGAATCTCAAAACTTGAGATCGTCAAACTTTAGCAGAACAGTGTTTCTTTTAGCTAAACAGCAGAATATTTACAGATCAGTTTAAGGATAAAGTGTTAATGAGGAAACTTGTGACCAGCTTCAGGGTATTTTTACAGCTAACATCAACTAAAGACTGATAAGGATTTATCTTTAGCTGGGATACAGACATAGAGATGACTGTGTTAGGGTGACAGTATCTATGGATGTACCTATCCAGTAATACACCTGAGCTGTGTCCAAATAAGGGTCAGGTAGAAGGTTGGGTTAATAACTTCTTTATGTCTAGGACTGACGGACAGATTCTCTAAAGTATCGACTACATTTGCAGCTAAAGTTGAGACGTATCAGTCACTTCCAGCTACTTTCTGTCGGTCACAAGCATCAGTGTGAGGTTGTTGCACTACTTTGTGAAAATGACTTTGAAAACTTGAACTGAAACAGACTTTTAGGTAACAGTTTCACATGCTCATCCTGATGCGCTTTTCAAGTTTTGAAAACATTGTTTTGTAAATAAAGTTTTGCCACTTTAGACTTACCTCAGAATTGGGAACCTTAAATTTTACTGGAAACACAGTGCACATATTTATAGGCAGTATACACATTTGTTTATGTACATGCAGTAAATGCAACAGGCATTAGAGTTTATTAGCCTAGAGAGTCTGCAGTATTTTAGGTTTTATTGTCGTGTGTGTGTATATATAAACAAATAGCGATGTGACTTGGTCTGATGTTATGTTAAACTTGCATATGAAACTATTTGTACAGTCAATCAAAAATTTTAATTGCCTCTGTAATCAGATTACTAAACAGCCTTTAATTTGATATCTCTTTTTTTTACTTTTACTAACACAGAGAGCTTTTATCCTTTTATTTATCCTTTTATAATGCCTGTTACTCAGGTCGTTTCAGTCAATTATCGCTCTTCTTAAAACAGGTAGTAGCAATTACAAGATTCCTGTTGTGATACCACATTCTACTGTGCTAAACATAACACATTTTACTCACAAAAATAGGGATTTTAATATTACCACTTAATCCTCTCATCCATTTCATCTCATCTCCACATGGTGAAGGGCTCACAGCCGACACTCTGCAGGTCAAGACTTGTGTATTAATATATTGTTAACATGCGGATGTTTCTCAAACGTGGGAAAATTCTTTCAAGTTTGGGTTCTTCAAATCTATAGTTTGGATAAAAGAGCTTAAAACCAACCTGGAAAAGTATGTATGCACCTTTTACACAACACAGCGCAGTCCAACCCACTATGTACTCTACATTCAGAGCAAAAAGGCACAAATATTCAAGTTTGACATGTTTTAAAATTATGAAGAGAAGTCAGTTTAGAAGTGCAAGACAAAGTCTGTATGGCATCAATCAGTTAGAGTGGGGGGCACTCTTTGCACATTCAGAGCTATCTATAGTTTAGGCCATCTGCTTTCTGTTGCTGGTAAAAGTCCTGGCAGCCTGACAATGACTGGGAAACTGCAAACTGCAGATCTGACTGGAAATGACACAGAGGTCACAAGGTTTACTGGAGCACAGTCTCCATGTCGTCCTTTTGATACTTCGATGTTGTGATGACTCAAGCTCAGGTTTCCTTTTCCATAAGTGTAGTAAACACAACAAACTCATCTCTGCCCCTCTTCCCATTTCGCTCACCCAAACATGTAGTTTTAAGAAGGTAAACATACCTTGATATTTGTGTGCTGACAGGTTTGTTCTGCCAATGTGAAGTCGACACTTCATTAAAAGGTTTTCATCTTCCTCTTGGACTAACTATGTGACTGACTCAGAGGTCTAAATGAAGCAACAACCACAACCACTACCCTGCACACTCACAACCACAACACGGATCATTTCCTAATAATTTATCCTCTTTAACAGACTGATTTCACAGAGTGTCTACTTCTATAACAAAAGCAAAAATCAAAACAATATTGTCTTTTATGGGCATAATTATACAAAAATTTGCTGATAAACATACAATCTGAATAAACAGTGTACATAGATTGCGACACAAGTTGAAGTTTGCAAAATCAATTGACTTTGAAAGCCCTGAGTGCACTTGAGGGAGGTGATCATAGGTGTGTGTCATTGCTTATGTCTTAGGTGTCACAGGAGCAGACTCTCCAGGACTGAAGTGGAGCCGAGCAGTCTGGAGGGGGAGGAATGCAGTGACAACAAGGGGGCTGCTACTGCTGCTACTGCTACTGCTGCTCCAAGTCAGGAGACGACAACACTGTCTCCTCCCAGACTCTGCTGGTCCAACCTGTACGCGACATGCTGGATCCGACCGCCACAAATAACTCAGATGCACAACTAATTCTAACTGTAAGGCCGCCGTGATGACATAATGGAAAACACATCCCCATGCAACTGCAGGGGTCTCAAAACCAGACAAGACGGGGGATTCCCAAGTCTGCCAGGGCGTTTTTGGACAAACTGTATTACAACATACTATTTCCTTTGTCAATTTGATGTCTTTGAAACACGTGCTGCCAAAATTCGATAAATTGGTATTTTTGCAGAATGTAAACAGAGGCAAACGAAGAAGGTAATGGTGCCCTCTTGTCTTGCCTGTCCTTGACTTTATGTACAGTGGTATTTTAAATTTCTAGTTTTTGTCTCGGCTTTCAGACATTAAAGAGTGATAAAATGGCAAATACGGTACATGTTTAAATCTGTAACTATAATTACCACAGAGCTTGAAGGCGGTAGTGATGTAGTGAAGTGCATTGCAATGAAGTATGTTTCTAATATTCCTGCTCTGTTATGTCTGTAGATGTCTTGGCGAAACATTATAAACACCTGTCACAGCAATGCAGGCCAGTTCCATAGCAAGCTCCATAATTCCTCACTGGCGGTGTAATTTAAAGCAAACATGTCTAAGAATTAACGAGAGCTGATTTGGATTTCATAAAAGAGTTTTTAGGGTCTTTCTACCCAAATTCAGCTGCCACAACTGTAAAGTGAGCCAGGCTGTACGCATATCACTGGGAGGTGGGGGTGGGGGGGTGAATCACTCATTCCAGTCATAGTATAAAGGAGGCGGGGGGAAAGCGGATGCAGGGAGAGAGAAAAAATTCAGTGTCTGATTGCCAAGGGGAGAGGGCATGTGCCAGTGTGCCATTCCTGTAATCATGTGGGTTAGCAGGGCTTTGATTATGAAGACACACCCAGCGCTTGTGGAGCGCAGAGAGTACCAGGCATGACTGTGCATTAAACTGCATGAAAAAGCTATTGGGGAAGCGTTTGAAGTCTCCTGCACTGTAATAATGAGGGCCCTTCCAGAAAGTGCAAAAACCACCGTGGGGCATCGAACAATGTCTTGCTGGTGTGTAATCTGTCCTCACACGGCTTCTTGGCACAACAGGCCCCTGGAGAGAATCAGAGAACAAGAGTGCACCAATAAAAAGCTGCTTCTGGAGGGCTGCAACACGGGCCATTTATTTCCTCCCCCGAAAACTGAAGAGGAAATCATGACAGGGGAGGGGCCCAAAGGACTTGTGTCTTCTCATGTTCCATCTCAATATTTGCAAGGGTGAGAAGAAGTGCTGAGAGAGCCAAAGCACACAGAAACATGTTGGAAGTATGTCAGAAAGTATTAAAGACAAACATGTATTTTAAAACAATATCAATTTCAACAGAACCCAGCTTGGGTGGGGGTCTGCTGTACACCCTGGACCTGCTGACAGCTGCCGTTACCTTGAACCAGATGTTCTGATATTGGGTTAGGGTCACAGGGCGGGCATTGGGATACTGAGGGAGGAACGTGACGACGGATTGAAAGAGATTAAGAGCAAAGTGAATTGGAAACATTAAATCTTTGGGTATATTTAACAAGATTTGAGTGACTGGTGCGCCACTCTGAATGGAGAGAGGAATCAGATCGATGACAGGAGAGGGGCTGGGGGAGAAAATGAGGACCAGAGTGTAGATGGGGAAACAAAGGGAACAAAAATAGGTCGCAGAAACATGTATGACACTGTGTGCACCAGACCCTGATGTTTTATTTTATAGACTCCAAAGTCTGTTGTATATTTCCAAATATGCCACTGCTGAAGTCAGGATTTACTACATTTGAGAGACTACAGAGAGTTCCTTCTTCTTTCATTTGTCTACTTATGCACGCTGTCTAGATTTAAGACATTGGTTAAACGACATTGGAAACCCCCTTGTTATATAGCTGCTCAGAGCACAAAGCAGACCGAATATTCTCAAATAAGCAGCGACCCTTGAGGCAAAGTACAAAAGTAAATACAGAAAACTGCAGTTCCTTCATTGGCCTCTTGAATGGGCTTGAAAAGCGAGTAAATCCTCGAAACGTCAAACAGTTTGAGAAGTAGAAATGAATTCAGTCTTTGGAGTTTACCTTTTTTATGGTGTCTTTTCACTGTGTTTAAGAAAAAAAACAATCCTGTTACAGAACAACATTACAAGAAGAGCGAGTGTTTCAGTTTAAATATTAAGTAGAATACAGAAAAAATTGTTTGTTACAGTGGGATTTGGGGTCTCTGCTTTTTGTACCTTGCTCTTTTGTCAGAGATTGTTAGATTAAGTTTTGGTCTGCATCTTTTTATGAAAAAGCCTTTTCGCTTCAGGGTTCAGTCACATTTTTATATTTTTGTCCTTTGTAGTTTGAGTCCAGTTTTAGTTGAAAAATTAAAACATCTCAATCAATAAAAACTTTTTACTTTCAGTTGAAATTCTCTTTTTGATCTTATTCAGTCAGCCAATCAAAAACTGGTATCAAGGTTGTACCAAATGTTTACAGTAATCAAAATGTCCCTTTCTGAACTCTTAATTTTGATTAATTCGTAGATTCCTTTCCTTACCTGAAAGTGCAACGAACACACAAATGTGTTCATAATGAAAAGAGCTGACCTGATGGTCCCTGACTGACTGAAGCTGGACAGACATTCAGTTCACTGCATTTTAAACTGCCTCTTCATCTTTGATAGTTTAGAGTTGATCAAAACAGTGAAACGTCTTACCAAATATAATCTCAAATATATCCCCCAATCTAGGATGAAAAAAGGCTTTGACATGGTGCTTTTCAGTCAAATAGTGAACTGATATCACCCCAGTAGCTGTTTGTCTTTGTCATGACATACACAGGGAAAACAATCATTATTAAGAATGGGGGGGAGGCAGTAAGAATTCGTGCCCACAGCACATTTCTGACAGAACAGTGACGAGATGAACACTGGCTTCAAGTTTGTAGTTTTTTTTTAATTCGAGTGATAGTGGCTCTACACAGCTAAGCCCAGGTTTTAGGTGGGCGAGCTTCAGTGTTGATCGACCTCCCGCTCCTGATCAGGATGCCAAATGTTTGAACATGAGGCTTTAAAGGCAGCTGATAACCAAACGGGTGAGGTCACAGCGGCTATACCAATCATTCATACACTATATGTTTTCAAATAATCAAATCAGACAACACATTAACAGACTACTATTCACAAAGCATAAAGAGGGGATGCACCTCGAGTTCTTCTCAAGAGCTCATCCACTCGAGAATCACTGCAAAGTAATGGCTCTAAAGAGCAACTCCCCCCATTTACTGAAAGCTGATCAGGCTCATTAATCTTTAACACTGGCAGTCACTTCAGGATGTCGCAGGATGGGGAGAGGAGGGCTTTCTTCATAATAAGCGCAGAGCGCCGGGTTCTGGCTGTCAGAGAGAAACACTGAGAGGAGAGTGGGCGGGATCAAGAAGAGGAACAGAGACAAAGAGTCGAGGGATAACAAAATTGATTAACTGGTATAAATAAGCACCTCTCAGCAACAATCTGGTCAACTATTCATCTGTGGCTATAAGCAGTGCCTGAGGGGGATTCAGATGTCATAGTGGAAATCAGATTCTTGTAAAACAGTCAAATAAAGGGACAGTCTGGTCTGATCTCTGTCTCGGATCTACATCAGGGTCAACAAATGAAATAAGTTATGTTGCTATGCCATTTGTCAAAGTGACACGTTATGTCAGAAAATGCCTTATTTTGCTCAGCAAATAAACAAGAGACGAGACAAGAGTACGACACATAAACAATCATGAGGCGGTTACAATGAATCACAGTACAAACCGACACAGCTGGGCGTCTTTAAGCAATCTAGTAGGAAACAAAAACCTGCAATAAGTCTCCACAGAGTTTCTGTTGAGATACAAACTGACTTGATTATCAGTATTTTGTTCATATAAGTCAATTCTCAACTGATATGATCCGAAACACTGCAGGGCAGCACAGAAAACTGAACAAGATTCATAATTTTTTCTAAAGGTCAACTCGAAGCATCGACTCCATGACAAAGAAGAGTATAAATACTGGACTGAGACTCTGGACTCTATCTCAACTGTAGGTGGTTCATATACCATATGTATAAATATATACATACATTTTTTTTTAACTGTTAAGCTAATTTAGCATTTGTCTTTCCTTTATGTTTGTCTTATTTACACAGTATTTTATTTTCATGTAGCACATCTTACAAACCTTACATATATTTGTTGCACCAACTTTCTCCTGCTCTATCATGTCACCTCTACCAATCTCACTGGACAAACATTTTATTTTTCCATTATCATAGATTTGACTTCATATTAGCAATTAATTTGAAAGAATCGATACTTGGTAAATGAGACAATACGATATATCACCAGACAAAATATTGCAATACAATGCCGTATCGATTTATTCTCCCACTCCTAATTTCAACCTGTTTTATATCCAGTGACAACACAACATCTTCACAGGTAGAATCAGGTGTAATGCTGCGATTGACAGTTTTGTCGACAAAGTGCAACAAGAGAAGATACAACAAGTGTTCACAAGAGTCCCTGGACTTCCTGTGACTGCCTGCTGCAGACTAATATGAGGAGCTATTATCCTTCAACCCTGAAGACATTATGAGAAATTTAAGACATATCACCCATCTTAATGTGCAATCAATTAGGGGTGTCCCGATACAACTTTTTGACTTCCTATACGACACCGATATTGTAGCCTTTAATAACACCGATACTGATATTGGCACAAATTTGTGCATGACAAGTTTTTCACTCAGCTGCAATGTCTTTTTCGGACTCAAACAAAAAATACTGCCACAAGGCCAACATCACTCTTACTCCTTGCTACTTTGATAGTACTTTAGCACACATTGTTGTGATTTTGTGGGCTCAGCTTGCTGGATACAGGTGCTGCTAGATAGAGGTGCCTGAGCAGAGTCTGTAATGGACTGCTTGTATTGGAGTGCTGATATTGGAGATTTTAGATGCAGGTCAATATAATCTGATATCAATATCGTATTGGGAGACCCCTACATATCAATAGTAAGGACCGCTTTTCATGCTGTTTTCCTCAAAGATAACCTCTGACTACACTCACTGAAATCAGTAGTTTCCACAGAAGTATCTTCACAAGTCCAAGACCCTCAAACTTCAACATCTGTCAAAGATACAGACTTCGAGAAAAAGTCCTCACATTGCTGCTCATTTGATGGAAAAATGCTTGACATTATAGGAGGACTCATATTAGAAAAGCCAAGATTTCCTTGTACTTGCAGGCTCTTATTCCAGTAATTCGAGCACACTGAGACAAACGCCAAACCAGGAGACTTGTAGGACTGTTTTCATGGTTATACAAAGGATCAGGTTCAAGACACTTGCATCATCTCTAGTACTTGTTATTCTATGATTCAACTAAGGTGTCTATTTGCTGCATCTTACGTTACAGTGTGTGTGTGTGTGTGTGTGTGTGTGTGTGTGTGTAAAGGGGGGGTGCACAGTGGCTGCATCTTTGTTTCTCACCTTGGTTTCAGTCCAGAGAGTCCCTCAGGCCATTGCTGCAAGACGGCAATGCAGGGAAACCTTTAAGCATCATCCACGTCTCCCTGCTGGAAGAAACAACACAACAAAATTAAGATGTACAGTGTGATACACACAGTGTGAATCAGCACAACATAAAACAGAGCTCTTTTAGGAACTCGCCTCAATGCACTGCGCCCTTTAGTACTGCAATTGTTACACGAGGGTGAGTAAAAATATTGGAATTTATTCAAGGCGGACACATTTAATGTCTTGGTTAACTTGACAACAATGCAGAAAAAGCTGATGCTGTAAAAAGAGCAATCAAACATACAAGCATTCGCATTTCTCACACACAGACCACAGACCACAGACCAAGGACAGAGACGCCTCTCAGGTGATGAAACCCTGACAAAAGGTGACTTAACCTCCAGCTGTCTGTGGTTTGTCATCGAAACAAAAAACTATATAATTGTATTCTCTTACAGTGAGTGCTGCAAAAGATCTACATGAAAAATAAATCTGGTTCCCTGTGTTGGATGTCCAAGTCTGTGAAATTGAGAAATTGTAATGCATCCATCAACATAAAAAGGACTACTACCACTGCCATTTTTAAAGCCACATTTCGCCCGATCACTTCATTTCAACCTCAAAAGTCATCTCATCTAGTGCTAACTGTTTTCAGAAAGTTAGCATAGAACTGCAAGTTGAGTGTCCACAGGGTCTTTCCCCCTCCTTTGGGACCTCGAAGCCTATTACAGCGTAGAACACAGTGTGCCTTTTTAATCACGATTAATTAGACAGGAGAAAAGTTTCAATTTTAAACCATATTCCCTTTTGGATAATTAGAAAATGCAACTTGTAACTCAAAAGGGGGGACTCTGTCGGGCTATTTTCTTTTTCCTTTAAAAAAGAAAAAGAAAAAGAAAGAGTCTCTTGCACTTGATGCAGAGGAAAGAGGCAGCCAGGCGGCCCCTCCTGGCCTGGGTGATTTCTCTTCAAATACCTGCCAAGTGAGCCAGCTGAGGAATGCACTCACGTGATGTCATGTGCTGACATAACTGGAGCGAAAACCGATTCCCCTTTTGAACCCTGCCCGAGTCCAGAGCTAGGAGCCTTTGGAAAGGTGATATTAAGTGCAAATAAGGGCTGCACGGCACATTTAAACAGATGAAATCAGAGATGTGTGCACCACAACTTCAACATGAAATATTGATTAAACTCAGCTTTCTCATTTGCACAGGATTAAAATCGAGTCAAGAAAAACAGACTGTACATCAATGAATCTAATCTTGCTAATGAAATTTCACAACCCTGGATTTCTCAACTCCACCTTCCTCTTTTCCATTCCCTTTCCTGCAGGCTTCTAGTTCTCATCCTCTGGAGGAATTTCCTCTGAGCGTTAATGCTGTCACATGCTCAGACTCAGTCCGGCCCTTGATCTGCAAACTGAGTGACAGAATTAGGCAGAGCGTGAAGCACTCCTGGTGGACTATTTCAACAGCAATCATTTTCAAATGACTCAAACTGGATCAAAAACATCTTTGTCAGCTCGGTTTTTATAATGAGATGAGCCTTTTATTAGTTTATCAGTATAACTCAATTTATAAAAGGATCCAGACCACGTTAGCGATGTCCTCGCAGATACAAAGCAGACGAGGAAAAGTAGAAAGAAATGGACTGCTGTTTTCATGATAACATAAAAACATAAAAAAGAAATTTCATGAGCAATACTGGAGCATCCAGTTACATCCATCACTTTAACTGCCCACTGACACCGAAGACCCTGCAGTGTCATCAATTCAAATACTTTTAGAAGTGAGTTTAACGCTCAGTCAGAGAGAGCAGAGGCAAACCCTCCCTTTCTTCTCATGTTGGACCAGCTGAGCCATGCAAATGCTTCCTGTGACACCAGGGGTATATGGGCCTGCTGGTCATATTTGTGGTGTGATCCAAGACCAGTGGCGAGTCACACCACGAGAGTGCATGTGTATATGTGTGCGCGCAAGTGTGCAAATCATGCAGACACAGTGGAGCGGACGATCTCTGCAGGAAAAGGTTGCACCGCTTCTCTCTGGAAGACTTTTCTCTCTGTAATGTTTGGATTCTGCTTGGGAAAAAAAGTGCAGCAAATGACCCACAGTGATGCCGAAATGTAAGCTCGGCCATTGTTGCATTATTTGAGTTTTACGTGGCCCAAAATGTAGACATGACACAACCTATAAAGCCAGGATTTGAAAACGTAAGGAGAACGCAAAGAACTTTAGGGGCACAATGATAATTGTTTTTTAATTTAACCCCCAAATTTTTGGAGGACAAATCAGGGAAATAAAGAGATGTGTCTAATCGTTTGACCTTAGTACTATTATCTGAAATCAATTTTAGGTTAATTGGTCACAAGACATTAAAGCTATTGAAGGAAAACAGCCTTTTTTTGGGAACATCAACCGGTAATTTATTGATGGTCCCTTATTCAACACCTGACGTTGACAGCGAGGGTGCCAAGTAGATTTAACTGCGCTGCTGTTGCTATTCCCGGTCATGGAGAGTGAGAAGACACTGGTAGATCTACAGTGAACATATTCGTCAGATATCTAACCTAAAAACGAGGTATTTACATGAAAAGATTTGTTGCCTCAGCAGATTTTTTTTATGCACAAAATTCATTTTACAACTCACACACATCTATTTTTAGTCGCAAATGCGAGTGAAACGGTCGCACCATCGAGCCCTGAGAGCTATTTGAAAGTTAATGTTGAAGTCAGTTAAAAAACTAGAAAGAAAGGCAAGACAGATATCCACACAGCAGATGTAAACAATCATGGTCAAGCTCACACCTTCTCTGAAACCTGACACACAATTATGAGAGCATCTCATTTGCCGAACGCGCTCTCAGTCCAGTCCAGCCATCTGTTGGTATTTAACAAGAGGTCAAAGATCACTGGGTTAAAAGTTCACGCTCCCCTTAAACAGCGCACAGCCGATTAAACCATAGCTGATGATGGACGGTTTCATTACGTGGTGAAAAAAAAAGAAAAAAAAACACACACCATGCTTAATGTTGGCGACAAATCATAACGCTCCCAGATGGATGAAAGTGAAACAAACATGTGTGAAATGAAACGAAACAGAGACACGCAATAAACTGAATGAAACTTCACCTCCAAGTTCATACAGCTTTACACACTAACCAAGACAGTTGGTGTTTGTTTCAACAGACTGATCATTGGGAGGAAGCAGAAATGTTGACCATAGCTTTGAAAGTAGTTGTAATCCCCCTTTTTTTCCCCCCAGAGTTGGCAACAGGCTCCCTCTGAGTGAGAGCCTTTGTCGCCCAGGCCGGGCTAACAATGCTAATGAGCCGGCTAATCAGGTTCAGATAGGACAAAGGGTAGATGGTTCATGTGCTAGAAATTGACCATAATGGTTAGGTCACAGAGGGGGTAAACACCAATGGAGCTCCTACTGGGTGCCTTCTGAATGGCCCACTAATGGCCTTCAATTCAATAAGAATCACTGCTCATGTCCACCATAATGAAAACACCTGGCCTTTGCGCTTTAAACACGGCAAGCTTTGGTCAAGATTTTTGCCTTAACCGATAATCAATTGATTTTGGTCCATCAAGGGGGGCCGCATGGGAGCCGCAGCAAAGGTTGGTGAGCCAGAAAAATCTGATCAAAGATTTGATCACAGGGTTTACACAGAGGCATCGATGTTGCTCGGCACGCATGCTGCACCTCAGACATATTAAAACCCCAAAAGGTTAGAGTAAAGGTCCGTACATAACGGGATCGTTTTTGTTGTGCGATTATTTCGGACCCATATCCTGTCAATACAAGCGTTCACGTTTTCCCGTCCTGCGATATTGCGGCATTCATTTTTTCAGATCATGGTCGATGTTTCTAAAGTTTCGCATACTGTGTGTCCACTTCTGACCAATCAGATTGCGTGTTGTTGTGACGTCTGATTCACCGGTATATCCAACATGGCCGACCAGCTGATTGTTTACGTGTCGGAGAACAGAGTGCTTTTTGATAAAAGACATAAACATTACAAAGATAACAACCTGAAGGACAACTTGTGGAGAGTCATAGCGTCGTATCTCTCATATGACGATGGTTTGTGTGCTTTAACAGTTTGCTAAACGTCTTTGTTTTAACTTTTATCTGTGCTAACGTAAGCTAATGGTTGTTACCATAGTTGAATGTGCTTATCTTATCGCCTCTGACTGGCTATAAGTGCTGACCGTTTGGCTTGAGCGTGTGATGACGTTTCCAGCTTTTGTAGCCAATCAGAGGTGAAGGAGGCGGGACTTTCCCCAGGAGGCGGGACTTTCCCCGGGACGCGCAAAATCGCATTGGGCTTGATGTGTATGGTCAGGTGCATCAAAATTTTCCTCAGAATATTTCGCAATTTCACGTTCTATATTTGCGTTCTATAATGCCAACATGTGCCACACTGCAAATATTGGGCGCCGTTCAGTACATTTACATGGACAGTTAAGTTGACCTACATTCACAGCTTGATTGGCTGATATCACTGAACTTCTGTCCTTGTCCTATTTTACAAGCACCAGGTAAAAATCAAAGGATTGATTATTGTGATTATTTGTAATGATTAAGAAACAAAATAAATCCTATTGTGGCTCCTAATCTTAGTCATGTCAGTATCACAGACATATTCTTGAGGAGCGGCAGTAAGACATCAAGTTGACAGGCACAGAAATGAGACTGTAACATGATAGCTCACACAAGTGTCCCTGATGATAGTTTGCAGCATATAAACATGGACAGAGAGACACAGAGCTGAAGCCACAGGGAAAATCTTAAAATACTGCCCGGATTTCCACAGTCCCTCAGAACAAAGTGTTTTATCTTCTCTTTCCTAATTTGATCTGGTTGGTACAAATTACCACATTATTGTTAGTGCCAGACTTGCAGGGATTGAATATTTATAAGGGATACTCATAATCCTACAATGAAACTCAGACCACAAGTTTGACACGATGATTTTTAAGGTAACAAAATTTTAAATAGGGACCAATTTTATTTGCAAGGGTCCCTTTTAAATCAACAACCACTACATTGAAAACCAAGCAACTCCCTTGCAAAGGTAGACCTGTTTGCCACAAAGTGGGTTTCTAACAGCTTATTGATTAAGAAGTATTATTTTATAAGCACACAGTAGCAGGATTAATCCTATGCATGTTGGTAATGCTGCTATAGCTAATCCAGAAAACCTCCACAGCCTCAGTCAACGTGTTGGGACGCTCCAGAATGAGGCATAGGAGACACCGGTAAACTTGTGATGAGACGCTTAAGAGCAAACATTACAGGAATGTGGTTGTACTGGGTTTCTCTAGGGAGTTGCAAACTGTAAAGCTTAAAGGCACAACACAGCTGAAGAGCGGCACACGGGAGGGAAAACCAGGAAATCTACAGAAGGGATGATGAGAGCTTTCTAATGCAGCCAATTAACAAAGAAAGAATCTGAAATTACTGTGTGAGACCTAAAATAACAGATTACTGTATCACGATTACTGTGGCCACAAAATAACACAATAATGATACTTTCATGATTTTTTGTTATTGAAAACAAATCAATCATGGAAAAAAACAACAGTCAAATTGAGGATCCTGTAATCAATCCTTGACATGTCACCATCTATTTCTGATAATAATCAGAATGATGATTTATCATCAGCCCTGCCGGCTGTGTGTGTGTGTGTGTGTGTCTCTTCGCAATCGCTTACAACACAGCTACAACAAAACCCTTCTAATTCAGACGCAGGCAAACACCGAGGTCTCGGGTCCTTTTAGCATCAAATAAAGACACAGGATATTTGAGTCTATTGCAGAGGAGCTGCAGAATCATGTCAACTGATCCCTCCATGTTTTCTATTAGTCCTGACCTGTGGGCTGAAGGAGCTTTACACCACTGTGCGATGGTTGTTGCTCATCAAACGGCCAAAATAAGAAAATCCAGACCAAGAGCACACTCTCTCTCTCTCTCTTAACAGACAACCACAGACACATTTCTTCTGGATTAAAGATATTTCAGAGGAAATTTACACAATATCCTTACAAGTGTAAGAGTATCTGCACCCAAAGTCCTATCTGTTTGGTAAACCAGTCGCCAAAAATACTCCTTTTCATCACAGCACAGGAAACATACAGTATAATGAGAGGAGAGTCTGTGTCCTCCTCCCTTCATTTCTGTGAATTCCTGTGCACCAATTCTTTGTAACATTTTCTGCTGTTAAGGGAAGTTTTTAATCTTCTTGAGTTTCGTTTTAGATGTAACCCGTTGTATCTGTGCGCCTGGCATCAATTCACATCATGGACGAGCACTGCATCTTGATTTATTTACAATCACCGAACTTTTCTAAGGCCAGTTTGAGCACGACTCTTCACACGGCAGAGTATAAATAGTTCGGTCTCAAACAAACTGTTGGTTTCATTGTAAAAAGTCTACGCCTGTTGCAGGACTTTATTCATATAAAGTCAAACTCAGCAGCAAAGTTAGGAAAAACAAAAGGTTTCAGTGTGACAGACACTGTGCGTTCCCGTTACCATGGTAACTCTCTGTTGCCAGCCTGCCTCCAGTCTGCAAAGAGAGGAAAGAAAGCCGCAATGCTGCTGCCATCTGAGTATACTCTGATCATTGTGGACAGAAATAAATAACAATGGGCCGATTCTGTGGTTAGATGTCGCAGTTTTCACTTGGAAATAAAAACCTCACAGGTGGACCTCGGATACGTCACAGCTACCAGCCGTTAATAACTGAAATAAACCTCAACACAGGGTCCATTAAAACATCAACACAACCTCAACACATTGAGTTATTGTCCGTCAGATGGTGAACGCACATGTATGGATATAAACGCCAAGATGGCTTACTGCTGACTGACCTTTTCAAGTCAGCAGGTTGAGTTTGAGCTTAATATCAACTGACACCCACAGGTATATTTACTGCCTTAGGGGTCAGCTTTTTAGGTCGGAAAATACCGAACTCCAGATAAGTACAAGAGATTCATCCCTGAGAAACACTTTTTTTTTTTTACATCTACACCAGCAGATTTCAGTGGGTTGCTCTGATGCAGATGCATCATCGCTGCGCCAGGTGCCCTTACATCTGTTGCTCGAACAGCAACAGACAACTGCTTCAGCTGCGACTTCAGGGTCGGCAAACCAAAATGTTTAAGTACTGTAATGAGACTGATAAGATGCTGTTGTTAAAGGTGAATCATGACGACAGAAGAAGCAAGTGTGCTCAACACAGTGAGGGTGTGGGTAGAGAGAACGCTTTGTGTGCACAGATGATTGTATCACACTTTTTTAGAGATGATGTGGAGCTCGTCTTGTGACTCGTCTGCATGTTGACGAGTGTGTATCCTCAGTGCCTGCATGCATGGGCACCATCTTTTATTGCCAGTCCCAGTTTGTGAGGAATTAGTTCCCGTGGTGGTGGCCTGAGGCTGTACAGTGGAAGCGCTCTCAGGATAAGGAGGTGCTGTAGTTAGCATGAAGGGAAGGGAGGGAAAGGAGATCAGCTGACACAACTATGTCACTTTATCAGCCAGAGACTGAGACATTGTGACAGGCCAGACTTCCAGCGAATGCACATACAGTGTCTGAGAAAAGCGACGAACACAACTTAATAGAGGAGAGAGACAGAGGAGGAGGTTCTCAGGGTTAGTCCGCTCCATTAAAACATGGTGTGAGTGGGATAATAATCTGGAGAGCACGTTTGGGGGATGCCTGTAAACGCTGGCATTACCCGATTAAGAGCGCTGCTGCCGCTGCTGCTGCTCTGACAGCGGAAAGTGCAGTGTGAGTCGCCATTTACAGTCTTCCCATTAAACAGTGTCAGCCAGGTGAAGCAGGGCCTTCAAATATGATCATTTAACCTTTCACCTCGACAGGGAAAATGCCATCACAATTTTAAGCACGATCAGGTTTTTTTTTCCAGGAGTGTAACATCACTACTCTGCATCTGTTGTTTCGTTTCTCCTCTGATGAGGCCCTTTGTTTTGCACGCGTCTGCCGCCAGATGAGCTGGGAGGCGGTTTCGTTTTGATGGCCCGTATCTTCAGGTGCCAAAACCACAAATCTCTGGAGTGAAGGTATGAATGGGAGCACTTAAACATGCAAACAAACACACACACACACACACTCCGCTCCATGTGGAATGAATATAGGTCGTGTGGATGTTTTGCTAGAGGGGAATATGTAATTAAATTATCTAGAACTTGAGTGCATGCATACATGAATTACAAACACAAAGCAGCATTTCTTATTGCCTTGCATATTCATGCTGGTGGGAAAATGCTCTTTGCCCTTTGATGCACATTAAGAACATGCCTTTCTTCTTTTCTTTCTTTAGTCATTATTCAAATAACCCAGGAGAAAATATAACATAAAAAAATCACACAGTATCCAATCTGGTCACAAAACAAGTGATGTTACACATTGTTTTGATTCATTAAATCCTGTAACTTAGTGGTTCTCAAGTCCAGTCCTCAAGACCCACTGTCCTGCATGTTTTGGCTGTTTCCCTGCTCCAAAACACCTGATTCAAATGATCAGCTCGTTATTAAGCCATTACAGAGCTTGATAACGAGCTGATCATTTGAATCAGGTGTGTTGGAGCAGGGAAACATCTAAAACATGCAGGACAGTGAGCCTGCTGTATGTGGGACCACTGCTGTATGTAGACAACCCTTACAATGATAAGCCATGTCTCAAAAACTAAGTCTGACACTGGGTTCTGAAATACAGCTCTGTCTTCAATTAAACTCGATGCTGGTCATGCAGTCAGAAGAAGGTAACAGTGTCGTCATAATCGGGAGTCTGAAAAAGGAAAAGGCTTCAACCGAGGAGCCGCTGTATCATCAGGTAGTGGGGTTAATTTTAGGTTTTATATTTGTCAGGCATCCAAAGATTTGTTGAATGTTCGATGTGAAACTAAGAGCAGAAAAGTGTTACATGAGGAGTGAGCAGAGATTCAGTGAAACCTTGTTGAGCCGTTTAAATCTACTGTACAAAAATAAAAAAATAGGCCAATCCTTCCTGTATATTTGTGTGTGAGATTTTCTTGGCTATCAACTCAGAACTGTGTAACTAAGTGTTTTTAATTCACTTACGTTGGCTGTTTTGGATATCACAGGGCTCCAACTTTGGGAATCTGATCTACGAGTCCATAAATATTTTGCTGGCTGTCTGCTACGTCTGATAACAACCGGTTGTGTTTGTAATGTTATTCCACTTCTTAATATAGTCTTTATTTGTTCATTTACAAAAATTACACCTAACGGTGCTTTACTCAGTTCAAAAACTAACAACATGACGCCTCTGCTGCAGGTGCAAAAATGTGTTTCATTAATGAACTGCATTATTGTCATTGTAAACTACAAATCATAAAAAAACAAAACAAACAAAAAACAAAACCCTGAATAGAGTGAATATGTTTTTATTACAGAAGGATTTTTGTCTGATTTGGGTTTGTTTATGCAAGGTCAGCACCACAAATAAGAGTACTGAGTAGATGCAGCTTTTAAATGATTGGATGCTGTGATCTAAAAAATGATCTGTTTGTTTTAACTGATAAGATGATGTAGATATAAAATAAAATATGAACAACTGAGGATAGTGATACACAGATGCACCATGGTGGATTGAGAATTACCATATTTTTCAGGCGATAAGGTGCACCGGATTATATAGCGCACTGTGAATTAACATGTCTAGGCGCATTAAGCATTGATTGGTTTATTGTAGCTAGCACGTACTCCGGGACCTGATATCGATTGTGAATATCCATTGAGTGGAGTGGCTTCGTTGCTTACCAAAGTTGTACTTACACATTTTGACGGATTTTTGAGCACACTGTACCACATAAAATTGGTAATTTAAGCACAACAAGTAATCACCAGTGTTTCCCCTAGAAATTTTTTCAGCTGTGGCAGTGTGGGGATCATTGTTACCCCCACTCTCTTGTCACTCCAGGAGATAGGCTGTTACATTCACGTTACGGTACCCTCACAACCCGCTATACAGAACGTGTTTAAGCTTAATCGTTACCCTTCACATTAATGGAAGAGGGTCCGACAGGATTTGATGCGCTCGTTGAGGACTCAAAACAACTCCAAAATAACGTTATGTGTTGTTGTGCTCACACAGTGCGAGTAGAAAACATTTGTGCCGCATTGATAATAATGCTACTAATGCTATTAATGCTACTCGCGATGTAGACCATGTATAAGCTTGGTCGGATTTGATGTGCTCCTTGATGACTCACAACAAGTCGGAAATAACGTTGTGTGTTGTGTTGTTGTGCTCACACAGTGCGAGTAGAATCATTAGTGGCGCATTAATATAAATGATCATGTGAAATTTAGGTAGCGGCGCATGTAATTTAGCAGCGGCGGTGCTGAATGAATGAAGAGGAATCACTGCTGATACATATGAGTCCGAGGTATAACTATGTGAGATAAAAACTTTTTTTGCGTTTGTGGTGGCTTTTATTTAGCTGTCACGATCAATTGCATGTAGGGGAAACCCTGATCATACATAAGGCGCACTGGATCATAAGGCGCACTGTCAATTTTTGAGAAAATTTAAGGATTTTAAGTTTAGGTTTTAAGGATTTTTATAGTTTGAAAAATACGGTAATGTGCTAAAAAGATGTACAATGAAAATTATGCACATAATAACATGCAAACTTAAATCTGTGATACAATATATAAGACATAAAGATATATAAACAAGGGGGCATGTATTAGTTCCTTACCTTATAGTCTTATTTGTAAGGGGAAAAATTTTAATATTATTAATCTAGAATTGTTCAAATCACTTCCAGTTTCTTAAATTACCTGGACATGATCAGTGATTACAAATTACTGATTAACTAAATATGATCCATTACATTCGGCTGCATCTTCATCAGATGACTAAATAAAGAGCTCATTCACATGCACACCATGTTCACTTTTCATATTAGTTGTTTCACTCACCATTTACGCTTCATTGTTGTAGCTAACAGGCCGTGACACAATGCTCATGAACTTGTACGTTTTACAATCTGAATGATTAACATAATGACAACAAGCACTTCAGCTGATGGGTTTGTGCTTAATAATGACAGCAGCACACCTGAGCTGAACGGTAGGTATGGAAAGCACGGGTCAGCTAAGGAGATTCCCGCTCTGCTGAAAACAGTAAAGATAAAGCAAGCGAAACCATATTATAGGTCAGTGAAGGAACACTGCTGAGTCAGCCGAGAGCGAGAGACAGAGAGTGAAAGAGAGGGAGACAGAGAGGGAGAGACATCACGCTGGTCAGAGTTTGACCCTCACTATGTGTACAGAAATGAAAAGCCTGAAACCGAATCCCTACATTCCTCTGGCTTTATGACAAGCGAGTGAGAAATGCTGCTGCTCTGCACATGTCAGTCCATACTACCTTTCCTCCGCCTGCAATGGTGCTGTTTACCTCCTCTCCAGAATCAGACTGGATCCCTCTTTTTTTTCTCTCTCTCTGGACCAATTCACTCAGTGCAATTTCTGGACCACCCACCCAACTCCAGCAACAGCTTGCTCAATCCAAGGTTCCTCTCCCTCCCTCTGTGCCAAGGATTCCACCCTGGGCAGTGGGACGGGTGCCAACCACATGCTAGCACCCACTGCCACAAACACATTGTGGCAGAGGGAAATACAATTCACCCACTCGCAGAGATTTCAATCCACAACCCACCCACTTTAGTGTGCAACCTGTTCCACCATGTCAATTTGGAGCTCACCATCCTATACCTTCTCTCAGAGTGTTTTTAGCTCTGTCCTTAAAGAGCTGCACATTTAGGTGAGCCCTGCATATTTGCATATTTTAGTACCATTATCTGATCAGTAAGAGCAGCACGAATATGAGGAACTTACTCAAAGCACATTTTCATAAAGTAACAGTTGTTAAAACTACTGTATTGTACAGTTAAGCAATACCACACTCACATCACAAGGGAAAACAGCTGCAGAAACATTGTCACACAGTCATGTGACCTCTGCTGCCTCCTCTGTTGTAGCCGAGCTGGCTGAGGGAGGGCACCTTCTTCTTCTTACCAATGAGTGGTAGACACCACAATATCATTTAGCTCTGGAGATCAATATGCACTTTGCAGTAGCTGACCTACATAAGTGGAGGAGCGTGCAGAGGCGAAATCATTGGACTGCCTGTGAGCCTCAAGATCCTCGGAGCCCCGCTGGAGTCTCCACAGGGAGAATAACATGGAAGCCAATGGTGCAGTGTTACAGATCTCAGTTTTAAAAACACAGATTTCAATCTGCAATATCAGTCTGACAAGAACTAACAGGGAATCACTGCATCTGAAAAAGATTGCAGACAAGTCAAGGACACCAGTACAGGTGCTCAAACTAAGCCTTTGCCATACTGAAAATAAAACACGATTTTTAATCTATTTATAAACTTACTAATCATCACACTGTAAGTTTTGATAACGTTGCCAGTTTCAAAAGTTTGTAAGTATGATAGGGCTAAAGGCTGTATTTTCATAAAGTTAAGTCAAATGAAACAAGTACAGCGATGTAAACAGTCTATCTTAAAAGCTCTTGGGTTGACCGCATGTAAAGGGGGCTGTGAGCTGAGCTGCCATTTATTATAGACTATTGCATCACTGAGGCGTGTACCGCACTATAAGACCAAGTCATTACGCCTCTGCTATGGGGGGTTGTAACACAGATGTAAAGGGAGGGAGGACAAAAGCACTGCAAAACGTTGAGAGTGTAACAGTGTTGTGTATGCCTGTTTTACAAAGGTGTGTTAGAAAGTGTATAAGTGGCTGAGTTTTGAAACAGCGCTGTTGTTGAATCACAATGTGTAAGAACCCTCGTATATTAGCAGGTTAATGTTGGAATAACTTCAGTCTCTGTATTCAAAACAAGCAAATTCAAATCCACTAGAGAGGTGTCCTCTACTGCCAAACAAACAGCCGGGCAACTGAATAACCAGGGTTCCTCGGATGCTATTCAAACTACACAGATAGACGGAAAGGGCTGCTAGTTGAACTGTTGCTAGCATTAGCACTCACTGTCTCACTGTCACCAAAACAACAAAATCAGTTACCATGTCTCATGTCACTAAAAAAATTCTTTTTTTAGAGCGATAACTTGAGTTTACACTCACCGTGTGCCCCATATCTCCACCCAGTTACCCTCTATTACAGAAGACATACACTCATGCCAATGTTTGCCAGTTGGGAGTGGGTGTGTACTCCTGTGTCTAATCTGTGTTTCAAGAAAAACCTTTACACTCACTGGCTGTTGTTTCTTTTTGCTGCGTAACAGGCTGCCTGATCTATCCACAGAGGAAAAACGTCAACGTTTATCATTTTTATGGGCATAAATTTCACCCCTGGCTGTGCTGTTTTACCCCCACCAACACTAATAGAGCTTGAGGCCTACTCTTCCATGACCTATCACCACAAATTGGGCCTTTTGACAACCTAACTGGCTATGTGCAAACCAAAGCTGAAAATGATCCAAGAGCCAATTCTGAGTCAGTTATATGGCTCAACTGAGCCGCAAAACAATTTCAGTGTTTTGGGAAGGCCTCGTGTGGATCAGTAGCAAACTTGGTGATACAGCTCACAACTTAACACCCCTGAATTGTCAGCTCTTTGAAACAAATCATCACTTTATTTTCTGAAAGTCAAAAACAATCATTTGATTTAAATCAAGGAGCTCCTGTACAGGCCGCTGTTAACAAGACAGGACCTACTTTCAGCACAGATAGATGGGATGTCTGATTTGAGGTCAGCTAAACAACACAATAACAACATGCCTGGAAGCGGAGAGAGGGAGTGAATACTCCCGCTCCTCCTCTTCCATGTCAAAGCCCTCGATGCTCTTCATCAACCATCTCTGCCTCGCTTCAGACATCTCCCCTACGCTGCCCTTCCTTCCTCCCTCTGCTGTAAAAACCTGGCCATTTCCCCACTGCTCATCCCTCACGCCCACCCAGGACCTGTCACACTGCTGTTTCCATGACAACGCAAACGCAAAGACAGCAGGGTGAGATGCCCAGCGAGAGGAGGCAAACGGATACAGGGGGGGGGGAGTTGTGCTTCATGTCAAGAATACACTTCAGACCTTATGGTGCATGTGATGGACAGATAACACAATGTAGTCCAACCAGCTACATACAAACTTCAGAGGAAAACTGCGTGTTTGAAGAACCATTTCATCACTTATTCGCCGTCTACACTGGTCAAATCTGCGCTTTGTAATCTTGGTGATATTTTAAAAGAGGGAAAATGTTAATTCTCCTGCTCTTAACCTGATCAATTCGGAGCAGACTTTCTTTCAAGGGAAACTACCCGTGTATTTTCCCCTCATATTTGCTCTTTGAATGAAACATTTCGGCTTGAGCAAATGCAGTAATGCTTTGCAACATCCTTATGAAATCCCACATTCCTGCATGTGTGTCAGTCCTGGACGCTGTCATTTGACACTCCTTTTAAAAAGCAGCCCAGGAGTCCACATTAAAGAGGCGGTGAAAGAAAGAGACGCTTGTGTTGCTGTTCAGGGGCTGACCGCACTAAGAGGCAATGACAGGGATGTCATTTTCCAGCCTGGCTTAAATGAGTCAATTTAATTTAGTTAGCAAAGACAAGTGATGGAAACAAGGAGCAGTGGAGTTAAGTAGAACAATGAAGCATGTGTAAAGAGGGGATTTGTGTCATAATTCAAACAGGGGCATGGATGCAAGTTTAGCAATAATCAAAGCTTCTTTTTTACATCATGGTACGTACATGAGGGAGATGAGCTGTTGAGTAAAAAAATCTACCATAAAAGACATGATTTTGGGGTGCAACCAATAAATATTCGAGGCTCTTTTTGGTCAACCACCTAAAACTCAAAATATTAAATCAAAGCGAGCTGCAATTAAAAATAAACTCTCTCCATTTTACATTCATTAAATCTGTGGAGCAATAAATAATCACAACTGTGGTTGAAGCCGATTATTTTTTATTGATGGACTCAATAAATCAGCCCTCTAATAATGTCAGCTGAAACATGGTTCAAAGGTTAGTTAAAGGTTAGTCTTCAGGCATCTGTTCGCTTTCTTCTATGAGGGACGATGGTTTATATGGGGCTTCGGTTAGAGTGACACATTAAGTTATGGTTTGAGTCCTGAGTGCAGAAGGTAAAGTTCACCAGGTGGATCAGATTAGGAGTGAGTGGCAGGGTAACTCATGACACCACATTCTACCATATCTAACACAGTGCCTTGATAACAATAATATCATGACGCACCAGTTCTGTGATAACTAAAAACTTGCAAGACAATCTGCAGCATATATCTGCACGACACTGTTACAGATTAAATGTGTGATAAATATTCTGAATACTATAGGCCTCATGGTCCTGTTATGATCTGTTCAGGTCATACTACAGCCACCTGCCAGTCTGCAAATGTAAACAAGCACAGATGACAGATTGCATCTCTCAACGTGGCGAGATTTGGCAGTATTTTGGAGGAACTAGTGCAGGTGTGTGGATGTTAATCTGCTTATGAGAACCAAAGGCTGGTGGTGCACACTCTGCAAACCATTTTGACATTGTTTATCCACAATCTCTGTAATCCTGTAAAGCCATGCTGAATAAGTTATACTCAAATTTGGCTCATCTCTGGGTGTTTTCTCACCTTTGGTCAGTTAGTGTAAAACTCTGCCGCCAGATCAAATTCAAGTTTTCAGGCTCACGACATCACAATACAAAGCATCAATATACATGCTCTTTCACTTAATTGCACTACGCCAAAAGCAATAACTTTCAAAAATGACTAAAAATAACAAAAATACTTAATTGTTAATTCACAAAATAACCAAATACACACCCATTCCTCTTCATAAGGCTGACTAGGTGGTAGTAATGAAAAACGTGTGACTTTACACTCTGCTAGAACTCATTTTGTGTATTGTTAGTTTTGCTGATACATTTTGATAAGGATTATGCATCTGAGCTTATTTGAGCAGATTTCACACAACATGGAAGACCTACAAAAATCACAGCTTAGGGTAAACCTGTTTGTTGACCGAGGATTACATTTTAGCTGGAGCAAGGCTGCAAAGCAGAAAAAAAAACTCTTAACCTTACGGGACCATATTAGACCAACATAAACAGACAGCTACCAGAGAACAGGCAGCTGATGCTACAGAACAAGGGTTAAATGATTACAGTATCTCTCAGGTGATGCAACACAGCAACCTATCGAGGGGCAAAGGTCAGTGATTACAAGATGAGAGGCTTCTCTTTTAGTGCGCTGGAAAATGCGGCTTTCTTTATATGGAATTGTGGGCATATATACAACATCAGGCGGGTGAAAAACTAGAATGAAAGAGAAATATATAGAAAGATGGGTTTGTGTGATAGAAATTACAGGGCTGAGTGGAGCCAAGGCAACTAGAGAGCAAGAGATGGATGGAGAGATTGTTTCCAAATCATGTGACGAGCTGGGCTTTACACACACACATACACATACACACACATGCACACACACACACACACACACACACCTGTTGCTATAGCTGTAGTTCACCATGTGTTCAGGCTGAGAGCTACTTCTAAGTTACACCCATTAGACAGACGAGGACGAGTCAGAGAGAAGACTTCAGTCGGTTATCCTTGTATAAACATCTACATACTTGGATACACACAGATGAATTCCTGAAATGTCATCATCCCCACACAGTCATTTTCCTGCTCTGTTACAATGAAATGACATCAAACTGATAACGCCATGCAATGTAAGAATGCGTGACTGCATTCGTCACGACTCCAGTCTTTGTAACTAGGGAAAGGTTGTCACCGACGTAGTACGCACACTCTGTGTCCTCACTGAACCCTCTCTGAAATTTAAATCAAGTTTCAGTTTCGGAGGAAATTTCACTTCTCGTATTTTCCTGTCTATAAAGACAGAACAGCCTGATCAGCCACTTTACACAAAAAAGGAATGCAGGTAGGCAGCACATTTTGTTTTACTGCAATTTAACAAAAATAAATAACTTTGGAGATGTGATACTGCCAGGTTGGAAAGAGAAGCGATTTTTAAGTGCTTAACAGACAACACATGCACACAGAAGAAAGGAATAAACACATTATCTTTAAACTCATCAAGTTATATGCTCCAGACTTTTTCAATTTGCTTCAATAAAAAAATATGACCCAGAAGCCAACATTTTTTCTTGTCACTTTTTTTTTTTTAAGAGTTGGCTTCTATGTAACTACAGGCAAATCTGACTGAAATCCGTCACATCACATCTTCAGCAGCCCTGATGCTGCAGCCAAACCGCAGCTGGACACAAAGTCCTGTTAAAACCCCAGCCAATGATGTGACCAGAGTACTGTGCACCATCAGGTGGGCAGAGTGATGCAACAGAAACTGCTCAACTGGTTCAGCAGGACGTGTTCCTCCAGCATGACTGAGAGAAGCGTTGACAGTCATTGAAATGGCACAAGTTGCCTGCCTGTATAGTCCTGAATCAGTCAAGCAGGAGAGCCCTTAAAAGAAGTCCACTGCACCCTCACCACAGGGGCTACAACAAAAGTAGCACACAAGTCAAACCCCTACGCAGCATTCCCCTTAATGCATGGCTGCTTTACATTGTCAGAGAGCTTACTCTGTACTCAATTAGTAGTCCTGCCTCTGTTGCCAAGGGTAATGTGCTCTCAACTAAATATTGTAAACGTAATGTAAGGAGTTTTTTTTCCTTCATGTTTTTGGAAAGTTGTGTCACAATGAAAAAAAAATAAACTGCAGCACTGTGCAAACTTCACTCCGAACAATATGAAGTGTTAGGAGTGACACAAATAGACTTTAAGAGCATGAAACGTAATCAAAGATTATCTTCAAAATAAGTTGATAACTACATAAAGTTACATACACCAAATATCTATAACATTATAGACATGTGAGCAATTTAACGCAGTCTAATACAACAGTTTTTCCACTTTCAGGAGGCTTCTACATTTTCTGTTATTGTTGACATAATTTGAGGGATTATTGTACTCTTATCTATTACTGAAGGCACAGCGGCTTGTGTTAAACTGAAAGATATTCATTGAATTTTGTTGCTATAGAAAACATTAGAGAAGCAGTATGTACACATTTCATTTTAATGCACTCTAGTACACTGCCATCACCGGCTACAACTCCAAAAACCAGTTTTAAGGTGAAGTATCACCTGTCTGACCGTGACAACAAAAGTACAAGCTAAAATTTAAGGTATAGCTGTTGTAATGAGTGGCATTGGGTTGTCCAGGTGAATCACACAACACATCCTGAAAGGTGTATAGACAATAGCTTAGACAACTTTGAGCATTTATCAACGAGTTTAAAGATACTAGTTAAAGTGACTAGGTGCTCATATTATAGCTTTTTTTGTTGCTAACTAGCATTTCAACAGAGCACTCCAACAATGCACAGCCAAACACAACAGAAACATTACTTCAGCAAAAACTGAGAATGGTCCCTGCCCCCCCTGAACAAATGCAGAAATTTCCTCAACTTACCCACCGTAGCAATTAGCACAGGGGCAATGGTTAACACCATAACAAACCGTGTTAACAGCCCGCTCGAACACATGGTGGTGGTGAGGACTGTCCTGACTCACTCCTACATCCTGACAACGACGTCCAAACCAGCCAGACGAGCCCGCAGCTAAACTGTTAGCATGCTAACTCCGCTCCTGCTCCACTGGCGAACTTAGTCCGGTGTTGTATGCACGGTCACCCGCTCACTCAGCACAAAAAACAATGACATATTAAAGTATTGTGCACGCCACAATTCACTTTAAATATCAACGCACAGGTGTACAAGCCGTACGTGAATATAAACGCGTGGCAAATTTGCAACAACTCGCTTGCAAGCTCCCTGCTTTGAGCCGTCTGATTGAGTTTGCTGCAGAAAGCTGTACTGACACAGGCGAGCGGGCTTAGCCAAGAAGCTAACGCCTGCTAATAAGCTAGAGCCCGTGCCAGACAGACACACAACCGAGATTGAGGACCTCGCACTGGATCCCGGATTTCATAACGAAAACACCCCGTCCTGTCTCAACAAGAAGCACCAACGCGTGCGGCTACTTACGATTGAATACTTGGGGCCGTGTCCTCGCTGTTAAATCCCGTTTATCAGACGCAGCTCTGACCTTCGCGGTAGTGAAACAACATTTCTGCTGGCTAACTGTGCCGCCATGTTACTCCTGCTGTGCAAACCAATGCTGAGTGTTTATCTGGCTGCTAGCTGCTATCCTCCCCCACACCAAACCACATCACGGGGCTCCAGCAGTATCAACTCTGTTACACACCACTATGATTTACCTGTTTACTAATAAAATGTGTCATTATTTCACCTTACAATCACTATTAGTCACTTTAAAACAGCACCCTCATGACTGGCAGCGTTGCGAGGGTGCTTTAAAAGTGAATAAAGTATGAATATTTCACCAACTGTCTTTCTAAATGTGTATAAAAAAGTCTTACATGATTTTCAACGTTACATCAATTCACACACACCTCTGGGACTACTGCAGACAGGATTTATTTAGATTAAGGCCATAAAAAATGATGCCAGCCTATAAAAAGATATGTATAAGAAAATGATAAGACTTTAAAAAAAGCACTGTAGTTTTATTTTCAGTCATTCACACACTTGAAAGTTCAGTACCAGTTTAGCCTACCATTTAAATAAACACAGTTATTATAAGTAGTAGATGAAAAAACATATAAGATTTTTTTTTTTTTTTAACAACACACAGTTTAACGTTTTCTATTAACCAGTGCAGCAAAATAATGAAATACAGATGATACGCTTACATGAAAGGTGATAGAAATATTTTAAATGAGGGTGTCCTACTTATTTAGCCACCTTGATTTACAAGGTGGTCAACTACCCACAGATCACATAGTAAGGAGGCGGTTTCTTTCCATGAAAACTTAAACAACGCCGCCGCCAAGTGGTCAACAGCTGAAACGACAACAAGGTGGCGTCCATATGTTTTCATGAACTTGAGGGATACAGAAGAAACTATGGGTAAACAATAAGGCCCTTGAGGGTTATGCATCCAGAGAAAGAAAACAACAAATGTACATTTTAAGTTTTGTTGCTGTTTGATAACAGGATATGACACTTTGTGGTTTGTAATTAGATTTTTAGTAGTGTTTAAATACAGTTCAAATCCATTCAAGTCCAATTTTAAGAACTCCTACCACAACACATTACTGAGCACCTTAAATTGTTTATTTATTATCCCATCTGTATATTTCGCATTTCATATTTATTACTCATTTCATATTAGTACTACCAGTGGATAGCCCACTTTTTTTCATATCTCACTTTTTTCTCTTAGGATGTTTAGTATATTTAGTCTGTATTTATTGTATATATTTATTATATTTAGTCTGTATTGTACATACTTCTTATATTTCATTTTATCTTTTGTTTTTATTGCTGCTGTAACATGGGAATTTCCTAGTTTGGGATCAATAAAATCTATGTATCTATCTATCCATCTATCTATCACTAAAAATATTACAAATTAAATGGGCTGTTGAAAAAATGTTGGTTTTGGACCTGCAATAATGGCAAGTTTTTTATCACTGGGGAAATGTGCACCCTTGCATTAACCGGTAGTAAAAGTGCTAAGATGTTTTACATCACTTTAAGTAGCAGTAGTTGTTGGCAGGGCTTTAGATGAGACACAGTAGTGCATGGAAACAGACCTAGAGGGGGAGAAGACACGCCTGCAGTGCAGCCAAAGATGAGCACTTTTTAAACAGACAGATTTAACTTGGCAAACGACGCATATGACACAGTCAGTGGCACACCACAGCTTTGTAAATTCATTTTATGGCATGTAAGTAAAAGGCATACATCAACAGTCAATCAGGCTCATTTGGCACAGTCCACAGTGGGTCGGGAGGAAAACGGCCAAACAAAATTTTCATGTTCAGTCCGTGTTTTAACATCAGATCATTTCTGTGGACACTTTAAGGTGAGCAGAAATATGTCACGCTTCACAACAACAGTGATGCAATCTTACTTTGAAAAGAAACAATGAGGAATCACACAAGACAGTCAAACCCATGAAATGATGCGTTTTTGCTAGGTTTCATCCTTGTTAACCGTGTTTTAGGCAGAATTGCAGTAAATTATGTATAATTCCACTGTAAGGAAAATGCTCCTTTGAGATTTTAAGAGCTGCCCTGAACTCCAACAATGAAATGCTACATCTGGTTATGGGGCAGTTTTGCAGAATACTTTAGTGTGACAGGGCACGTATCATTACAGTGAGATGTCTCCTGTTTGTACTTGATTGCTTTCATACACTTTTTTTTTCTATATAATTCATGTGTGATCATAGAACTCCTGCTGCATGATTTGTCTAACAGTCTGGGGTGTGAACTCAGCTATCTCCTGAAGATGGGGATCATAAATAGCCTTTATGCCACTTATGGTAATTCAAGGGATATGGAAATTCGTATATTCTATAAATGTCCCCAAACGTCACTCAGAGGAAGTCAGATGCAAGAAATAGGCAAGCAGATACAAATATAAGAGAAAAAAGGAAAATAAAACACAAGTAGGAATACACACTAGCATGAATGACCTGACTCGGGAGAAATATTAAACACTGATGTCATCATTCCTGAATTTTTAAAATTACACACCCTGTACAAAACAATCCGTATCAATAGGCACTTCTTAAATAAGGTCTTTTTTTTATAGTTTATTTCTGAATTAGTTTGGAAAAATGGCACAGCAGAGCAATGATTCTTAAATCAAGGCGTGCTGGACATGTGGCAACAAGTAAAGCTAAACGCATTCTGGGCCTTGAAGTCCAGCTGGGAGGAGGTCAGTCAGTTCTGTGTGGGGAGCATGAAATGCATATAATGAAGGTGGAGGCGCAGGAGGGTGGATGCTGCCACATAGGCACCTGGGGAGTTGGATATTTGGGGAGGGGGCTGAAAAGGATGAATGTATTTATGATGACTTCTCTTTCCTTGCTCTGGGTGAATCAGCCCCATGGGAATTTACTCCATTTACTCCATTGGCTGAAAAAAAAAAAAACAAAAACATAAAAGTTATTCAGAATGTACTCATCTAGAATATTATTTGCATTTTCACTTTGTAGTATTAACTCTGTTACATTCATATTTACCTTTGTCTTTCTTTGATTTGCTCTTGGAGGGAACCTGTTTCTTTTTCAAGCTCTGGGCCTGGGCGTGCTCTCTCCACCGGCGCAGCTGGAAGTTAATAAATTTCCACATCATGAAGGCCTGAGTGAGGCAGATGGCGGCCAGGACAGTTATCCTGATGGAGAGAGGAAAAAGTCAGTAACTACTACAAAGATTAGCAGAGACGTATGTATGTGAATGCATACTGCTCAAAATCAGATACTAATTTTGCCTTTTGGTAACTACAGAAAATTGCTGTCATTAAAAAAAAAAAATCATTAATCTCTTGTGATCTTGCTCTGGAGACGCTGCACTGTGGTTGCCTTGAGTAAAATTTTCAAAATCTCTCTTCCTCTTCTGCAAAACTGCCCTTCCTGTATCAAAGCTATACTAACGAAGAGCTTTCTTCCTTTATTCTTAGTAACCAACCCGCTGCAGAAATGACCTCTGTTGTCGTGCAAAATGTTCAGTTATTCGTTTAAAAAGGAATTTTAGTTGAACAGCCTACTTAAGTATGCATCATAACAGGCAACTCTGACAACCCTTAAACTGAAATATACAGTATACCTGATCTTAATAAAAATGGCAGATTTTCAAAACTTTACATGCTGATTTTTCTTTTTTTTAGCCAATTTGAAAGAGTATTTTGAAGATTAAGTCATCCTGTTTTTCCTCGCTGACGCTCTCACCGAATGAAGAGAACATTAAAGTTTCCTGCAGCCCAGTCGAAGCCTTGATTCTCAGCATTGGCGAGGCCGAAGCCCACGGTGAGGACAGACAGGGACAGAGTGAGCAACCGTCCAAGGACAAACAAGACCGCCCAGATGGTGAAACTGGAAAACGGATGAGAGGAGGTTTACCCATGATGCTTCATTTGCTTTTGATTTCTAATAGGTAAAAAAAAACAGTTGTTTAATTGTTGATTCTGCTCATGCTTACTCACCCAGTTTGTCTGTTCTCGTTGCTGAAGTAGATGAGGCGAGAAATGTGGAACAGGAGCTCAACAAAGTAGTGCAGAACGAGCAGGACTAGACCCAGACGGTTCAGACTGAAAAGAACGAGAAGAACTCCCCTTTACTATAACTGACAGAAACAGCAAAGTGGGACACCATTAACCTTCTCCTTACATTTATAATTACATTCTTAGTTCTTACTTTAGAATGTAGGCGCCTGCGATGTGGACCAGGTAGAGGGAAATGTACACAAGCTGGCGTGGAATATCCTCCTGAACAGTAAACACAAAGAAGGGGAGGCCAAAATATTTACAAGAGCATGGCTCTGCATGCAAAATCAGGGACAGAGTGTATGAATCTTTGAAACAATTCAATACAACCAAGGAAGTCAAACAGGAAAAAGCTTCAGGGTGCAAACAGAAGCAGCGCCATGTTTTACTACACACACAAACACGCACTTACTTTCTTTGTCTTTTGGAAATACAGCTCAGGGAGAGAGTGCAACCAGTAACCCAGCTGACAGATGAAGTAGAATTTCATCTGGAATCTGATGGAGTGGCAAAATAAAAATTGAATATTCAAGCTACTCTTTAAAGACATAAATTCAAACACATGTTAGAGGTTTTCTCATCTATCAAACCACTACGAATCAAATAAAAATCAACTCACGGCATCAGTGTATGAGGATAACCCTCCCACAATGTAACAGGATTGGACAGAAAGTTTTCCTGAAACAAACAAACACACACAAAAAAAAAACATTTTAAAATGCTACAGAAAAGTTTTGGATGAGACGATTATTTAATCAGTCGTGAATACATACAGAGAGAAGGATGCTTGCGCCCCAGCCAAAGGAGAATAAGTAGAAAGCACTGAGTTGACCCGACTCGTTGAACTTGCTGTGTTTTGTTTTGGAGAAATGTTTCTTCCTGTTGATTTTCTGCAACACAAGCACAACAAGAAACACTAAAAACTGTTTTTCCCTTCACAAAGATCGAAGTTTGTGCATTCAGGTGTTTGTTTTCCTTACATCCAGCACATACTCCTGGATGATGGCGTGCATGATGATGGCGACAAGCATGTAGAAGAAGATAGTGGCCAGGTCTTTAATGCCATGGTGGAAGTGGTTCACAGCTGTCTCCTCTGGACCTTCTGGGGTAAGACAGAGCCACCAAAAAGATTATATTTATCTGGATATGACTTTTCTCCTCTCCAAATGTTTGATGTACATAGTTCATGCAGGTTTTAAAGCGTAAAATGAGCTTCAGAGCCATTTTAATTGAATTCACACAGGTGATTCACAGGTTTGACTCAGACATACCAGAGTTATTGGCAATAACGCACTCAAATAAAGCTCCTCTGTCTGCCCATAAGTACATTTTATCTGGAATCATTAATAAAAATCAGCAGCAGCACAGTAAATGTAACCCTGTTATTGAGCCTGTCTCACTACAAAGAGATTCAGCTGCTGTTTGTTATTTGCCTGATTTGATACATGCTGTAAATAAGTGACAGAGCAAGGTAAGCAATGACGCCCCTCAGATAAGGACAGAATCACAGTTGGCAGGGTGGAAACCTCCAGCCTGTATTACCAGGTACCGAGGTCAGACTTTCTTTCCACAGCATTAGAAGCTGGCAAAGAAAATGTTAACCTTGAAATGAGCACCACTTGAATTGAGAGGCCTATATTACACCTCAGCCCAAATTCAGCCGGCACAACCTTGCCACAAGAGAACTTTATAAATCAGGAGGACTAAATTTAGCTCCACAGAGTGGAAAAAAAATGGAGCTCTCAAATGGGTTTTGTGTTAGGCCACACAAGTGCCGCTCCAGAATCCAAATGAGAGGCTCCCAGTCAGACGACTCATAGATAATACCCTATTATACGTTTAAGACTGACAGAGGATCATCGTCATCGTTTAGTCCAAACTCACCGGTTGTTGATATGGTGACGTTGTACTGGACTGTGATGAATAACACGGCAAACTTTGAGGTGACCTGTAGAGAAAAAAAGGGAATTAAGCCTTACTGTTCAATCATATATGACACAAACATCAAGGGATGAACTGTGACAAAAGTTAATGGAGGGACTGTAAATGAAGAGTAATGTTTTTTTAAACAATCTGATTTTTTATGGCTTTTCATACAAAACAGCTGAATTATTATTGCATATAACTGCTAAAAAGCTGTTTTGTAAAAAGACATTTTAACATGAGAATGCCTTTACGTGAATCAGAACATTCACAGCTGTATTTTTGAAAAGAAATAGTAACACATTTCAACAATCTGAACCAACTTACCCCAGAACTACTATTATGTCTTCATTAGTCATCTTAGCTAAAATGGTTTTTGACCTCATTTGATGTATAAAACAAATTTAAAATGATCTTTTTTGGTCTGAAGACAATTCTAATAAATCTTATGACAGACTATATTCACTTTCGGGAGTGAAAAATTACGCAGAAGAAAAGAACTTTCATGCACTTTGGTGTAGACTGTACTCTCAAACACTATGGATAACATTTTAGGTTTTTTTTTCTTATGAAATGAATTATAATCAATTAGTATTTTTATTTAGTCATATCATTAATTATGATTTGCATCTAAAACTCATCCAAACAAGGAAATATGGTTCAGGAGGAGCATATCAAGACAGTCAGATAAAATGAAAATAGGAAGTGGCCTCTACCTCCTTCACAACAAAAGAACAACAAAAGTGAAGTATAATCTCTTCACATTAAAAAATCATCATCTCTCATAAGTATCTTGGTTTCTTACATTTCTTGAGATTTCTTTCAAATACAGTACACACGGATAACAGCTGTACCAGACATGTATTTTTACTTTGTTAAATAAAAAAACAGGAAGTAGTTGGAAGTATCGCTATCTGACGCTAATGGCGCTGCTTCTTTTTTTTTTTAACTAAAGGATACTTCAAATGAAACATGAACGTGGGTGAAAGTAGAGCAGCGTGGAGTGGCACGGACACGGTCAGAGTGCGTAAATGTTGTAGTGAGCCTGCAGCAGTGGGTGCCATTTAAAAGAGTGAGAGGTAAACTTGAAGTTTTTGCGTCAGCAGGTTTCTCTCACGATGATGATGATGATGACAGCCCTCTCTCTCAGTCGCTGTATGATTGCCACGTAACACGTTTACGCACAAACTAACAAGCGCAAGGTTACTCAGATGTGTAGCCGAAAAAGGTCGAAGCGTCTTTTTTTACAAGATTGTAACAAACATATCTTTGAATAATCCTCTTGCATGTGAAAAAGTTTTAATAGAAACGCGCGGGCCGGCGGATGGCGATCTGAGGTGTTGATTTGGACACAGCGCAGCCAGATGGAGAGTGGGCACCAGTTCCCACGTCACTTTAATAAAGACAAAGTTGTGGTTAATCTAAAAGCATAAATGTAGTCGATAATCTGGTGGATTTAAAGCAAAAGTGGGTCCACTGTGAGTAGAAAACTTTCGATCACGAGAGGAAGTAGAGTGGAGAATAGAGATCAGACAGCCATGTCAGTTTCCAGCCGAACAGATGGAGAGTTGTTCGGCATCCTCTCTGCCAGGAGTCCGCCCTCAGCACCGGGCGAGCATCCCCGAGTGATCCGCAGCTTAAAACCACTCAACATGTGGACGGGACTCACCTCAAAAATGAGTCCGAGCAGGAACACCATAGCAACACAGGAAACAATATCTGCATGGTTCTGGATGACAAACTCATGGCTCAGCACCGGTGGGTTCTTGTTGGTCTTTTTTCGGATCCCCATGTCGACACGGTTCGAGCCAACTTCGGCTGTACGACGCTCCGCTACAATCGGTTTCTTTCTCAATGTATTACGGTGTCTCCGTGCGGGAAACGCTTCAAGCTCCTTTCAGCTTTGCTAGAAGCAAAGGGCCAGGCTGCAATTGAATGGCGTGTCACTCTTCTGCTAGTGGGAGGGTCCACGGAGGGACAGACGCTGCGTCTGACCAACGAGACTGCTCACGCACGGGAGACAAACATCTGGGCTCTCCATCCCCACCTGCAGGTTTGGAGTATAAGAATAGACCAAGAATCTCAACATTTTAGGGGGTAGGGGAGAGTGGGTTAAGATGAGACATTTTTCATATTTCAGATCTCTACATCAAGGCAATCATAGTTTTGTCTCCAACTAGTGTATCTGAATATATTTCAAGATGTTGTGCATCCCTGCAAACCAACAGGAAGAGTGTAAACATAACTGTCTTGATAATATAGCATGCCAAAGAAAAGTGGTCTCCTATGGTCAACTTACCCTGTGTATGGGGTAAGTTGACCATAGGAGTGGGGTAAGTTGAGCCGTATCCCTCCTACCCCCCACTCTCCACCCCAGCCCTCCCTCACCTTCTCTCTCCCTAAATAACAGTCACTTCTTCACATTTATGTTTATTTTTATCTATGACACACTATTCAACTGGTACAATCATTCTTTCTATTATTATTGCATATAACTGCTAAAAAGCAGTTTGTAAAAAGCCATTTTCACGTGAGAATGACTTAAAGTGATTCAGAACATTCACAGCTGTATTTTTGAAAAGACAAAGTCAAATATTTCAACAATCTGAACCAACTTACCCCAGAACTACTATGATGACTTTATTAGTCCTCTAAGCTAAAATGGTGGACTTGTATGCCAGGTTTTATGACTTCATGTTGAAGCTCATCGATACCACAATTGATGGATAAGACAAATTTAAAATGATCTTTTTTGGTCTGAACACAATTGTAATCAAACTTATGACAAACTAAATTCACTTTCAAGAGTGAAAAATGTTTTTTTTTAATAAATGTCTGACCCCTTCACCCATGTGCTTCTAACTTTCAGACTCCATGAATTGATGCCCATCTCCTAAATATTTGGTCACATGATCAATTTCTTTTACAGCTGGTGGACTGCTAAAAGATTTCAAACATACAAGAAATTAACATAAAAAAGATGTGATATAATTGGTCAAATTTGTGGAAACTGCATATTGCAAAGTCATAGCCTAATGTTTTTTTTTCATTAATTCATGAAAAATCCATCAAAAACATCACTTTTTACCACCAATAAGTAGATTTTGATAAGCATGGAATGATGAAATTCAACATAACTTCCTTTTTTAACTTCCAAGCCCTGAACTTGGGGGAAACAGCCTTCTCCGATGCCACCCCCACCCTCTGAAATTCACTCCCCAAACCCATTTTAGACTGTCCAGACGCCCAAACTTTCAAATCACTCCTAAAAACACACCTTTTAAAATTGGCTTTTAACCTTTGAACTGTTCTTTTATTGTCTTTTCAGATTGTGTCTTTTTTAACCTTTTGCATTCTTGGTTTTATTTCTCAAAATTTTCTGTATTTTAAATTCTGTTTTTTATTTTATTTGTTTCTTTGTAAGGCATCTTTGAGCACCTGTAAAAGCACGTTATAAATAAAATTGATTATTATTATTATTATTATTATTATTATTATTATTATTATTATTATTATTATTATTATTATTTTAAAATTAATCCTTAAAAATTATTCTTGATGTTTTTTTTTTCCTTTTAGATAGCTGCTCAAAAATTCAAAACTCCATTGCGGCAATATTTTACTGAGTCAAAAGTTTGCTCTTCTAAATTTAGATAATGAAATAATCACTTCAATTCAGCATTTGTTTCTAAATCATTATTACTATTAAATAGTTGTATTTGTTAAATGAAGACAAAACAGCAACAGTGTGACATTGGCAATATATATTAGCCATCAACCAACATGCTCTCTCATTATCTGTATTTGCATTGGCCATTGAAAAAGTGACATTGATCGACCCTTTAAAAGGTTAGAAGGACCTCCAGCCTATTTTGGCCCATATATATATTTACACAAGAAGATAAAAAACTTTTTGAAGTTTTGAAAACTTAAATGTGCATTAAAGGCAAAAAGATTTCAGATAGACATTCTCATAGTAACTCTAAATGCTTGGCTTACAGGAAAACCACTTTACAAGGTGTGGCATCATCTTTTCCTGTTTACAGCATTCAAGAGAGCGAAACAAAGCAGTACATCCGAGGATCCCTGCATTTCATCACCTTCTTTATTGTTTGAAGGAATTAAAAGTATGAACAAACACTGAAGCACACACACACACACACCTATGAGCAAACAGGCACAGTCTCTATTATGTAATCACATTATCTGCTCTAACAGTGAGAGAGTCAGTGGGTGGAGCCTGTCACAAGTTTCAAGGAAAGAGAAACAGGACTGTTATTTGCAGAGTTCAGTGTTTTCTTCTGTGACTCCACTCAGCTGTCCAGAATGACCGTAACAGTATGGTAAGTAAAATTATTTAATCTGACCCCTAATAACTAAGTGAAGTCTGAGGCTAAAAGTGGGATTCTTATTTAAGCAAAGAATTTCATAGACAGTTATAAGACAATTTTTTGACACCGCTATAGCTCTGGGTTGAGAAGGAGGAGTGTTTCAAAGTCTTGAACAGTACAGGATTATTGAAGTTGGAACGTTTAAAAAGGCGTTACATGTATTTTTTACCTATTCAATTTGTAGCTCCAACGTAAATGTATTGTTATCTACATTATGTAAGAGTTTCAAGGCAGAGCTCGTTATCATGGTCTCATTCCTGCTGATCGCATAATTGATTATTTTTCTGTTACAGCTGTAACTATGCTATTTATCAGGACTTCATATAATCAAGGTTTTATGATGGTGATCAAAGGGCAGAATACTGTGCTACATCTGGAGACTGCAGTTACATTCAAAATGTTTTAATGCTCTACAAGATATTTGGAAGTGTCACCTTTTTATTATACTAATAGTTCTTCTGTCACTGTAATTCTTTTACAGATTCGCAAAAATGTCCCCTGAACTTCTGGGCTCCACAGCAGATTTTCTCCACAACATTCAAAAATCAACCATATTTCTACCTCCAACCCAGGAAAGAACTCTGATTTGACAGAATGTTGCAGTCAAACAACCAGTACACGAAACTACGATGGCTATTAACCATAGCCGGACTTCTTTTTTATGTTGTGGACATTTTTACAGATGTTGCACTTGCACTAAATTATTTCTTGAGGGAGCAGTTTGTGTGGAGTGCTCTGACTGTGGGGTTTGTTCTAGCTGGGCTGTTTGTGACGCAGATCTTCAGCTATGCCTGGTACAGGGACGACATGAGTGATGATGTGATAAACCCTGAAGGAAAAACAGCAATATTTGGGATGTCTAAATGTGGACTTGCTGCAGTTCACCTGTGTGGCATGGGCATTTTCACCAGGTATGGATCGAACACTTAAAACCAAAGTTATATCATTATTCTTATATCTGCATGATAACACGTGCTGAAATTTTCCATGTACTGAGGAGCGTCTGCATGTTGTGAAACAAAATGTACAACATGCTAATCATACGCTGAGGTGTCCTGGAATGTCCAAACTGGAATAACCACATTTAAGCTCTTCTGTGCCCCCGGAGATTAAGTCTTGCACATGCATGGTTGTCTGTGCAGTAGCAAAATAGGAAATTTGAAACTATTGAATTCACAAATCAGCTTTCATGTATATGGAGCCAAATAACAAGGAATGTATTTTAAATTAACCAGGTTGGAGCCATACTCTTTATAATAAAAACTGCAAAAACATTGGCTAAATCAACGAATAAGCAAGCAGTGGCAAAGGAAAACTTTCTTTGAACAGACAGAAAACTCAAGCAGAACCAGACTCATTGGTGGGTAGCCTTCTACCACAACTGCTTGAGTGGGGAAACAGGGAAAAGAGAAAGATAGAAAGTGATAGACATTCAGACAGAAAACAAGACAAAAAGATAAATGAAAAAATGTTTTGTTGGCAGCCCTCCGCCATGACTATCGGGTTCAAAAAAAAGGGTAATGGAAAGAGAGATGGATTGTGCTAAGAAGGAAGGCCAAGAGACAAATATGTGGTATTGACTGTGTGTGTGTGGGGGAGGTTCTTTGTTACCAGGCAGAAACCCTGGCCAGAACCAGATATTTAATAAACAGCCATCTACCCCAATCATGGGCTAAGAAAATAGAAAGAGCGAGTCAAAAAACGATATTTTGAAAGAAACACAGAGACACACAAGCTATCAATTGTTTTGCATTATGGTAACACAAAAAACTCCCTCCTGGTAGGCAGAAACTTTGAGTAAAACCAGATTTATGGAGCGAGTGGGATGGATAGAGAATATTACAAAGGCAGACAAGCATAGAGAACAAACGGAACAAAAAAGTATATCACTGTTGTAACCATCTACCTGACTTTGTTATAAATGTGTTTGACCTATTTCCAGGTATTGCCAGCTGCTGAAAAAAAGCTTCACTGTTGTTTGGAAAAAGACCAATTTCTACACCGTGGAAGAGAAGAAAGAAGCAAACCATAGACTGTTTTGCATGGCGACTGATCTGAGCATGCTCAAACTATTTGAGGCCTTTCTGGAAAGTGTTCCCCAACTCCTTTTGCAACTCTACATAGTGCTGAGTCTAGGAGGGTGCTCAGTCATGCAGTGTAAGTAGAGGAAGACACTTTGTGCATGTTATGAGTTTACTGTATGATTATCTACATCACAGTGTCTGTTTCTTTCAGATTTATCGATTGCATTCTCCTTCTTTAACATCGCCTGGGCCCTAGTGGATTATCGCCGCTGCCTGCGCAGGTCTCTACCTCACATCAGCGAGATGCCCTCCGGCATCCCCACATGTATCTACCTCCTCTACAAACTCTGCACCATCACCAGCCACATTTTCAGCTTCACACTCTTCCTCATTCTAAGCACCTACAGCACAGTAGCTTTCACTGCCCTCTGGCTGCTGTGGACCACATGGGCTCACCTGCTTCAGACCAACTTCTGCTCCTCAAGAGGCTTGGAGCTTTTGTACCGAGCTGTTGTTGGGGTCATCCTCACGTTCACCTTTTTCAATGTCAAAGGCCAGGACACCAAAGTGACCATGACACTTTACTACCTGTTCTATTCTCTTGTAAATATTTCGGCCCCTTTGCTGCTGGTTTTGTTGGGGCCAGAGTTTCACACTGTCACACCCTTGCTGACAGTTACTAGTTTGATCTTTGGGTGTTTGTTGCTGGGGCTGGTGTGTCTCGTGCTCTACTACCTCCTCCTGCACCCAAGAGAGAAGTGGCAAGAGGCAGATGAGGTGGACGGTCTGGGAGGGGAAACGGAGACCACAAAGAGATTAAAACACTTTCTACAGCCCTGATAAGGGATTTAAACAGGAAATATCCTCAACAGAGAAAGACTATGAGACGATTCTCAGGAGGATAGAAAATAGTGCCTGTAAGAAAGATATCAGCCTGATATGCTCTTTTTTCATAACTTTATGATGCTGCTCCTAGTTGTCTTATCATATTCTAAGTTTAATGTAAATTTCCTTGTTGATCGAAAACTGCAAAAAAAAGGTTACAATTAAAAGCTTTATTATTCAATACATAAATGACCTTTTGTTCAGTCTTGTTTAAGTGAACCTGTTAATAAACTACATATTCATTCTCATCAAACATACAAGATACTTTGAGCTAATCCCAAAGGACAGCAGTCATTTATAAAACATATACTTGTTTGCAAATTCTTTGCTGAATTTGTTCTTTTGAGGCAGATTCCTGAAGATTAATACTATTTCCTAAAGTGTTCCCACTGAGCATTTTTGGTCTAAAAGAGGTCTAATAGACGTTTAAATGTAGCCTAGACGACTGGTCTAAAATCAGGCTACCACAGGTCTAAAAATGAAAGTTTTTTAGACGTATAAATTTAGACCAAGTTCAGACCACGCCTAAATTTGGGCCATATCTATACTACACTGTATATTGCTCAACAGCTATCATAATTATTTTGGTTAAGTACTTGGAGATCAGTATGCAACTCACAGTTGCTTTTTTGAGTTAGACTGCAACGCCTAAATTCTGTCTAAAAATATACAGAATCTAGACAATTGAAACTAGGTATAAAAAAGAATAGACGTCTAATAGCTGTCTATTGCTCAGTGGGTTAGCTACTGTTGTTGGTATGGGTGGATATTTTCTTTAAGCCTGTAACACATGTTTTCAACACAAGGTGGCAATATTGTCTAGGTTAATTCCTCTGGGCAAGCTCTGCTACCACAAGACCCGCTTTGACAAGACTCAAAGAGCTCGTTGGGCATCATTACAGCCAGAAAACATGCAGCAAAACTACAGAACCAGGTTTTTTGTTGAAAAATAAATAATGTGTCTTCTTCCTTTGTGTTTCCATTGCTGACTTCAGCTAAACTTGACAACTCTAATCACTAATTATAAATCTCTGAGCTGTAACTCTTTACTCTGTGTTTTATTTAATAATTGTTATTTCTTTTAAACCTGAAAATCTTGTTTTAATTTCAGCCTTTATAATATTTGTCCCACAAATTATATTCATGCTTTCCCACTACCAAGTGAAACTTCGAAATGTAGGATCAGGAAGAGTTTAATTAGACCTTGAAATGATTTAAGATTATGCTTGGCTACAGCCCAATGGAAAAGGCTACAGTATAGTTAATATGAAATAGTATTGTTTCCTTCTAAATGTTGTAATATGACCCCGATAGAGTGGCATTTCAGTCTCCCCTGAAATAAACTCAGGGGTCCTTGATGAACTTAACAGAAATAACAAAATGAACACTAATTTTGTTTTGACTATGCTAGGTAGGTCAAAAGGGCTTTAGCTGACTCTTCCTGACCAGGACAGACAAAGGGGGGCTGGTTCAGTGTGAGCTCACCTTGGAGGAACGCTGACAAACCACAGGGTCGAGGGTGGACCAGTCCTATTCGCTCCATCCCCCTTTCTTCTACCTTTCGATGGGAGCTTTCATTCTTGTTTACTCCACAGGGCCACTTTAACTTTCTTGTGTCGGTTGTGCTCTGTCAGAAACACTCTATAAAATGACAAATTTAAGTAAAGGACCTGCAGTGGAGAGGAAATGATTCAGTGTGAATTCGTAACCACAAAGAGTTTAGCTTCGTTTGACTCTGAACTGCCGACCTTTGGAACCGAAAGGAGTGTATCTGACCACCAACCCCTGTAGGAAAGACGAATCATTAGATAGAAAATAAGATGACTTCATCCTTTACATTTGCATGATAGATGCTCCTCTCTCCCTTAGCACTGTGTATTTTCTTTGGTTTGGTGAACTAATGCGGTGTAAACCTGCCAGTAGGACTTTTATTGGGAGAAGATGCATGCGTCCATGTCTGGCGTCCTCCCTCTCTGTCTTGCTTTAGTTGAGCCACTCAGGCTCTTGGCTGTGACTCACTGCTTACAGTCCTGCCAGGGAGCAGTCACAAGTCATTGGGATGAAACATGTTGAGTAAAGCATTACCACTCTCTTTCTCTCCAGGAGAAAACAAGCAGAGCAAAGTCTGGCGTTGACAGCCTCTCAGTAATTTCCACTTCTGGCACCGAGGGCTTTAATTTGAACTAATCTCTAACTCTGATCTTGCTGTTAATGCACCTCCAAACGAGGCTGGGGAGCATCGTGAGAATTGGAGGAACTAATAGCAAATCAAAGATGATGATACATGACAGTGCAGGAAGATGGTTAGGAGCAGCAGGGGCCCTCCATTTTGCTCAGTGAAGGTCAGAAAATACTAAAATGCTGGCCACATTTCACACCGCACACACTCAAACGTGTAGAAAAACTTGCTGTCGGAAGTGCCAACATTAAAAAACTTTGACCTCTGACCTCTCTATCACCATCACTAGTTTTCCACCAAATCTTATCTTTTTGTTTTCCATCACCACATCCTGTAACAGGCGGTCAGGAGGGGGGCACTGCTGGCGTTCGCCATCCCCACAATTTGTACAGACACAATAAACCCAGAGAGGCAGGCTGTTTTTCATTAGGGCTTCAAAGTCCATATAAACCATGATTAATGAAGTCTTGAGATGTTGTATGTCTTTAATTATTATGACTTGACTTACAGCGCCAGTGCCGCAGATGCATTAAGCAATGTTGGCAATCTGTACACATCTGCCTGGCTGCGTTTTTGACATGGCAGCTTCGCCTCATTCTGGGAGAATTCCCCCAATGTTGGGGAAGGCGGGAGAAAAGGGGGAGTGATGGGAGCCCCCTTTTTTTCTTTTTTCAATGGCACAGGAGTTTCTTTAATCACTGTACATGCACACTTACAAATGAGTTTGGGCAGTGACAGATTGGAGAGCAGGCTGAGGATAATTACATGCAGTGGGTTGGTGTGTGTGATCAGAGCGTGGCATTGCGTTACTCAGAGGACTCTGTAAATAAAGTCCTCCAGCAGTGAATGAGGATTACTGGGAACAATAGTCTTACCATTGTTTCTGAGAGGATTCCTGCTTCCTCAGGGGTGATTAGAGTAGTATGGACAGAAATGCAACTGAGAAGTCAATCTAGGCTTAAGCAGGAAATATTGTGGATGAGGTCAGTTGTTACCATAAATCCAACATAAGGCACCAATTACCCACAACAACTGGTGAAACACTATTGGGATTTTCTTTGGGACTTCAAAAGGATCCTATCATTAATGGGATTTGCCTCGATTTAAAATCATATCATGCTAAAAAATTATAAATATAAAAGGATTAATAAGGTAATGCATCACCCCACAATTAAAAAGGAGATTTGATTAACAGTCATGGGTCATAATAAACTTATTTGATAAATCATTACAGATGTTGCTATTTCTTTTGATTCTACTTTATTTTACTTTAAGTACATAGCCCATGCTAGCAGCTCTGTGAGTTTATACTATATACTGTATGAAACAATGGACAGCACAAAAGCTACCCTCAGCCAAAACCTTTACAGCTGCTGACTGGTTGCAGTACAGGTCTTACTACCAACCTTCTCCACTGTAACAGATGGAACACAAGTCAAGCTAAAAATGTTAAATATACATTAAATAAGTTGTTTATTATCATGCATTTTGTCGTAGCAGTAAGTAATAATCATGCTTATTTATTAGCAAGTGTTATGTTATTTAATATTAAAGATAGGGATGTGAAATCATGATTTTTGAGGCTACAGGAGGCTGCATGATTTACATAGTGATCTAAAAACATGTTAACATCAACGTGCTCATTACAAAATACCAACCTGCCAGTTGTTACTTTGTTTAAAGCTTCAGAGAAGAACTTGGTGTCTGTGATTACCATGGTGCCCCCTGTGGACAGAACGATGACACTCATATTTCTGCTAATTTTGTCTTGTCCCTTTAAAGGCAGTGTTGATAGACAAACACTCCCTCAAGTTGTGTTTTTACAGTGAGATCCATCACAATGTTGAGCTGTTGCAAGAAATGCAAAAACAAGGCTGTTCTGTCAGTGTAGATGCCCTTCACAGCAGTAACAGACATCAAAAATTACAATTAAGGAATTGTCCGTCTCTTATGTAGATCATCAAAAACTCCTCACAGGAGCTTTAACTTACTAATTTCTAACTTATTAGCAACTTAACACACTAACTTTCAAACTCTATTGTGTTAGCATGCACACCTTTTTATGTGTGATGCATAAGTGAATGATGTTTAATGCTCTTTAGATTTTCACATTACTTATCTGGGATGTAAAAAGCGCTAGTTAATCACATCCCACTTTAGCATTTTCCCAGCCTGTCAATGGATTCTGCTTCCAGCGTACCCTTTGATTTAATACCCTGATTGTTTGACATTTACAGTAAATGATTATTTTATTGGCCAGTTTGATTCATAAACACTTGGTCATGGCTAAGTTAACCTAAAACAAATGCTAGAAAAGACTGAGGAGTTTGAAGTTATTTTGTTTTGAAGTCTGATGAGTGACATATTAAAAGGACTTCAAAGAATTGTGGGAGTAATCAAACTCGCTGTGCTCAGACTATAAGACGCAGAAACAAAGAGCTAAGGAGGAAGCTCATTTGTGTAACCCTCATTTAGAACAGACGGTTTATGTTTCATAGTCATGGACGGAGAGCACTAACATAATAGCGCTACGCATCCTAGCCCTCACACAGTCTGCCTCACACAGACGTACACACAGATAGAAAACAGAAGCCATGTTTGTGTTGGGCACGCTCCCACAGCACACAAGATGATGGATTATAGAGTGTGCTTGTTTATTTATGCTGCGCCGAGTAGAGAAGTATGGGTAAAGAGCGAGCGAAGGCAGCGTTTTTATGGTAAATACAATCAGCTCTAAAATAAGATTGCATATTATGAATGAGAAATGGGTTCACACACACATGAAAAAGCAATGGGCTGCAATCAAACACACCCACGCACTCGTCTTTTCTCCTTTTTTTTTCAGGAGGAAGCTTGTCTTGATTAACCTGGCCGGGGGAACCCGACATGTTTTCCCTTTGACGTCATGGCCCGTTTCTTGAGTGGCTCAGTGGAAGCCATCAATTCTAGTTTGTCTGCAGTTTGTCTGTTTGAATTTTTTGCTAATCTGTATCATTCATTGATGGCCTGT